CCTCGAGTAGCTTCCTCTCGCGAGAGCTTCCTCTCTCCTCATCGCACAACACAATCTTTCCCCAGACCTAGCCCTGTCCCGTAAACCCCTGACCAAGTGTCACGAACCAACCATATGTACATGCCCAGTGGGGCACAAGACAGAACTGCAGGAACCGCACGAGGCCCACACGGTAGCCGTGGGGGCCGGGCGATCAAGGGTAGACTTGGGTAGCATGGCTACCCAAGGCGATCAAGGATAGCTCTTGGTAGACTGCGATCATGGGCAATCATGAAGGCTCTACCAAGTATATAGTCACTCGTTCTGGAGGACTCTGGGAGTTCTCCAGTAAGCAACTCAAGTGCAAGATTGTCAGTACCTTTGGACATTGCTTGTTGTGAACCCTTTGGCTTCACCGAACCTCACCCCGTTGTCAAAGCTATAACCTTCAGGAGTCCCTTTCAGAAGTTGGGGCTTTGAGATTCGTCACACCAAGCCCGTGACAGACGTCCCTTTCGCAAGTATATCGACAGCCCTTGAAATCTCTGTCGGAGAGCTATCTTGATGCTGGGCAATCCGGGTCTTGATGAGAGTGGTCTGTGAAGCGGCTTCGATTGGGTTGTTTGGCGTCTTGGATACCCAGGTATGGGCACTGCCGGGACGTGAGTTGGTGGGTGTCGGCGTCTTAAGACGAATGTCGAGCTGGGAGATCACCACTTCGGGATTAAAAGGAACAAGTCCAGTGCCCCGAAATCCTCCCCGAGCATTGTCGTACGTCATGGTTGCCTGGTGAGCTGCAAGGAATGCGAAAAGGAAGTCCTCTTTGGTAATGTGGGTTATGCTTGCCCGCATCATCTCCTCGATCTGCTTGCCGTATGCCGCTTTGAGCGGGCTGAAACACCCAACATCAGCTGGCTGGAGCTTGTGAGATGAATGAGGAGGCATGCAGAGGGTAATGATGTTGTTCTCCTTGCAGTAGAGCTCAAAGTCTGTCGAGTAGTGGCTTTCATGGCCGTCGAGGATGAGGAGGCGATAAACCCCGGTTGTTCGACCTTTGGTGTGCCTGTCGAAGTGTTTGATCCATTCCAGACCAATCTCATTGGTAGTCCAACCATTTTCGGATGTAGCAATCACCCAGTCGTTCGGCAATTGGCTATCCTCGTACCAAGAAGAGAGATGATGGGTGCCCTCCAGGATGATGAATGGCGGGAGTACCCAGCCTAAGGCATTGATACACCGGATCACGGTGGACCATTTGCGGTTTCCTGGCTGCCTTGTCTTCCGTCTACCACGCCGTTCAGTGCCCGTAACAACCAGTACAGTCGAGATAATGCCCATCAAGAACCCAATCTCGTCAAAGTTATAGATATCCGCCTCCTGGATACCGTACTTCGCGATTGTGTTCTGTACAAGCGCGAACCAGCCACGATTAATATCTGGATCTTCGCATAAGGCCCTCTGGTAGTCGTATTTCCGATTGAATCGCGTAGTAAGGTCTGGTTGTCGTTTAACGAAGCGATGCGCCCAGAGCGCGCCGACGCGTCCCGCGTCGCGTTCAGCAAGTAGTCGGTTGGCCATATCCTCCACACTGGACAAGCGGGGGGGGGAATCCTTTGGAATCCAAGTCGAGGACATGCTGAACAATGACCGATTCTTCTAAATCAGTCAACTTCCGCGAGTTGGCTGTGATATCGCGTCGTGATGGTTTGCCCCGTCGGCGCCGACTCAATTTCGTATGATGGACCGAATAAATCTCAGCTGCAGCTCTTAGGCTTAAAGTCGGGTCCTTTTCAAGAGCTTGGAGGGCCAAGACAATCTGGCCTTCATCGTTTTTCTGTGGCATATTGGATTTGCGGAGAATGTAGGTGTAAAAGAGAGATGTCGCGTGACGCGATCAATTGGAGCTTTCGGTGATATGGAGCTTTCCCCTTGTTTCATCTCGTGTTCCTGGGCGCAACAGTCCCACTCAAGTAATCGTCGCTCAACAATTGGCCAATCCACAACCAACGTGCATGGAAAGTTGGGATGTGACTTCAGCTAAATGAACCCGCTCGGCTGCTCAACTTCAACTCGTTAAGCCCATTCTTCACTTTTGTTTTGAGAAAGAGTGGTTGTGATCCGCGCTCGCTGCGCTTTGCGCTTTGCTGGACTATCGAGTCCGTGACTAAGCGTCCGCTGCGAGTTGCTCCTTAGCGTCGGGATCCCACAAAAACCACCACATGTCCGGTCCAACGGACCCAGCTTCGCGCGACTTCGCGACGGCTTCGATTCCGCCCGCCGAGCTTCCTCCAACTACCGCACAACCGCCTGGAGACAGCCATGTGCACTATGCGCTTCGTATCGACCCTACCCTTGCCCGCGACGTGCCCGCGGGTGTGCTCGGCCGCTCCGACACCGAAGCCGCATTGAGCCCCGGTATGCGACGTCGCCTAACGCGCGCTGGAACGTTCAGAACGGTGGACGACTTTGAGGACTTCGCCGTTCAGCCGGGCTGGCACCGTATGTACACTCGCCCCGGTCAGTCTGTGCAGGTACTAACCGAGGTTCGCGACCTCCTTACTAGCTGGTGCCGAACCAGGCGTGGATCCAAGCAAACCGGATGGCGGACATGCTTCGATCCCGACACTGCGCCGCCCTTGCGAAATTACTGTCGTCGACTTCTCCCAGGACCAGCTATCGATCCAGAAGTTCGATAACGAGACGCTGGCCGCATTTCTGAGCAAGCCACAGCCGGTTTGGGCCAAATGTCGCTGGGTCAATGTTAACGGTCTCAGCTGGGATGTCATCAAGTCTCTTGGGCGGCACAAGAACCTTCACAGCCTAGCCATTGAAGACACCATGAACACGAGAAACAGAACAAAGGCGGATTGGTACAGAGGGACCCTGCAGACACGCGACAGAGGATGACAGGCTTGCTGACAACCGCAGGTACCCTACGCATGCCTTTGTGGTCCTGACCCTTCAGAAGCTAGTGCATCTCTATGAGGGCGAGAGCGAGGATTCGGACTTTGAGGATGACGCCCGCAGCCGGAAAAGCGGATTAAGCAAGCGTAGCGCGAAGTCGTCAAGGAGGTGGCTCAGGCGGCTGCGGAGAGCGTTCCGCAGTAGGACCGCTGACGAGCAGGAGAAAGACCTGGGCACAGGCAACACGTCCGTTCCCGAGGATTCCGGAGGATACATCAAGCCGCAGCCCGCTGGTTTCTTGGACGTCCCGGACATCAGTCTGCTGCGCACGCTGCAGCGTTATCATGCCTCGCCAAACGACCCTCGGGCAGAGTACATGGAAAAGAACTCTGCCTTGTCCTCTCGAAACCTGGCCGTGGCATGCGAGCAGGTATCCATGTTTATCACCAACGACAACACTATCATCAGCTTCTTCGAACAGTCGGCGCAGGACGTCGAGGGTCCCATCATCCGGCGCCTCCAAACAACCGACACCATCATTCGACAGTGAGTTCAAATTTGCATCCGCGTGCCCGCCGCCTTCGTGGCCGAGACTGCTGACACTTCATCCTACAAGATCATGTGATGCCTCCATGGTTGGTCAAGCTATTATAGACGCCATAATCGACTTGGCGATTCCCGTTGCGGCTTGCTACGGTGACGTGATTGGGGACCTCGAACTCGATGTCTTGAACCGGCCTGATATGGGACATACAAAGACCCTCTACATCCTCATCGCCGAGATCAACAAGATACTGGCATTCATCAACCCCATCACGTCACTCATCAACGCTCTCCGTGACCACAAAGCGGACGTGTCACAGGATGCTGTCATGGCACATCTGCTGGATCCGAACCACGGCGTGATTATCACCCCTTTGACGTACACATATCTTGGAGACGTCCTGGACCACTCTATTCTGATAACCGAGACGCTTAATCGGCTCAAGGACTCGGCCGAAGGCATGATTGGCCTCATTTTCAACACCATATCAGCCTACCAGAACGAATCCATGAGGCAGCTCACGGCAGCAACCATTATTTTTTTACCCCTGACATTCATTACAGGATATTTCGGCCAGAATTTCGAACCCTTCGATGTCCGGTACCAAGATGTCGGCTACTTGTGAGTAAACGTTTTCCTTGCACCTTTCTCGTGTTTGTTATCCGGGGTCCTGACAAGTGGAACAGCTGGAAGATAGCCGTCCCCGTGGTCATCTTTACCGCCCTCATCTTGCTCAGAGAGGCCATATATGACTACTTCAGGGCACTCTTACAGCGGCGCTATATCCTGCGTTTGAAGCGAAACCGTTCAAGTGGGCGGCGGAGGCGGTTGGCTTGACCCGCGCGATACTCAAGGACGCTGGTTACAAACATCGAATCGCACAGTGCTGCCGTGTTCGCCGGATGAAAACTTTGTTGCACGACCGGAGCCGGAACTCATGATACCCGAGTCTGCTACTCCTCGACCTTTCTACAATTTCGAATTCGTTCGGGACCGTAAAGCCAACCCCGCACCGGGCCCCAGCAGCCGTCTACTCCGTTGAAGTTGTAGGATGGCCACACCCAAGGGCAGTGATGCTAACAGAGCTTCCTGTCCCCCGGTTCCTGCCTTCCTTCGCCCGACGACCTCGCTTGCGGGCCCGCAAGGTGACCGGGCAATGAAGCAAACCCTCCCTGATACGACTCGCTTCACGCCATAACAGACATTTAGGTCATCTAGATCACGACCGAATGGTTTTGATAGGTGATGATGAATGCCACAACATCGACAGGGCGGTTGGTCTTCGCCCGGCATGATCTTCTTAGCTCTCCAACCCATACGAGTTCCATGCTGTACAAGTGTAGTTCCGCAGGCTCAGAGGATCAGGATCCGATGCGAACGGGATCTTGTCTGGCCGCTTCGGCAGCCCTGCGGGGTAAGCCGGCCAGGCAGCCCGGCACCGCCAGCCCTCACCCGCAATACGAGAGTCTTGGCGGTCAATCACTTTGGACACAACGGGAGATGCTCCAGTCTCCCATCCAGCTATTTGTTGGCCGTCGCATCACTGCATATCGTGGAGTACTAGAGGCTACTTTGTTCAGGCGGTTGGTTGCGTAGCTATATTGCGCCGTGACAACCATGCGGGTTTATCGGGTAGAAAGACAACTCGATCACCCTGTTGACCAACATCAATTCCGGGGATGGGGCATCTGCGTGCAGGGCTATGCATGATAAAGTGCTTGGTTTCGCTGTAGGCCGCCTGCCACTTCCCTGATCTTGAAAGCCGACGTCTCCCGGTATTCTTCTGTGGGCAAGGAATACGAATTGATTGGAGACGGAAGTCGGCTTGGGTGAGTGTTCCCGCCCTGGTCATTTGCAGTGCCACCTGATCATACCGACAAGAACCCAGTGTGACGAAGTTCAGGACCGTAACGCCAGGGACGGAGGCTCGAAGGAGTGCGTAGGCTATATATGGGGTTGGACTTCCATCTCGTCATCCTCTTCTGTCGCTGCTCGGTATCCACGGACCTCGATTCGGCTCGTGCTGTCACCAGGAAGCCGCATCTATCATCGTCACACACCACAGAAGCTCAGACATCGTCGGCATGCCTCACACCACTGTTGCGGTTGCCGCCTTACTTTGCGTCGCTAAAGGCGTCCTCGGCGTTGACCTCCAGCATTGTGGCCAGGCACAGTACGACCCGGCTGAGGTGAGCCATGCACCACACTCCACTGCAACCCTGCACGGCAAACTGTGCTAATCTGGCCCATGAACTCAGTATGTCTGCTGGGAGAACCAATTCCTCTGCCCCATCAGAGCGGGCGAGCCTCTATCCCACTGCGCAGGCGCATGCTACAGCAAGTTCATGTACACCTGTACGGACAACGTCGTGACGCTTCTCCCGCCGGTAGATACCCCCTTCACACTCACTGTCGACAACCCGGGCCTGCCCATCCACGGCAAGCCCGTCACGGCGGCGGGGCAGCACTGGTCCCTCGACGGCCAAACGAGCAGCTACTGTCCTTCGCAAGTTGGCAGCGAGTGTCCGCCGGGCAATTCCACCGTCATCGTTGCCAGCGAAGGTCGCGCAGCCATGAGCGTCATGGTTCCCGGCGGCCAGCAGGCCTACCTGGACCCGTACTGGAACATGGTCTACACCCAGGCTCACTCGGCCTACATTCCGTCCGGCAGCACCGTGACAGGATTCGGTGCCTACCAGGGCGGCGGCTTCGTCAACCTGAACGGCAACGGCTGGGGCTGGGTTGCCTGCCCGCCACGAGCGTCTGGCGGTGGCGGACCGGGCTGGAACCTGGTGGCTAGGAACGCGACGAATGCGGCCACGCTTAACGAATGTCACTCAATTAATCTCAGAGTCAACTCGCTGCCAGGGAGCACCCTTGGCGCTTGGCAGTATACATAACTCTCGTGTTTCTCTATGTTGCTGATTTCAGAGTGGCTCCATTGGCGCGCTGTGGAATGTGGCGTTGGAGATTATGTCGAGGTCGCGGCGCTGTGGCCTACTGTGAAGGTGAACGACCTGCGTTGCGGTGTATGTCCTCATGAATAGGGAGATGCATGCTGGGAAAGTGGCGGTGGTGGCGTGGGGAACGCAATACAAATCATGATCCAGGATTGAAACGAGCGAGTACAGCCACTTGTACCACTGCGTGTGGCTAAGAACGGCTGCTATCGCGGTGGAGTGCGCGGTGGTTTCTTAAGTTTCGTGAAGAGAGAGAGGAGTGTGAGAGTTGGGCCGGTGCACCTAGAGCTGCGACAAGCCGTCACCGGCCGAAGCAAAGTAAACCATCGGCAGAGAGGCACTATGCGCAGGCGATGGACAAGCTCTGCGAGCGGATGCCTGGCCAGCTAACTGGAGTAGGATGTGACTCCAGCCATGTTCGATACCTGGGGTGTTGCTGCACAAGTATCTTCCCATCCCCAACGCTACCAGATATACAGCATTTTGTGATATGTCCCTCTCGGTAACCCGTTATCCAACGAATTCCTATCTTGATAGCACATGCGTCGGTAGATCGTGCCGCCTTAAAAGCTCCCATCCCCCACTCCCCAGACATAGACGCCGGTTTGTTTGTTCCGTTAGCCGTATCATATGAAGAAAAGATACTAGCTTGCCACGTGCAACACCGTCTATACTGATCTATCGTCTATGAAGCGATGCGTTTTTGTAGGTCCGCCACCTGCCGAGCTGTGATCGCGGCTCACGTTCTCCATCGCACCCCGTCGCTGCTGGCCACGCACTTCTCCAACCGTGAGCCCCATTATTGTGTACGTACAGGGAGATCGCAGGCTCAACCTGTGGGAGGGTGCCGAGATGCCCATATCAATCTCGGCCGAGACGCTCCTCGCCATCGTCCCGAAGTTCATATGCTGGACGGTATTTCGATGCGTCGCCACTGACTGCCAGCGCTGGATTTGGACGCGTGTCAGTCACGCCGCCTAAGGAGGTGAAGCCACGGTTGTACAGTTCACAGAATGGAATATGGAGGTGCCGAATAAACTGGATTCGGGTGTCAGTAACAGACCCTCTGGCTCAAATGTGCCCGTGCCAGACCCCCTTTCAGGTCACAGCTGGGAGGGTCAAAGACGGGCGCACTCACCGCCCAGATTTCAACGTAATGCCAGTCAATCACAGGATGAACTCGCATGAACTGCGGCCAGCCCTCGTCCGTCGGATCGAAATGTGTCAGGAACTCGCCGTGTGGATCCGTCCTCCGCGTGCCCAGAAATACCGCCCTGACGGCTGGCCTGTCATTCAGATATGCCTCGAGCGCCGGCCGCATGGGCAGCGCATACCGTTTGAGGTCGAGATGATATTGCTGGGCAGTTCTTTCCACGAAGTCCTCCACTTCCCTGAAGGGGTGCGCCGAGACAATGTATATCGCCTGCAATGGGCGGACGGGTGCGCCGTCGGTGGTGGAGGACGAGGGAGGAGATTCGGATGTCGGACCGACCGCCGGGTTTCCCGTGGTTGTATCGAAAGGAGGAAGGGTTGAGGATGAGTGGGAAGCCCACGCGGGCAGGCAGGCCAGGATCAATACCAACAGCACGAGGCAGTCCTTGCCGCCGTTATACGAGAGCGAGAGATGGTCGGGCCTTTTGTATATGAACCAGACATCCATTAGCCACAAATACGTCGCACAAACCAGACGTATCGTCTCCCATTTTCGACCCGCCCTCACCTCGGCCGATGTGTATGCCAACGCAGCAACCTACCCATACCGGCTCAGCGCCTCATGTATCACGCCCAACGACACGCTGACCTGGTCTTGAACATTGCGCAAGACGTCGTCGTCGGTCTGCTCGCTGAGAAAGGCGTCGATCTTGGCTTGCAGCTCGAAGCAGATGTCGGGCAATGCGCGCCGCATTCCGCCACGTGTCGGCGCCTTTGTGTCTGGCTCTTTGCTCACGCCATTTGGGCGCGCAGCCGGCTGGTTCTGGCAGACCGAGTTGGCCGCCATTGTTATTGCCGCTGTGATGATTCTGTCGCTCGAGCCACTCGGTATGTGAAGGAGCTGCGGGTGGAGGGCGTCAGAGAAGCAGTGGTCGTCGGTCACCAACTCCGTAGGTTGACTTGAAACTCTTCGCGGGGTACCTTGATCGTGCAAGCTCAGCCTCGGTGGGGCAACGTTGCGGACCCCACATTTTAACCCGAGCCAAAGAACCTTTCTAAAAAGAATCGAGGGTACGAAGCACCTGTCATGGAAAAGCAAACCATTGCGGCAGCAGCGGGAGCACTCAAAGAAAGTGAGCTATAACTGAGCTACAGCGTGGAATACTCTATCTACCAAAAGGACAAATCACTGCACAAGCACAAAACCATTGGGCATATGTTGAAGTTTGTTTTATAATCCTAAAATCACTGTTCCCTCTCTGTGTACCAAAATTAACCCTGAGACACATTTTGGCCACTGAAGCAACTTAAGTCTCTCGGAAGCTAGAGACCCGAAAAGATGAACGGATCCCAAACTACCGTATGGTCGGCCCGACGCTCCATGAGTCCATGATGATGGGGGACTGTACAGCAGGCAATTCAACGAATCTGTTACCCAGTTTGGATGCCTCAAAGACATTTCGAAGCTTGGAGGAAGTTTGATTACCTTACCTGAATATCGATTTCGCAGTATACCTTAAGTCTAGTCTTCCACTGAGTCCTTCCCACCGCCAGGAACCAAACGACGTGACGTCTGCCAACCTCCCTCAAGACGCATCCGTAACAACACAGTACGGAGTAGTTCCGTACACGTGTAGGCATCACCCGCGACCCTGAACGTTCTGCTGTGCCAAGACGCTACGGATAGTTACTCCGATTGCGTCACAGTGACTCAATTGCCTCCCCTTGTAATGAAGGAAGGGCTGAGCCAGGTAAGGGCCCCCACTGTTCAGCCCTGAGAGTCTAGCCGGGTTGTCCCCAAACCCCTCAATTGGGAACATTCCTGGCCGGACGTCCGAGGTTTTCAACTCACATAGGGTGCTGTAGTTTTACAATGGGAGCTTACAAGCTGCTCGCCATACGATTCCGGGGGCCAGCCTCCTGAACCAAGGTCTTGAACCTACGGTACCTTAATCGTTATGGACCTCGAAAACCAGCTCATGAAGTCAACGATACACGCCGAGATAGTCATGCACACTCTGTACTAATCGGCGGTAAGTTGCCGGAACCCAGCCTGTCATAAAACTCATAACACATATCATGTATGCTAAGAATCTGAAAGAATTGAAAAGGCGACCACACCAGGTGGCACAGAAATGTCAGTAGACGCAAAAGGTTCTAGTGATGGACGATTGACCTCTCAGAACCCAGAGAACATACATTGATTAACGATTACCGTATTCACTGCTTCCCAGCCACAACATTGCGAATAAGATTCTTCACGTCATCCTCCGTCCAGGTTACAAGGCCGAGCCTCTCGCTGTCATCCTCGTCAGGCTTCCACGGCTGGCCATACTCCTCGGCCGTGGAAGCGCGGTACACGAACGCATAGATATTGTCGAGCGTGGCCGTACCCTGGCTGAGCTTCTCCGAGGCCACGGTCTTGGCCCGCGCCGTATCCACTGTTTTGACCTCCCACCCGTCCTTGCCGACCACCTCGGCCGCTAGCTCGTACAGGCGCTTCTGCGAAAGGTTGATGTCCTTGACCCGCACCTCGCGCTTGCCCGCGGCCACCTTGCCCTCCAGGATGCCCAGCACGGCCTTGCCGATGCTGGCCATGGTCGTCATCGAGATGGGTCGCTCGCCGCCGTCCCAGAGACCCACCTTCTTGTTGTTCACGTCGAGGATGAAGCCCTGGATGCCCCAGTCGAGCCACAGGCCGACGAAGGTCAGTGCGTAGTCGATCTTGCCCTGTTGGAGGTAGCTCTCGAGGTGCGCCTGGATTCGGTTCTTGTCGTCGAAGATGGAGAAGTCGCGCCGCAGGAGCGGGTGGGTGTTGGCTAGGCCAAACTCGGACGGGATGAAGAATTTCACGCCGGCCTCAACGGCGGCGTCGATGATGGTCTTTTGGTCGTCGACGAACTTGGTGCCGATGGCTGACACGACGGCATCGACCCTCGTCAGGGCGGCGACCAGAGATTGGCGCGACGAGTAGTCGACTTCCTTAATCTGAATGTTGGGTCCTTGTGCGAGTGTTGCAGCGGATTTGGCTGAGCGGGTGAGAAGCGTGATGGAGTTGAACGCGGGCTGAGCTTCCTGCAGGGCTTTCAGGATAAGAGCGCCCACGTTACCCGTCGCCTGGGAGTTATTATGTTAACACTGCTGCCCTTTTATCACTTCAGAGCAGGTGGACTAGAGCTGCAACTCACCCCAATAAGTGCCACTGAAGGAAATCGCTGGGCCATGTTTGCTATCGAAGAATGGAGATGGAGAGTCGGGAGACAAGCTACCTTAGGGTTCCAGATTTGACGGTCGCGCTGACGGTCAAGTTGGGTAGCTTCGCTTTAAGCGTTTGATTTCTTCTGATTAAGGAAGTCTGTTGAGTCTGGTCATTGAGATTATCACCTTGAGCGTCCATATCTTTTTATATTTCGGGCTCCGAGCCCGCATCGCCTTCGTGTCGACTCAGGTTTCCTCAGTTTCCCGTCCACGGCCATGGTATTGTGTTTGGAATTAGGTAATGCTCGAACATTCGATGAATTGTCGTGCCTTGGACCCTTGGACAGGAAGAGCAAAGTTCCGGCAGGTCTTTGTTCCATATCTGAATTTTCCCTAACTGACTTGACCGGAATATTGTGTTCTTCCAGAACCATTATTAATCATATATCCAAGATATCATATTGCCAAGAAAATCGCGCAAAAGAACAGGACAATGGTGGACGCGAGGAGTTAGAACGCATGTTCATGAGCGGATAATTGATCTGACTTGTATCTGGAATAGGACCCAGGCCCAGAAAGGTAAAAAAAATTAGTAAGAATTATGCTTATTCCGAGTCGTGATGCAGTCACTTCTTCCCACTGATCGGGGCATTGCTCGCATTTTCTTTGCTCCGGGAGCAGGGGGCACTGCCCCCTTGTTGATCAAGAAAGGCCATGCGAACAATCCGAGGATTCGGCTACAACAAAACGGAACCCAAAACGCCGTCCAGTCATCCAAACACCGAGGTCCGAATCCCTGGCACGCCCTCATCTTTGTTGCACCCCAGGCTACTTTACTATCCCGCTATGGTCAGAAGGCTTTTTTCTCCCAAAGAATGACCGACCAGATAACGTTATCTATCCACTTGCACGCCTATCCTAACCCGCGTCGAACGCTCCTAATGAATGTAATATGCCCTTTGGGTAAAGGAACTTGGTATCTGCGCTCTGTACATTTGCCCCTGCCAGCTCAGAGAAAGATAGCACCAACGCCCGCCCCGGCCATACCAGCAACCAGAACCCCCATGTTGACTTTCATGAGGGAAGTAGCGTCCGACGTGGTGTTGTGCTGCTTGTTATGGTGGTGGCTGGTGCCTGGAGACCCCCATTTTCTCTTTTTCCTCTTCTCCAGGCCGTCCATGTCCTCATGCTCCGTGCCGTTCGTTCTGTGGTGGTGTTCACTGTATTCACTGACTTCGCCTTCGATCTTGTCCCGGGCGACGACGCCCGGGCCAGCGTTGTTAAGGCTAGCGGCCAACACGACGGCCATGAGGAGGGAGAAAATGACGGTGGCGTATTTCATGTTCGTGTCTGGCAAAGTTGGCGAGTCAACAAAGGGTAAACAATCCCTGATGTCTAAAGCTTTGGGTGTGTGGTAGATGAGTTGAATGAGTTCTATCTGGACGGAAAAATGGGATTTTGAGATGGCGAGTTCATCCATTTCTTATACTTGACTTTTTCTCAAAGGTAAGGTGTCTAGCATCTGATTCTGCATGCGGCGGACTTGCGGCCGTCTACAGGCATCTCCTGATTTACGAAACGGGTGACCATAAGGCCCGGGCAGTCGATGAATCTGATGGACCGTTGTGGGGGTTACATAGTACCTGGGATTGCTCGATGAGCTGGTTGGGTAACTCTAAGTCTGACAGACCTCTCGGCCCGGTCAAAGTTGTTTCGGCTGATACCCGGGGGCGGCCCGGTCCGGCCACTGCCGCCCAGACAAACTCAGATGATCGGCTTCAAAACGCGACTCTAAGGCCGGTACGCTTCATCGGAAGAATTGTCTATTTTATCCCCTTTGTTTTCCTTTCCGGTCGATTTCATGACTGCAATCGACGCTGGCTAGGTGGAGTTGCAGCTCTCGGGGCTTGTAGCCGGCGCAGGCGGCGGGCGCGTCTGGGTCCGGAGTGGGCCCGCCGTCTCAGACCCACTTCTCCGGCCGCTCTCCCGAGCAAGCGTCATGGAAACAGACGACTGCTGTTTGGTCTCTTTCCATCTGCATGTTGCAGCCGCGACGCTCGAGCAGAGTACACGCTTCACGCCGCTGACCTACAATGCTTGGTGCTCTGGCCCCAAAGGGTTGTCAGGTCTGGTGGACGCGTGACACTGCCGCTCTCTCGGTGACTTACATGGAAGGCAAGCGTATCGTAGCTAGGTAGATAACTTGGCAGCCAGAATGCCCGTCTCGTTTTACTCCACCCCGCGAGTGATATGTCATGAGCAATCATCCTCCCTCACCCCGTCTTTTCTCAGGATACGAAAACATCGGTCTTGATGGAGTAGGATCGTCCACTTACACGAAGGACTTCACTGGATCACCGCAATACAACAATGCCGTTCGTCAGAATCAGCCAAGGTGCGCCTTGGGAAAGTATTCCAACAACCGAATCTCAATGACCAAGGTTACATGCTGTGCAATACTATCCCTGATTGGTTCTCTCTTATCGAGCGGGTTGAGATTGGATGAGGGGTAGCTCCAGTGCGGGAATCATCACAATCATTGCGGAATCCTCCAAGGTACGGCGAGCGCCCGAATATACCTTATTCATATGACCATGGCGCCCAGCTCATACTTTGACGCCATTGACTGGACAAATACAGCTGGTTCAGTGGCCCTCATTATCATTTTGTTCGTCATCGTCACCTTGGCGTCTCGTCTCCGAACTGACCGTCCAGGCGCTCAAGGGCCAAATTCACCGTACCGCTTGCAATTTCCTCCATCTAGACGATATGTCCTCGGGGAACTCGGCCGAACTAAGGGTCTGTCTGCAGTATCTCATGCGGAAATACCCCCCGGAGTCCTGGCTTCTCGAGCGCTCCCAACAGCTCCCGATGCCACCTTGGGCAAGGGCACCTTCTATACTCCTACGGGATTCTCAAGGGAAGAGATTTCGGCACTTGGCCCATTCCCTGATTACGCGATTCTCAGCGGTGTTCCTCATCCAGAACCATGCGACCCAACATGGGACATGTCGAAGGCGGTCTTCCGACCATTCAGGCCGTTTCGCTGGAAATACCACCAGCACATGGGCAAGTACATGTGTTGTTCTCCCATCCTTCAACTCAACCCTAACATTAGCTGCCGCTCAGCCCTCATGAAATACGACGCCAACTTCTGGATCGAACTCACCCGCGACTACCACACCACCCTCGCAGCCCGGCACTCCCTCCTCAACCACCACCGCGCCCAAATCCTCTTCCAATCACCCTCCCCGGCCTGCGACCTCGCCGTCTGCGAACTGATGGAAACCCTCCTGCAGTTCCTCGCCGCACGCTACCCAGCTCACTTCTCCCTCTCGCACGACAACACCCTCTTCCACAACCGCCTCCTCAACACCACCACCGACCTGCGCAGTGCCACGGCCCGGCCGCTGGACGTCATCTTTTCCCATGTCCCGGAAGACTACGCCATCATGCTCCGCAGCGAAGACGACGGGCAATACTACCTCCGCGCCGCGGCCGTGTGTTCCTCGGTCGGCTGGCACATCGCCCAGCACCGAGACGCGCCGCTGCGCGAGATCCATGCCGAGGTGCCCGACGCCGGGAACGTGGCCATGAGCATGGACCGGTGGTTTGCGCGGTTGGCTGCCGACGCGCCCGTGGCGAGATGCTCGTGGAGTTTGGAGGATAGGGAGGTCGTGTTTAGCTCGCCTGAGGTGGAGCGGTTGGCAGGGAGGAAGTGGGTGCGCAGTCGGTTCCGCGGGAGGGAGGGGGAGCTAAGGGTCGGGGATGTGAGGTTGCGGTGTGATGCGCAGACGCTGAGAAGGTTGCCGGTGAGTGGCGCCGTGGTGTTCAATTTCAAGGCTGTATTTACGCCGCTGGAGGAGTTAAGGGATGAGCCGTTTGTGCCGGCGCTGCTGGGGAAGGTGTTGCGGGAAGGGAAGAGGGAGCTCGTCGGGTATAAGTGCGAGGAGCATGTGAGGAGGGTGGCACTGGAGGCGTTGGACCAGTGGGCTGCGGAACAGGTTGAGCAAGGTGTTGTACCGCCGGACTGGCAGGTTTCGACGTTGGACGAGAGCCCATTCTTTCCGGGCTGGGAGGAGAAATGGAAGAGGCAACAAGGCCAAATCTAGCAGGCCCCTAAGTGGTACAACACCGTCTTTGTCGAATTCGAGATCTTTACCGCTATGCTTGTTGATTTCGGAGTCAGTTGTGAGTCTCTCGTTGATGCCTCATGCCTATCACCGGTTCCGGGATAAACCGACTGTTATTGCACTCCAAACACAACAAGATGAAGACCTTGTGGTGGTTGGGAGGTGTTTGTTGGCGTGTTCCGTGGAGATCCCTCGACCATCTCGACTCGCGAGTGACTCAGCGGTCAGCGCGGTGGCATTACTGAATTCTGTCGGAACGAAGCCGCCTTGATGGCTGCATTCAACGGACCTCGGTGGTTGATTGGTGCCAGCACTGCAACCCCTCTTCCTTACATACTTAGTCCTCTCCCATGCCCATCAACAGCATGGTCAATCAATCACTTTTTACCACCTTAAAAATTCAATCCACTGCTTTGACTGGGAATAGCTTCTTCCAGCGCATATCTGAGCGGTCGTCGCCCTGCAGGTTCCAACAAATTCATTGTTTAGCGGTCCAAAGTCCCCAGGTTCTCCAAAGTATCGCACACAACTGAAGTTGGTTTTAGTCAACTCGAACACGTAGTGACATACATGGTACTGCATAACCGGATCGCCCAGGTTAAGCGTTATGGTTAGGCCTTATCCGAATTTAGGGCTGCCTGTGACCATTGAGATCTGATCGTTATTGACAGACATTGAGTGTGCCGTTTGCAGCCGAGACGCAGCCAAATCGATCGGAAACGGATGAACTTCTCGTCCGCAACATGCAAACTCCACTCAGCCTAGCGCCCAAGTAACGTTAACATCGCTCTGATAACTCAGTAAAGCACTTGGCGGCTGGATATGCGTCATATTCATGATTCGGAGCTGAGCTCTTCGCCATATAAAGCCGCTGCTATATCACAACGCGGCGGTGCAGTCCACAGATCATGGTATAGACGTCCAACATACACCAGCCAACCCTCAACATCATGGCCATCTTCACAACCAGCGATGGAGCCAGGCTCTTTTATCGCTACTACATCCCCTCCTCTTCCCCACACCGACCCGCCACAATCATCGACCGCCAGCCGCTGACGCTTGTCTTTCTCCACGGCTGGCCCATGTCCTCGCGCATGTTCGACCAGCTGATCGTACCGCTGGTCGAGACGCACCGCTTCCCCGTCATTGCCCCGGACCGCCGTGGGTTCGGCAACAGCGACTGGACCACCCCCGAAACGGGCGAGGTCACCTTTGCGACCTTTACTCAAGACGCGGTCGCCCTGCTCGAGCATGTGATGCGAAAGAACCCCGGGCCGTTTGTGTTTGTGGCCGCGAGCATGGGCACGGCCGAGTCAGTTCTTGTTCATGCGGCTAGCGAGTTTTTGAGGGAGCACTGCAGGGGTTTTGTCTGGCTCGGGCCCAACATGCCATACCCTGTCAGGTGCGAGGAGTGTCCTGACGCCTTGGGTCCGGAGCGGTGGGAAGGAATCATCCAGTCCTTTCGCGGCGCCGGCGGCAAGGAGTTCATCCTCCAACAGGTTCCCGGTATTTTTCGCCTGGACCTGGGCAACCAGGTCGGTCAAACTACGCTGAAATTCATTGAAGGGCTGGTCTGCCAGGCCGATCCGATCGCCCTGGAGCGGACGGCGGTGATCTTGCAGAAGCCCATGGCGGCAGAGCTTAGGCAGATGGCCAAGGCGGCTCTCGCGGATGAGAAGAACCAAGTGCCCATTTTAATCCTCCATGGAGAGTCGGACGCCGGCATGCCGCCCAAGACAAGCGCGGCCTTGGTTCACCAGCTGGTTCCGTGGTCGCAGCTGAAGGTGTACGAGAAGGCAGGGCATGGTAGGTTCTGATTCTCGACCCACCCGCCTGTGTGATGAAGGGAAAGCTGACGGGGGGTGTAGGGCTTTATCTGACACATACCCAGCAAGTATTGGACGACATGCTGGCTTTTATGGAGCCGATTGCTGCTAAGGAACGCCAATAGTTGATTTCTAGCCGGCTGACTGATAATGGGAAGGAAGTAATGCTCGGCTTCACCATTTACCATGTTACCATCCAACACACGAGGGTCGTGGCAGGAGCAACAACTTGAGAGCCGCAGGCTCTATGCGGTCCTGATGCAAGCAATCATGAATGCAGGTGGTGTTGGGGGCCAATCCCACCTCAATTAACCACCGGGAGTTCCATTTTTAGTCGTGAGCACACAACCGTGACAGTATTGCAAGTTCTGCGTTATGCTGTGAGGAGGAGAGAAGCTTCCAAGTAGCTGTAGAAGTTGGCCGGCCGGGAAACACCGTACCGTGAATCACTCAGCCATCGAGGGTTCAATGTTGCTTCAGGGCCAAGTCAGATACGACACCTCTGGTGCTCTAGCGCATCGAGACGCAGCATGCCTTGCGGTATCTCCTTCATGATGACCCTCCAGATGCCCAACCAAGGAGTCGGCGGGTTTTGTCTCAATCTCCGTTTATGTCCACTGCCGACCGGGCAAACCGCCATAGCAAGCTGAGGTCAGCCTGAGTCAAGTTGGGTGCGCTGGGCCACGGGAGTGTCGAATGCAAACGCAAAGCTGGCTCATCCAATGAAGGTTTTCCAACGTTGAATGACAGTAGTAGTGTAATCGCTTACAAATTAGATGCGGGGAGAAGTCCAGCACTGGGAGCTGGGGGCCAGAATCCGTAAGGATTCGGACAATACAACGTGGGGGAGGTAAGGAGAGGACTGTCGGTACGACTGAGCCATTTCCGGCTCGTTCGACGTAGGCGGAGGTAATACAGTGTACACAAGCGAGTACCTTGAGTCCACATGGGCTGTCAAATTGTCTCCATTGACTGGGTTCTTCTCTTTCACCCGAACGCGGCTAGAGGTCCATTAATCATCGAACACCCGCAAAAACGTCTGTTGGCCTTTACTGTCTGGTCACATTACTCCTCACCATAAGGTACCCAAAATAATGAAGCAGAATTGCCTGCCTATTCGAGAAGCCGTTCTTATGCTAGGTCCATAACATGTGTCGCATGGACCCTGCAGGGAAAGAGTCGAGGAACTTTCATCAGCATGTCGTAGCTACGATTGGAGGAAACTTAACCACTGCCAGGTGTGATACTAGAGACCTCAGCAATAAAAAACCGGAGGACACCCAAACAAGAACTCATTTCTTCAGCCGGCCAGTCGAGAACTCCAGCGGTTGGCTGATCTTTGTTTAGACACCATTGCCTCACTCCAGTCGCTCGGATTGACATTCCTCTTCCTCGTGCCAGACTAGCATTCCCACCCTCCGCTGCTATAACAGAGAATCACAAACACTACAATGCTCGTAAAGACCTTTCTCCAGGCATTTGCAGCCCTCCTTCTCTCCGCCTCAACCGCTACTGGAACCAACGAAACAAGACCCTTCGGCGGCGTCGGGCAGCTCCGCACCCTCTACATCCGCGGCAACAATGAGGACCTTGGGTGCCTCACTGGCGCCGGCAAATGGACCGTCGACGAAGCGCAGTGCGGCACCTTTAGAACGGAGCCAATCACCAACTATACTTGGTATCTCTTTTCCACCACCGAGGGCATGTGCGATATCGACGTTCCGAGTTATTCGTACGTTTTCAGGTGCGGCAGTGATGCTCAGGCTGAGTGGGCGGTTTTTGGGGTATGCTTCCTTTTCCTTAGCCGGTGCTTCCGACGCGGTCACTGTTGATCGAGACAGTACGTGGATGGCTGACGACCTGGACAGAACTGGCCGACGGATCCCGGGATTCCCGGGCCTGGTACACTGCGGTGGAAGCAGTACGGTATCTTTGCGACGGATGCACCTGATAGTCCGCCGGCGCCAGGGGATGAGCCGCTGCCAATTCACTTTTATGGTGGCATGGATAAGGGGAAGTATGTGTTTCTAGAGTGGAAGGTTCTGGGGGAAGAGACGGACGAGGATGCGGAGTAAGGGCCTGGTATCATGATGATGATGATGATGATGTTGACATTCTGAACACAAGGTCTTCATGGGAAAATTGAAATCAGGTCTGTGTCATGGCAGATGACAATGATCTCAGCGTGTGCCTATCAAAAAAAGACAAGGTAGCATTCTAGTATTCCTCCGCCAACACAAGATCAACCCAATTCGCTCAAGCCTCACCCTTGAACGCCTCCTCCAACTCGGTGATGTTGAGATGTGTCGAATGCATCATCTTGAGCGACGCCCTCCCGGCAGCTTCCTTGTCCTCGCTGGACAGCATCTCCTTCAGCACGATCGGGATGATCTGCCACGACACACCATATTTATCTGCCACTATCCCCATCAGTCAGCATGTGCAGTTCCTCAAACGTGACAGCTCTCATCGAGAAGGGTTTCTCCCTTACCCCAGCCACACTGCTGCTTGGTCTGATCGCCGCCCTCGCCCAGCTTGGCGTAGTAGAAGTCCACCTCCTCCTGGTCGGCGCAGTCGATTTGGAACGAGATGGCCTCGTTGAACTTGAACTGCGGGCCGCCGTTGAGGGCGACGAAGCGGTGGCCGTCAAGGACGAATTCAACAACCATGACACTGCCCGGTTCGCGGCCATGGAACTCCTTGCCCGCTTCGAGGAAATGGTTGATGTGTGTGATCTTGGAGTTGGGGAAGATGGACGTATAGTACTTGGCTGCCTCTTCGGCTTGGCCGTCGAACCACAGACAGGTCGTCATCTTGAGCGTGCTGGGTGCCATGGTGATGGTGTTACCAAAAGAAAGAGGATGGAATTTCAAGGAAGTGGTTCCAGTATCCCGTTAGACGTGGTATTGAGATGCGAAGGAAGGAAAAGGCCGTGATGATGAGGGGAGAGAGAGAAAAATGCAGATGTCTCGGCGGACGTTCACATTTCTCTTATACACCAAAGGGTCAGTAGTCCTTTGCCCAGAATTGATACACCGCTCTTCAGGCAACATCCAGGCAGCAATCACCGTTCACGGATGGCTGTCGCTACCCGCATCTGATAGTTTGCTGTGATGTTCGACGCGTGAATGCAGGAGGGGAACAGCTGCATCATCCTGACGCTCTTGGCACGTAAGTGGCGCGCTGTCATGTGCGTCTGATCAGTAATCAGCGGGTAGATCCAGACCCGTCTTAGATCTCGGCCGGTGCATCACTGCAATGAAATGGGCAACTCATATAGTGTCAAGGAATGCCTGATAGATGTTTGATTACCGTAGGTAGGTGGTCAAGAGCATCTGTCGAGCTGGTGCTTTGTCTTTTCAAGTTTCGTCCTTCGAAGCCCGCTGGTGACTCTGCACCATAGGAAAGTACGAGGTAACTCCGTACAAGTACCCACTTTCCTTGATTAATCACACCTCTTGGCAGGAACTGCTCCGTCTTTTTGAAACCACGATCCTGGCGACTCGAACCACCACCAGGAGAGGAACACCGCGCTCCGTATCCACGCTGGTGGACCATTCCAGCAAGGGGGATTCTAACAGGGTTCGAAATTGCTGCCGCAGCATACATAGGCTGCTATATCCATGCCAGAAACACTGCAGGCAAACGCTCGGGTGGCGCGGTAGCTATCATCGGGGTGTGTCTCCGCCCTCTAATTAATTACTCAATTACTGCTGTGATTCCAAAGCATGAACGGGTTGTTACTCACGTCACTCACCGAACTAACGACACTCCTAAACAGGTTGCTATAGCAATGGTTGTGGATGGTGGAATCACGCTGCTCTCCATGGTCGGCTTTTACGAGTCCAGCGGAACATGCGCTGCCGGCTTCTTCGACATCGTCACGGTTACTGTGTGCTCCGTTGGAGCCATCGGCGTCTCATGGCCGGAGCGGGAACGGGACTACACTTTGAGGGACGCCCAGTCAATTGCTGGGACGTTGGTAGGAACGGTCAGATGGGTCTCCTCCCCGATGCTGAGCTCTCTTGATCTGAATGGCGGTATGAGTGCTAGAATGGTTGTTTGGACAAAGCTGAAACCAATTCGAACTCCCAATGCGGTAGACCTTGTCTGCTCGATAGGAGACTGCGTTGTGTGTTGTACCGTCTGGCGGAGAAGGAGGAGAACTCGACGGAACGCAACGGCAAACCCGGCAGACGACCCAGCCGGTTTGCCTGATTTGCACCTACAGGCATCTCAGGATGGACCAGTACATAAGCAGCAAGGGGCGGGCCTAAAAGAAAGTCACATCAAGGATGCAAACAGCCCTCTGCAACTGGGTCCAGTCAACTTGAGCGGCGAAACGGCCAATACCAAGGATGGGATACCAGTCTAAGCGGCTAGGCTGATCAGCCACTACCTAATTGCGTATTAACCTTGAACTAGAAATGACAAGGGGGATACGGGCCTCCTACAGGTATAGAAATGTGGAACAAAGGCGGGGAAGGGCCACTTATACTTACCGGGAACTGTTACTGCGCGAATGGAACCCTTAGAGAACATGAAAGGTTTGAAGGAAAAGGGTCTGGCGCGGGGCCTAGGAGGCAAGGAGGCATGAGTTGGGGTTGTCGGGTACACTACCTTAGGATAGGTACCTTCGATCAGTAGTACATGTACCCTGCCTCCCCACCCGATTGACGGGATTGTGTTTGAGAAAGTGAGTTCGAGGGCGGATGAGGGTTGCTGGCTGGGTTGGAGGGTAGTAGGGAGATGGGGGATAAATGGGTGAAAGTGGACTCCGGGGGGGAAGATAATTGGTAGTTGAGTGTAGAGGGGGAGGGCCGGGGGCGGTTGATGCATCTCATACATGATGGGATTCAGGGAGAGAGGACCGCTGGTTGCACCATATCGTATTCCATTTGGAGATGGTCTGCAAGGACCCAATGACGGTAACCTAGTAATCGGTACAAGCACACGCCAAAGTGTTGAGCGCCCAGTGCCGTGACATGAGCTCTCTGAGTCGGCACTGAGTGCTTGACGAAGTCAGTAGAACACTCGCTGTCAACTGAACCTAACAATACCGAGCCAAGGGTATCAGGTATGCTAAGGTAGGCTCACTACTATGGTCCTCAGTAAGCCCATGTATGTTGACATCGCAACAAATAACGTTATAGTACATAACGGTAAAAGAAAAAGTAACATCCGGTGAAACCGTTATCCATATGTACATCAACCCGTAAACTGCCTACAATCCCTTCTGTGATTAAGTCTACCGTACTCCCTGCGCATTAATGTACCCCCGTATTGTGCGCCAGCTTGACGTGCCTCGTCACCACGATGCCGCCACCCGCCTCCTCGTCCCCAGTCACTATCTTTCTCTGACTCTCCGTCTCGAAGCTAGACACGTCTTCTTCCTTGCGCTTCCCCCCGAGGATCTCGGTCAGAGTCATGGTGTTGCCGTACCCGTTCGACGACGAGACATGGTGCCTGCTCTCACCATGCTCGCTGTCGCACTCCTGGTAGGTGCGCCGGCGCATGCTGGAGCCGAAGCCGTAGCGGGCATTGCTGGTGCCGTGGCTCTGTTTGTTGGACGTGTCGCCGCCCAGCTTCAGGATGTTGCGCAAGAGTGGGCGCAGCGTCATCACGCAGCCTACAATGAGTCCGAGGCCGTCTGGTAAGGAGACACCCGGAGTTAGCATCATCATTAAAGGTGAAGTTGGAAACGGGATCAGGGGGATCGTACTTTCTCCGTACCCCCAAATCACAATGTCTGCCAGAGCATCTGTATGCAGGAAAGCATGTGTCAGCATGTTGCAGTCAAGAAGTGCCTGCTTCAACGGAACGTACAGAGGTAGTTCTCCTGAGCTGTGAGGTTGACGGTGTATTTGAGACGAACACAGGCGGATATAGACGCGAAGAATCCCAGTCCAAGCAAGCAGACAACCGAAACCTTGGTGTTTCGGTTCAGCTGGACGTTCCAGAGCAGAGGAATGGGCATGAAAGCGGTGACCCAGTCCGTAAAAATATTGACGGCAGTTGTGGCATCTGGGGACGTGTCGGTGATAAGTAGGGATCCATCCATGATGCTTCTGACGTCGGCGTGTAAGGCTTACAGTAGATATCGGCCAGGTAATGCGAAGGGTTACACTTTCCTCCATTCTCGAGGGCAGATGGGTCCCAAGCGGCGCTGACCGGGTTGCAGTGAAAGATAATGTAAAAGCCTGGAATGAAATGGCCGCTGTGTCAGTGACTAACACCCGAAACATGAAGGGACACAGCTACTACTGACCCGCAATGAGGTTCATGGTAGTGAAGAGCGCTATCACGGCGTACTGTATTTGAACATAGACTTTTCGGTTCTGGTGCGGATGTTGTCAGTACCATGACCCGGACGAGGAGCCAGACAGCTGATCTCATGTTCATGGGACGAACCTCGGCAATTCGAATGAGTGCCAGACTGATGGACATCTTGACAGGAATGATGTTGACACAGTAAAACACCTCGAATATGAAGAACCACTGATTTGCCACCCCTCAGTTAGCCGCCTACTCTCCCTTCACAGTAGGTCAGGGGAATCACTCACAAACAACCCCTTTTCCTGATACCCTGCGTTCTCCGGCAGTGCCAGAGTTGCATTGGTGGCGCCAATACCAGTGAAGGCGCAGGCGATGCATCCTATTGAGAGCACGGTGAAAAGGGGGAGTGCCGCAGTCATGCACCAATCTTCAATGCCCCATGGTGCATACCGCAGACGGGTGTAGACTCGGAGGGCGAAGGCGATGTAGGCAATAATGCATCTGACAAATCGGAATGAGCCTGGGCTGTTGGGCAAAAGACAATTCGTCTTAAACTCACTGCAAGCAGTGTCAGTGGAAAAAAGCGAACCACAGGATGGAAGAGGACGAGGGCTTGGACTCACCATGGTGATGACGGCCGCGGCCACGTTCGGCCCGTTGTCCACGTGGAGCACCATCTTGATTGCTGTTGGGATGAGCCCCCAATTTTCTCTCCGGAAGACCGGCCAAAGGCGGCAAGACAAAACAAGAACGGTAAACGAGTGACGTGTATTTCTGCTTCCTCAGCTAGACCTTCCCCTTATTCAACGACAGACACCGACCTACATAATTGAAAAACTTCACCTCTAAATACAATCCACTGGCCCCTGAAAAGTTGCCTCACAATCGATGGAAAAGCCAAGACTATAAGGCGTCGAAAAGGCCCGATCTATTTTCAATGTTCTGGTCCACCAAATGCCGCGTTTCAATGCTGTGGGCCAGCTCAGCTCGCTGGTGGAAAACCAGGTGGTGCCTGTTAGAAGTCCGCCAAGCAGTAACGAGGAGAGAAGACGACAAAAATTCGTTCGGACCAGTGCCACTTTCGCATCCACTAGGGGTGGGGCATCACTTCATGAAGCCTTCGTTGGCACTGGTTTGCATTTGGACTCGATTACGGACAATGCCGCCGCCACAGGCAAACAGTCCTGGATACCGTAGTCTAAGCTTTCTTAGTGTCACGCTGGCTTCGGCATTCAATTGGTACGGAGAGTTTGAGCCAGTCGCTCGGGTCAGAAGGAATACTTGGCTCTCGGCAGCTTGCCTCGCTTAACGTTGCCTATCGAGGGTCGGCACGATGGGGACTGGAGATGGAGCCCTCCACCGCGGAGCAAACAAAGCAGTCATGAACAACCGGAGAGTGGCACGCAGATACGTTACTTACAGAATGTTTGTCGCATCCAGGGCGCTCACCGCCGCCCTCATGCAAAAGCTCAATCTCTCGAGACTATCAACAGGTTTCATCTGGAGGAGATCGGGCTATGGACTTCCGACAACTACGGAGTATGGTGTAAGGAATGCGTTGTGGGTCGCTACTATGTTGCCACACCATCTGCCGAACCTTTATGAGTTCCGTTTTTAGCTGGTCCGGACGGCAGCTCTTTGCGGCTAGGGGATCGGCGACTGCGAAGCCATAACGAGTATCCAATCACGGCAAATCACCCTTCCTGATGCTCTGGGGTTTATGTGGAGACTGGTGGTCGTCGGTTCGTGCTCACCAGACTCCTATTCCAGGACTGGACCGGACCTGTCCAACGGCATTGTCACATGCAAGAGGAACCCCCGGCACGTCAATATGGAGGAGCGGTCTGGGCATGCTGTTCCCGATGCTCATCTCATTGTATATGGATTGGGATCTATTCCGAGGCTTACTAGGAGAACAGCGGTTTCCCCAAGTACGTGGATGCCTGGGAAAGCCCGAACCAGACTGTGTCCATCCCGCGGCGCATGATGGTAAGGTATCTCAGATAGTAACTCGGAAACCCCGAGGTCCTCGACGAGCGAACGTCCAGGCTTTTTCTCACGAACTCCCGTCGAGGAACGGCAATATCCCTCATCCCAGACGTCTTGGCCGAGGTCATACCTAGTTACGCAATACTTCATTGCATTGTCGGCAAGAAATCACCAGCAGAACAGCCACAATTAATTATCGGTCTATTATCACGCTGGCCATTAGGTATCACCATATTCTAACAGGTAGGTACAGGAGCTGGTGCTAAAACTATCTTCCCGGCAGACGTGTGCTCAAAGACTGTTTCCTGTTGATGACTCTTCCATTTTCCAACGTCTCAGTAAATCACGTATGATGACAGTATGTTGTTGATACCAAAACGGCTTCTGGCACCCATCAAGCCCGGGGATGCCATCTGAGGGTAGCCGTGTATGATTCTTCAACACATTAAGGTGCCTTAGGTATAATATTCATCGTGTAGTACCATACCGTGTTAAGCCACGCCTAAATAGCCCGACATCTACAGTCCCTATCCTGTCATTCAACCGCCACTCACCGGGTGTGACTTGGTCCAGGTCGAGTCGTCTATTGCCGGCAGCGTCTCGACCAAATTCCATTTTCCATCCCACTCCCAGTAGGAAAGCAGCCCATATGTCCCTTCAGTGGCCATGTGCATCCTCTGGTTAAAGCTCCCCTGAACCAGCGCCCAAACCTGCTTCACCCCTGTTCCCGCCGTCTGGACCAGTCGCCACTTGCCCGGCTCACCCTCTGCCGGGTTCTTGGCGTGGATATCATCGTTCACTCTCTCCCAGTGCTGCACACTGCCGTTCACGGCAATGACTAGCTGGAACCCCCCGATGCTAGTCTCGTTGACTGTGCCGAAATAGTCCTGGATCATCACAGGCGGTGTGTCAGGCGGGATCCCAGAGCCGAATACTTCGCCCGCCCACCATTCTGTTGTGTCCTGACCATTGCGCCAAAAGAATTGCATTGTGCCGTCCGTGCGAACGGCTACGGTATACAGGTTGCCGCGCGAGTTGCCCTCTGACTTGTAGAGGTCTAAGCCGACGTTGGAGTGCACGAGAGAGGGGCCGCTCTGGGCGATGTTCTTTGCGATGGTTGAGTTGGTTTGGGTCCAGGTTGTGCTATTGGGCAGTTGTTGCCACTACGACGGTTAGCTCTGCACTCCAAAGTTCAATGGGCGGCAAGAAGGGCTTACCTCGTTTAGTGTCCCATCAGCATGCTTCACGACCATCACCAACTGTGACCCGTCGCTCTGGACCAAGCCGGGAAACCCATCAATGCCCTTGCCCTTCAGACTGGAAATTTGCGACCACTTCTTTTCTGACTGGCTGTACGCCCACTGGTGCAGTGCTTGATCCTTGTCAACGCCAACTGCGTGGAAATCCCGGTTGAACGAAGTTCCAGCAATGGCGGGATGGCCAACCAAGGCGGTGCCCGGAACGTCCAAGATCTTATTCCACTTGAATGTGTCTCCGTCGCGCGAGACGTGATGGAACCCATCGGCAGCGGAACTGATCAGAAGCTCAAAGTCCCGGTGAGACTCGCCGTTCCCCGACTGCAGCATGCTCCCGCTCTGATGGCGCTTGCGTGTCCACGGATCCGGGTTGACATTAGCAACCCCGTATTTCGTCCAGCTGTCGATATTGCCTTGGTCATATCTGCCACCAATGTTAACAATCTTACCAGGCGGTTCCGGACAGACGGACGACCTGGGCATCCGCTCAGGGGTAAACTGACCCAAAATAAACGAAACCATCGATCCCCCACCCCTTTCCCCAAGAGTTTTTGAGAATCCAAGCTTGCTTCTCGTCGTCATAGCCGACCACCAGCGCGAGATGATTCCCCGTCGACTCGGCCACCCCATCCCACTTGTAAACAACCCATTCATTCGCCGGCTTCCACGACCCAAAGTCCGCGTACAGCACAAACGTAGCAATTAGCGGCCCATACTCATCCAGCCATCTCTTCTGGTCCTGGATTTCTCCGAGAGCCTGATAAAACGGGATATGCGTCGTTCTGCCCGACCGGTCTCTACAGGGCTCATAGCTATGTAGCGTCGCCTCATATGGGTCACACGGCCAGTCCGCAATCCCCGGCGGTTGAGCGTTTGTATCATTTACGAACATGATACCCTGCCCAGCCACCCACGCCAGCGTCTCCTCGGCGTTGCCCACGCTCTCGCAAGCCGCGCCAACCCCGTCGTGCAGGTCGGCTTCGCTCCGCTTGCTCCACACGCCGTGCTCGATGCGCACCATCGACTCGATCAGCGCGGTCGCTGCAAAGGCCCAGCAGCTGTTGCAGCCGCCTTGGTCTTGGGTGGTTGTGATGTAGTTGATGCCGGAGCGGTTGCGCCAGTCGACTGAGGTGGGCGGGGAAGAGAGGGTGGCGGCTTTGTTGGAGGCGAGGTGACCTGCTGGTGAGGAGAAGATGGGCGGCCGAATCGATGACCAGTCGAGCGGGCCGATCGAAGATGCTGGGACTGGGTCCGGCCAGGGTATTCGCCTTGGTCGGAGGATCGAGTTGGCGACAGCTACCGTGACAAGGAACGCCAATGAGAACTTGAACTCCCAAAGCCAACCCATCTTGCCCTTAGAGTGAAGGAGAAGGAGCAAAGCGCCTGAATGTGTGGCTCTCTCTTGAAGTCCGGTCGTTCACCCGCAGGCCCAACAAGACCTCCCAGGTCTGCTACACCAGCTCTTTTAACGTATTTGTAGGGGCTGAAGCAAGATCTCAGGCCGCCGAAGTCGCAGGATCCCTAAGCTGGCTGCGCGTGATGCGTCCCCGAATATCCACATGCTAGACAAGTTCCTCCTTCCGAGCTACCAAACCCGGCATCTCATCATGGTGATCATCAATCTCGAACCTGGAACTTGGCTCGCGCCAAGTGTCTTTCATCCCACCAACCATCCCACCAATTACCAGCCCGTTTCACCTCGCAACACTCCAAGTTATTCGCTGTTGATCTCCCGATGAACCGTCTGAAACGGCAGGGGACCCACCTGCATATGATTGCAATACCCATTAAGATATATCCCCCCTTTAGCCGCCACGTACTGTTCCGACGCGCATTCAAATTGTCGGTGCTGGTTTAACCGTCCAGAAAACGACACTAGGGACAGTGGACACCCCTAATCACACTCACGGGCACGGTTATGTAAGGTCGATAACTATTCAGCTCGACTTGATGGCGGTTACGTCTTAGTGGCACCGAGGATCAATCTAGTCTCCACCCACCTCCAAGTCCATCCTCTGGCTAAACCTGTTGTCTGGTTCTGTGCCTTATTTTGCTCCGTACATTTTGCTATAAGATGATGCTCAAGAATGGCTGGCTGCCCTGACCGACCGGTGCTTGCCAGGCCACCTGCTTTGCCATCTCCGATCTTCTCATACTTTGTTATATTTTACGCATATGATGAGCGAGTGCGCAGGATAAGCGAGTGAGCAGGATAAGCACGTGAGCCCCTTCAAAATCCACACAAAAACCTAAAAATCCAAGGGTAGTAAAATCACCACACTCTTTCCTTTGAAGATCGCCTTTCACAGGTAGGATGTATTAATAGAAGCATTAAGAGATTTGCTAACTGAGCTGGATATTGCTAGAACCTAGTTCGCTTAAGTTTTAAAGTCTAAGATTAAAAACGACGAGGCTTTAGCCTTCAACCTACTCACATGGATATATTAGATAAAGTTATCTTCAATATTTAGGAACTAGATAGTTAAGCTAAGTTAATTGCAGAGTCACAGATAATTTTAAATGTAAGTTGTTGAACTGTGTGGGTTCCTTGGCACCAAGATTCACGGACTGAGCACTGATGTTCAATGCGAGACTCTCAGTCAGCACAGATCCATCACAATGACACAGTTCCTGACATAGCGTCATATCATGGCACACTGTCTCTATATAAGGGGGTAATTCCCCTGGGAGGATTAGAGAGGACAATTTTCTGTTCCAACAAAAAAGGGACATTCTGAGGCACCCTAACCCACTATCTTGGTCCTTCATTTGTGTGGTCACTCTGGAATCGTGACTCCAATTCAAGCTTCGTTTCATACCTCAATCTGTTCAATACCATTTGGTTGATCTAAGCTTACTTGAGCATGTAACTGTTGGCTGCCCAACATAAGTCTGGTGGTTCTAACGAGCTTGTGTTTTCAGGGTTATATGTGGATTTCTGACGTTACTCGCTCGCTTACTTATCCCCCTCAACTCGCTTATCATATCACGTTACGTTCCTTTAAAATATTTTCCCCATTCCTTGTAACGTAATTATTCTCTTTTCTTCTAATGTTTCTCTTTCTTCTGCTGTCTTTGTTTTCTTTTACTATCTTGAATGACTACAGAAACGCGTAGACCTAGCCGGTGTTCTTGCAAATCTTGAAGTGCCATGGAAATCCGACTTATCGTACTTGAAGGTTAAGTGTTACGGTGTAGTATTGCCCGACGCTGGGGCCTAGTCGTTCTTATTGACCACAATGCCCGAAACCTTGAGCTTAGTTAGATGTGAGCGGGACTTGACTTCCACCGATAGATTGATTCGTACGCCAGAGAACCCTGTCCGTAGAGAGGGAGCACAGGATGGGTATAGGTCGGTATCTTATGGATTAGCAAGGTCAAGTTGTAATCTTTCCGTGGTCACAGCGGCAGATTATTTCAAGTCTTGGCACAGAGACACAGAACGTCCCTGCAGCTCTCCGTTGCAGCCGTGTCGTGGGACACAACGTCAAGCGCGGGGTCTCTTTTGTCCGCATGACTGTGACTCAACGCTTGCCGGGGCAAGGGACAGACCTCCTGGGGAAGTTGTCTGCGAGTGGTTCTTGATAACTTTGGATGACATTTTCCCAGCACAAGTTTTGATTTTGACGTTCACTTGCTCGTTTCTATTTGTGAAGCGCCATGGCGCCGCCTCCAGGACCTCTCGCCATCTCGGCCAGCCCCCGGGTGCATGCGCTCCTGGCACGCCTCCACGCCGCCTCGGCAGCCCAAGAGAAGTCACTCTCCCAGGTCTGGTTCTACCTGAAGCGTTTCATCACCTTTTACATTTCATCCAGCGCTTGGGGTCCTGCCGCCGATGACCACATGCGTGACAAGTTCGTCGCGCTCGAGGAGGACAAGTGCCACTTCGTGTACCTGCTCGCCCGCAGCTCGGGTGCCCTGAACATTGTCGAAGCCGGCACTAGCTTTGGCGTCTCTACCATCTACCTTGCGTTGGCCGTCGGCCAGAACGTCGCCGACCAGAAGGCGCTGGGGAGGACCGTGAACGGCAAGGTCATCGCAACGGAGAAGGAACCGACCAAGGCGGCCCGGGCGAGGGAGCACTGGGCCGAGGCCGGCGATGAGGTGGCAGGTGTGATTGAGCTGCGCGAGGGCGATCTGCTCGAGACGCTCAAGAGGGATGACATGCCGGAGCAGGTCGACTTCCTTCTCCTGGACAGTGAGTTAATCCCAATGTATCAGTTGCGAAGAAGGGCGAGTTTCCCTAATAACTCAACACAGTCTGGACACCCATGGCGCTTCCAACTCTCCAGATTATCAAGCCTCGCCTCAAGAAGGGTGCAATTGTCCTCGCGGACAATACCAAAATGGCTCGCCCTTTGTACGCAGAATACCTCGATTACATCCAAAACCCTGCCAACGGGTTCAAGACGACCGAGATACCATACTCTGGAGGCCTGCAGATGTCCGTCTACCTCCCAGAGTAGAGAACACTAGTGAGATTGGGCTTCATCAGGCCGCGTCGGCCACTTCTCGGTTGGGAGATGTCGAACTAGAAACTGATCGGCAACGGGCGCCTCTACCTGCACCACGAGACGATGTTTTGGTTGTTGGCTGGTTGCCCCAATGCCCATTCATTAAGGGATTTATTCCAATTCTTGCTGATGCCTCCGGGTTTGAATTGTTGTAGGAATGATGAGCTGTTCCACTGCTAAAAGGGGGTTGTTAGGGTGCCAGAGCAATCGATGGATTCAGGTTCATGTTGAGGAAGCGGATATGCATGGAGTCTGGTACAGTGATAATAAGGTGGCTTTGCGAAGGGGGAAATGAATCGATGCGCCCTGCGTTACTGGGTTTTTGGTGAAGAAGCGAGTCCGAGGCAAGGCTTCGCTCAAGCCAGATAAGTCAGATCCGGACGCAGAATTTTCAAAGACGTGGCGGTAATGGCTTAGGCGACGGCGTGGCTGACGGCTCGTTGAAAGGGCCGGCGTTAGCTACTAATCTACTATATGTACGGTGTGGCAAGTACTTGTAAAATTGACAAGTCAAGTTTGAAGTCATACTTACTTGGTTCTAAGCCCTGTTTGACTTTGTCTGACTTGGTAACTTGGTCAAGTATTTGCCTTGAGCGAAGCCTTGATCCGAGCTGTCATATTTCCAATCAAAATTGGAACACATTGACCATTGTGGGATTCAGCAACTCTTCGTGAACTCCGAGAGTCACACGGTGGTAAGCTCGGGCGTTAGTTTTCCCATCGCAGCTCTTGGCCGCGTCTGTTATCTGGTGCACGTGCTTGCGTGTTAACTCATGCCTGCTGCCGAGGGGCACCGCGTGCTGGGCGCAAAACACCCCGTTCGAAGTTCTCCGACGGATCCGAAATGTTCTTTCCTCGGTCTTCGGTCCGCAATAAGTCCGATGTCGAAGGATAAAACTTACAAAGAGAGGCCATTCTCCCCAGTCTCACACAACATGGGAGAGGGCCACCCAGAGGCCGAAAAGCTTCCCATTCTCAGCCAAGAACTGTCCTACTATTTCGATTCAACTACCGGCCAAGAAATCTCGCCGAACATGGCTCAACAACAACAGCCGGCCGTCCAACTCATCTCCAAATCCGACTTCACTACCCAACATGTCGTGCCTGTCTCCCTCCCGACCCCGTTTCCGCCTCTGAGCCCGGGACAAGCCCGCATTCGCACCCACACTATCTCTCTGACCACGAACAACTTCACCTACGCCAGGCTCGGCGGCATCCCCTACCTCGGCTGGTGGGATGCCTGGCCGATGCCGCCCTGCTCCTCCCTGCCGGCCCCCTTCAACGAACCCTCCACCCTGGCAGGGTATTGCCGGGTTCTGGCCTGGGGGTACTCGGCCGTCGTCGAGAGCGCCGTGCCCGGGCTGGAGGTCGGCACGCTTCTGTTCGGCACACAGCCCATCGGCACGCTGGCCGAGGTCGTCGAGCTGGAGAGCATTGAAGATGTTGACGGGCATTGGAGGGAGGTTAGCGGCCGGAGAAAGCATCTCAATAGCGTGTATAACCGGTACATTGCCCGCCCTCGTGACGACACGGACAGGGAGGGGATGGGGTGGGATGCGCTGATGAATGTGTTGTTCCAGTCGGGGTATATGCTGAACCGGTCTGTGTTTGCGTGGGAGGAGGGGGTCAAGGCGGTGCATCCGCTTGGGGACCCAGCGTTGCCTTGGACGGAGGAAGATGCAGATCTTACTGGAGCCGTGGTGGTTATGCTGGCGGCGTCGGGGAAGACGGGGCTCTCTTTTGCGAGGGAGATGAGGGCTCGCCGGCCGAGGGAGAAGCAGCCTGCTAAAGTCATCGCGGTTGGGTCTGCCAAATCGAAGGAGTTTACTGTTGGCACGGGGCTGTTCGACGAGGTGCTGCTCTACAGCGACTTGGAGGACCAGGCATTTGATCTGGAGTATAGGTTGAAAGGGGATGGTCGGAAGGTCTTGTTGATGGACTTTGGGGCAAGGGGAGGTGCTGTTGACCAGTGGGCCGAGGCTCTGGAGGCCAAGTCCAAGAACCTGCAGGCGTTGATTGTTGGAGGGGATCCCCTAGGAAAAGAGATCAGTAAAACGGGGAAGCAGACTGAAGACCCCGCGAGCGGCGTCGCCCAGTTCTTCGCAGGGGCAGTCCGGGATCGCGTTATCGAGGCTGGCGGCGCCGCGAAATACTTTGCGGACCAGGAGACTGCATGGGCAGAGTTCAAGGCAACCAGAACAGTTCCCGGTTTGCAACTCAAGCGGGGAGAAGGCCTAGCCAGCTTCAGCGAAGATTGGAACAAGGTCGTCAAGGGGGAGTATGGGACGCATATCGGGCTGGTCTACGGATTTCCTGTCTAAACAAGGCGCCACTTAGGCAGACTCAATGAGAGACAGGAATTGTTACGTGCGTTCTCATCCGGAGCTGGACTCAGGCCGGGTATTCACTTTCGACTTGTTGAAGAACTCGAGAAGACCCAACTCCTACACCATACCTGTTAGTTCACAGGTCACGGGTGCGCACCTTCCAAGTCTAAAGGGGGTTATAGACTACTGAGGTATGGATGGCGACAAAAGAACACAACGCATGGAAAGAATCAAGTTCGCTTCCATATTCATTTCTTCGGCTTGCCGCGGCCTTGGGCAACCGGACAATTTGAGTTATCCCGTCAAGGTAAATGGGCAGTGAAACGCAATTGCTGGGATATGGACTTCACTGTCTGCTGGCTTCCGATCTCTGTCCTCACGAACCATGGGCTCCCCAGCAGACGACATGCCCTCAAACGGCACTGCACCTCCAAGTCCTTTAAATCGTTTCTTCACATACTCGTATAATGTAGGTAATAATAACATACACGGGATGACCTCAAACCACACCCTAGCCACAAGCAACACCGTGACCCTTTCTGGGGACGCCGTGTATCCCAGCCCACTCCCACATTGATCCTGCACTCTGACTGCTATGCTAAGCTTCTTCTCTCGTTCTGTGCGTGTTTCAATCGGATTATGATTCCTCAGAGCTCTCCGAAACCCCGTTCGTGAGAGGATGCTGTTTCTCCGTGGCGGGCTCCGTCACACTGCCACCATCGTCTCCTCGATCAATGGAATCAGCCCGAATATTGTCGCCGGCTGCGGCAACCACATCCTCCCCTACTGCAGCACCGTTCGGCGTTTTATCGTCCGCGGGTCTGGTAGAATCGGGCTGTCCATTGGGATGACCGTCGAGGCTCTCCTTTGTCTCGGCCTCGGTCTCGGCCTCTGCGTCATTCTGTTGTCCCTTTCTCCTCCTCTTCTTCTTGGCCTCTTCCATCTTCTGCTGCAGTTCCTCGAGGTCTTCGTCAGAGTCATAATTCCGCATCGCCTCGGCCAACTTTGCTGCCTTCCTAAGCTTCCGCACCTTCCTCTTCTTCTTCCTGGCTTCAGCTGCCTTCTTCTCCTTCTCTTTGGCTGCCTCGATCGACTGCACCTCCTCCCGCACCCACTGCTCGACATTGGCCGCCGCATCCAGGGGCGAGTCTCGGTGGTTGAGGAGATAGCCCTGCACCTGCGCGGGTGTAAACAGTTCGTTAGGGATCCTCTTTCCGAAGGCGAGCGCCAGCCTCTGCAACTCGTCCTGGGGAAGCTGCACCGCTCGGTCCGCCGGGGCCGCGCCATCCGCATCCGGGCCGTACATGCGCAGGAACATTAGCTCGCTGCTGCGCTGCGAAATGTGGCCGAGGTAGATCATCCTGTCGACCCGCCCCGGACGCACCAGGGCCTTGTCCAGCTTCTCGGCAAAGTTGGAAGTCATAAGCACGATACGACCTTCTTGAGACGCCACGCCGTCAAGGACGTTCAGCAGCCCCGAGAGTGTGCAGTCAGAGCGTCCTCGGGCGTAGTCGCTCGCATCGTCTTCTTTGTCTGAGCCGTCGTCGCTGTCATCGTCGCTGCCGCTGTCGTCCTTCTTACGGGTGCGTCGCTTGATTCCGACTGCGTCGATGTCTTCGAGGAGCACTAGACACCGCGGGGGCAGAGCGGTGAAAAGCTTCTCGAGCACTGCGTCGTCGGAAACGCTCGGCATATGCAGCAGGTACAGTTCCAGTCCAAATCTGCCCGCGAGAGCGAGCGAGAGCGACGTCTTGCCGGTGCCGGGAGGTCCGTACAGGAGAAACCCCCTGCGGTATGGGATGCCTCGCCTGTTGTAGAACTTGCGGGTGTTGACGTCGAGGTAGTTCTCAATGTCAGCCACGAGCGCCTCCTTGACTTTCTGGTCGAAATGCACCGTCTCCAACGGCCGCAGGGGCCGCAGAATCGTCATGTCCCAGCTTTCGTCGTACCTGCGCTTGCTGATGCGAACAGTGATGTATGCTTCGCGCTGCTTGTCCGCAAATTCGCGGCAGGTGTTGAGAAAGCGCTTGATGGGCTCGACGGACCTCCCCAGACACATGACTACCAGCGGCTCGTCGCCCTCGGGCGCCCCGGCATACTCATCCGGAGTCCTGGCCCAGGAGCTGTGGTAATGAGAACTGCTCGTCAGGATGCGGCGCACCATGAAGATGTTGCGCTTGTGGATAAACCAGGTGGTCCCGAAGGTCGGCAGGTACTGCACCGGCATCCGCTTCTCATGGTGATAGTCGTTGCGCTCTTGCGACACGCGGCGGTAGGACCAGGCGTCGTTTCGAATGGTCTCGGAGCTGGCAGTCAGAATGCGCGTGCCCTTCTTAGCCAAGACGTGGGCGCCCAGCCAGTTGAGCACCTCGCGGTTGAGCCGGTCGCTGCCGCCGATGGAGATGGACGCCGTGAGGAAGCGCACAATCCACCAATAGATCTTGGATCCCGTATCCTGTATGCTCTGGGCGCCGCTGGATGCTGCGCCCATCAGTGCGGCAATGGTGAGGAGTGTAGTGACGTCGAGCCGCAGCCATTTCTTGAAAAAATCTCGTAGCACCGAGAAGCCGGGGACGTGCCGTTCGAAGTCCTGAACGGAGGTACTTCCGTCATTCAGCAGCGATGTGCCCGCGAGGGCTAGTAGGTTGTTCATGATGTAGCGCGACCAAGTCACCGAAGTGCCCAAGCGATTCGAACCCAAGCGTGGCCTCTCAATAAAGAGGTTGATAGAAATTGCCCTCCGCCACTGGCGCTGAGAGGCTGAGATCGGGATTGACGACCAACATGACAGAACACGAGAGTGACAGAGGAAAAAGATCAGGCAACTCGGGTCGGGACAACCACGTCGTCGCCGGCTGATGCTGCAACCTTGCACACAAAGGCAAAAAGACAAGGCAGCAGCCGTCCAGTTCCCGGACTCTCACAAAGCAGCATGCATACCTCCGCTAAAGGCGCTTGTTGGCTCTCTGAGATGCAGGTTCGGCTGTCAACCCATCAGCGTATGGTTGGCTAGGCTGCAGTGTCCCCACAACATGCGAACTGCAAGTCTGCAACCTGCAGGGAGCCATCCGGCGGGGGGATTCGGCGCCAACAGCGACAAAATTCAGGAAACATGGGGGACCACAGCTTGGCCACAGCTGGTGAGACAAGATCGGACGGTCGGAGTTGGCCGATGGCCAAGGGCCAGGGTCTTGGCGCCCACCCCACAGTTCATCCGGCGCTGTCAGCCCTGTATCTGCCGAGTGTGGATCTCGAAGGTGTGTCAGAGTGGTTCCCCCGTCGCCTCCGGTAGCTCTCAAGCTTCTGCAACTTGTTTCCGACCAGCAGCTCCCAATGGGGAATAAGAAGTAAGACAAAAAAAGAACGACACAGAGCAAAGCAAAGCTTGAGACAAGAAACCAAAAGAGGAAGAATGGTGAAAATGGTTGAGTTGCGCGCTAACAAGCAAACCAGGCTGGCCAGCGTGGATGTTAGAACTTCTGGTGGGGTCCTGAGTTCTGTTGACTGAGGGGGCGGGGTGCGGGGGGGGGTGGTAACTTAAGGTTTGACATGACGTCGAACCTTAAAAAGTGTCGGGTTCTAATCTTCAGGAAATACGTCGAAGACGCATCTGGGAAAGCACCTGAGGGTTTTGACTTTACGTGGAAAGCGCGTTTGTTGGGAAAGATACACTTGCTGCAATTAGGTTAAAGGACTGGCCCAGTCGCGGCCAAACTCGGACCTTTTTTTTTTCAAGCGTCGTTACAGGCAGATCCAACCGCCCACAACTTCGCGAAACCGTCGATATCCTCTTTCTTTTTCAACATGCGATTCGCATCTAAAAAGCAGACGGTCGAGGCCATCGACGAGCAGGCCGGTATCACACTCCTCATCGTCGAGCCTGAGGACATGTGGCACGCCAACAACCTGATCGCTGCCGGAGACGTCGTTCACGCCCCCACGCTCCGCAAAGTGACGACAGCGACATCCACCGGCTCTACCGTCAACAAGAGCGTACGAATAAATCTGTCAATCAAAGTCAAGTCGACCTTCTTCGACCCGCTCGCGTCCGAGCTCAAGGTTTCGGGCACCGTGGTCGAGGAGAACGACTATGTCAGCGTCGGACAATACCATACCATCACCCTCAAGTACGAGAAGGCCGACATCAAATTTACAATATGGAAGAGCGCCGGCTGGGACTCGGTAGCTCTGCAATCTCTTAAGGAGGCGCTGAGCGAGGACAAGCCGGAAGCGATTGCCGCCGTCGTCATGCAGGAAGGCCTCGCCAACATCTGCTTGATCACCGAAAACCGGACCATCATCAAGCAGCGCATCGAGAGCTCGATACCAAGGAGACAGGCGAAAGATACGTCAGGGGCCATATCGTCCTTCTTCGAGAGAGTACTATCGAACTTGCGCAACACCATCGACTTTAGCATCCCACGCACACTGCTCCTCGCGAGCCCCGGGTTCACCGCCCAGGACTTCCGCACATACATGCAATCCGAAGCAACCAGGGCGGGTGATAAGGCGCTGCAGCGTATCGTGAAGGAGGCGCTCGTGGTGCACTCCAGCACCGGCCACGTGCATAGTCTAAACGAGGCACTTAAGAGCCCAGAGGTTCAGAAGAAGATGCACGGCACAAAAGTCGCGACCGAAGCGAACCTAATGGACAAGTTCCACGACCTTGTGCGAAAGGATGACGGGAGGGCATGGTATGGCACGAAGCCAGTCGAGAAGGCAATTGCCGAGGGTGCTGTGGGCCGCGGCGGAGGAGTGCTTTTGGTCAACAATGCGTTTTTCCGAAGTATGGATGTGGCTACAAGGCGGAAGTATGTTGGCCTAGTAGACAAGGTCAAGGAAGACGGTGGGGAGGTCAGATTGCTCAGCAGCGACCACCCAAGCGGCAAACGGCTTGAGGGATTCGGCGGGATCGCGGCGATTCTGACATACCCCCTCTTCGACCTGGACGAGGAGGTGGAGCAGGAGGGCGAGAATGATGCTGCGGGAGCGGATGCGGATAACGCAGCAAAGGGCACGATGGTAATATGAGAGAGACAATGGAAGTTAGCAGCGGCCGAGTCATCTTTAGTACAGTACCTTACTTACTTTCATTTTTAATAATTACGGTAGCGTTGGGTATTTTATCAGGCCCTGTCGGGAACTAGCGGCAATTGCCGGCCATCACCTGGGACACATCGGTCATCTGATTTGCGACCAAATGCTGTGTTCGTCCCCTCCCATTTTCTTTTCTGTTCACACAATGGAAATGGACAGGCTCACGAAATTGTACCTGTGTCACGGTCAGCTGGCTGCCAAAATCGGCGGCGGAGGATGCCCGAAGTGGCCCCGTCTGACCGGCACCCTGAATGCACTTGGGCTCGGTACTTGCCCACCGAGCATCTGCCAACTCGATGATGCAACCGTCTGGACGCTCAACCTGGAAATGCAAACATGTTACCCACTTCGACTCTGTGTCGCATCACACATCATAAGCAGCAATCAACGCATTTTGAAGACAATCCCTCATCTTAGTGCTCTATCGATCGTACCCGTCCCAGATCTTTACACTGAGTCTCTCCGTCGAATCACCAAGCACGCGCTCAAACACACTGGTGTTCTTGACATCCGTTTCGCCTTTGCTGTGGATACCTGAGACAGCGGGCTTCCCCTTGTTCCAAATCCGACTCCGCGGGAAGACGCACACGACGAACAACAGCAGTTGGTGAGATCCTCAGGAGAAAGGTGCCACAGCCTTGGCCAATCAGATCACACCGAAAGGACGACCACGATTCCGCCGGCAGTCGGATCTTTCCAGACCCCGAAAGCCACTCCAGGTTTCGTCAAGTGTCAGGGCATCGGGCCCCAAAAACAGCGATTGTACAATTGTTCATTGGTAGTACCCCCGGGCTTACGGTGCCGGGCATGCCGGGAAGATGACGGGAATCTGGTCCTCAATAAAGGCTGCGGCGCCGGCACTTGCTCAGTCACAGCAGCCGCACGAAATCAGCACCGCCCGACCACCTTCGCCCCCGACGACCCCAGGCGCTGCTCCGACGTCGCGGTCTCCGCCCAGGCCTTCCACTTCACTCGACGCCCGCAGTAAGTCTTTATTCTGCTTTTCCTCCCCCTTGCCTAGAAGTTTGGTGGATAGTTTGGCGCAGAACACCGGACTTCTGTTGCTTCGGTGGTGACGCAAGCAATACGCGTATCCCCCGTATTCAACCCTGGTCGAGAAGCTCATGCATTGACAGCGCGCACTCGGAGCCAAGACTCGACGACGCCCCAGTCTCACTCTCGAAGCCCGGGCATAAAAAGAGCTTCTAGACTCTCGCGCAATAGCACCAGCATTACCATCAAGGCAACGAGTCAAGCTAAAGACAGAGATACCGAGACCGAGGATGCAGGCGAGTTTGGCGACACCACTGCTGCAATCTTGGGGACTGGAAACGGCTCAGGGAGCAGCGCTGATGTAGTGAAACCTGCGCCGTCTACCCCGGCTTATACGCCTGGCGCCAGCTCTGCGATTGATCCTTTGTCACAAGTGAGCCCGGAGGAAACCCTCGCCTCAAGGTTGCCCGCTAACGTCGGCTGCGCAGCAAATCTTCATGCGGAAGAACACCGAACCGTCGATCCCACAGCGACTGACACAGATGGCCGAAGGACTTGCGCGCGCCAGCTCGGACCTCTCAAGAAATGTGGTGACGACTAGCGAGGCGGCCAAGGAGAAGAGGTAGGCTCGGTTCCCACACAGATCCTGCGAACGGACAGCTGATGGTTTGGGCCGTCAGCAATAAGAAAGGGGGCTCGTTCCTAAGCAGGTTAAGCATGCGCGGCAACCGAAAAAAGGACTCGGGGGACCTGGACTCGGATTCGGAGCTCGGCAGCGAGGCGCGGATGGACGGCTCAACTGCACACGTCTTCAGCGAGACACGGGGCACCCCCTTGATCGGCGGAGGCTACGTACCCCACCATAAGGAGCCGCCGCGATACATACGAACGAGGGCGACCAATAAGCGAACCCGGGAGTTCAACCGCATGTTTCTCGCGCAGGAACTGGTTGGGACACGGCCGCCAGAGGCCAACGGAGACTCGATGGTTGAGGCGGGGAAGGCGCCCACGGTATCTGTCAGCGTGGCTGGCGCCAGCGACAGGAAGACCATGAGGACAGGGGGCGCCATCTGGGCAACCGAGTTCAGCAAGGACGGGAGATACCTCGCTACGGCAGGGCGCGACCGTGTCGTCAGAATTTGGGCTGTGCTCTCAACACCCGATGATCGCCGTGCTCACGAGGATGACGAAGCCGTCCACGGCGACGCTGGGGAGAGGCTTAGCGCGCCTGTTTTCAGGGACCAGCCGGTCATGGAGTTCCACGGGCACACTGGAGAAGTTCTCGATCTCAGCTGGAGCAAAAACAATTTTCTGCTGTCGTCCTCGATGGATAAGACGGTGCGCTTATGGCACATGAGCAGGTCCGAATGTCTCTGCACGTTCAAGCACCAGGATTTTGTCACTCGGTTAGCGTTCCACCCGCGAGACGACCGCTTCTTCCTGGCAGGCTCCTTGGACACCATGTTGCGGCTGTGGAGCATCCCCGACAAGGCGGTTGCCTTCTCGGCCCAGCTACCGGACCTGGTTACCGCCGTCGCCTTTTCTCCGGATGGGGAAATCGCCATCGCTGGACTCTTGAACGGGCTCTGCATGTTCTATGAAACTGAAGGGCTGAAGCTGAGCTCGCAGATCCACGTCAGGTCTTCGCGGGGTAAGAACGCGAGGGGGAGCAAGATCACTGGCATCCAAACGATGGCCATCCCGCCACCAAACCCGATCAACACGGCGAGTTTGCAGCCTCCAGGCTCCGCCTCGACATCGGTGAGGTCAACAGATGTTACGAACCCAAAAGAGGCGCGGGTGCTCATCACCTCAAACGACAGTCGAATACGAATTTACAATCTTCGCGACAAGTCCCTCGATGTGAAGCTCAAAGGGCACGAGAATCAGTGCAGCCAAATCGCGGCGACACTCTCCGACGACGGCAAGTACGTAATCTGTGGAAGCGAGGACCGGAAGACGTTTATCTGGAGCCTGACTGGGACTGAGGTCCTCGTTCAGGATAAGGACAAGTCTCCATGTGAATATTTCGAGGCCCATGGGGATATCGTCACGACAGCGCTCTTTGCCCCCACCAAAACTAGGATGCTGCTTGGTCAAAGTGGCGACCCGATCTACGACCTCTGCAACCCGCCACCTGTTGTGCTCCAAAGCCTCGAGGAAGCCGCCAGCGCCGCAACCAGCCAAGTAGCTCTTACGAACGATTCGCATCAGGCCCCAGTTGAGCCGGCCTCCAAGCGGCCCGAGCCGAGTCCGGCGTATATTGCAAGATCGACTCACTATGATGGCAACATTATCGTCACCACAGGCGATACAGGCATAATAAAGGTTTTCCGGCAGGACTGTGCGTTCGCCAAGCGGAAGCACGACAACTGGGAAACGAGCAGCACCTTCAGCCGCAAGCTCACAGCCCATGGCGGCAGTTACGTTGGTGGCGGGCTGGCGAGGAGTGGTAGCGTCCTGACACGGACGAGCGCGGGCAGCACCGCACATAGCAGAAGAGGCTCGCTCAGTCAGTCTATTGCATCCAGCACCATCGGTTCTCATCAACTAAACGCCCTGGGCGTCCACTCCGATCGTATTCTCAGCTGGCGGCTGGGCATTGAGCACGGCGGGGACAGGCGCTCTGCTCTGCTGGCCAACGGGGGCGGCACACCGGCCCGTAGCGAGCGCTCTCTCAGCCCAACCAAGGCCAGCCGAACGTCGCTGAACTCGGCGTACAACCTGGCAGGGGAGGCAAGGAAGCAACCCTATGGCGGTGCCTCGCCGGCTCGGAACAGGGCGGACAGCACCGTGACGAGCCCGACCGCGAGCGTGCTCGGCGCCCCATCAGAGAGGCTGCTGCCGACGCGGTTGGTGAAGGACAATAACGACCGCCCAAACAAGGAGCGGCGAAATTCGAAAAAGCAAGAGGAACCACCATCAGTCCCGCCCACGCCAGGATTCACGCTGTGCTCTGCTGCCGAGGAAACTATGAATAGCCCGTCGACGTCGGACTCGGCCGGAGGGAGCTCATCGTTCTGGAACCTGGGTCGGTGGCGTGGGATTACGGGCTTCAGGGCGTCGTCGTCGAATCAGGGGACGGCGGCAAATCCGCGTACGAGGATCAGCGGGGGCCGACCGTCGCTGTCTAAATCGAGGAACCAGACAGAAATTTCCTGTGATGAGCGGGAAGTGGATGACAAGGACAGGGGTCAGGGAGAGACAGGCTCGAGGCGACAGAGTGCAGGGATGGTGTCTGTCAAGGGCGCGGGCGATGATGCTCAGGCCGATAGGAGGATGTCGATTCCGAATGCGGCTTCGCTTCAGCGAGAGGGAGAGTCTAATGTTCCGACTGTTTCGACGGACGGTGGCAGGGAGAAGGAGGGTCCGTAAAGACAGGCGGGAGACGTCGACGGTGATGCGACGCCGATTCCAGGGGCACGCCCATGGCAGTAGGCTGAATTCGACGTGACATACCTGAACGAGGTCGACGAAGCGACGTGGTTGGAGTTTTACCGAGGGTACTTCCCGGTTGCATCTGATGCGGCGCTTTTGCATGTACGGTACGATAGATGTTGGCTGACTTTGCGGAACACATTTGGGCTGGGGTTAGAGACGTATGATACCACTTGCACCAATTCTCGTCGGGCTAGTTCCTGTGCCCATCTTACCAAACAGTCCCATTGTGCAGCCCAGGGTGCTGTGATTTGTTCATGCGATGTTGAGATCGCACTCGGGATATTCAGCATGAAACGGTTAGTATCCCATCCGCCGTTGTCCCTGCCGTCAATCACAGTGCCTCTCGCTACCGTCATGACACTCGCATCAGCTCGCCAAATCTAAGCAGTCTGCACAACGTTAGCTCCCATCTAACGCCAAAAAGGAAAAAAGAAGAAGAAAAAAAAAGAAAGAAGAAAAAAAATAAGCAAAGAAAAAGGAAAAAAAGGAGATTCAGCCCTCACCTCCCCTTTCTCCTCCAGCTCCTTCTTCGCCAGCGCAGCAATCGCCTCGACGGCACCCACGAGATTCCTCGGATCCGCCCCGCGAATCATGACCAGCCCGTCGGCTTTCTCGGGCGAGACGACCCCGCCGCCGGTCACGCCCGCGCCGACGTCGATCCCTTTCGCCTCGCCGTCGACGAGGAATAGGAAGGTAGGCATGGCCGTCACACCGAACTTGGCGGCGATGTCGGGCGCCGCGTCCACGTCCACCTTGGCGAAGGCTAGTTTGTTGGGGATCGTGTGCGCTGCCGCTAGTTTCGTGAAGAGCGGGGCGATGGCCTTGCAGGGGGGGCACCATTCTGCCCAGAAGTCGAGGATGAGGTATTTGTTTGAGGAGGTGAGGGTGTCGAGGTCGGAGAGGGTGAGTAGCGGGGCTGGGGTGGGGGAGGTGGCCATTGTTTTTGACTCTTCTGTCGTTGTTGTTTCAGTCAAACTTGTCGTTGGTGAGGAGCGTGTTGGTGATAAAGTCGGCCAGTGGTTGCGGGGTTAAGAAAGGGCGGACGTGGCCTGGGTAAAAGCCGTGGGTCGGCGCACCGGCAGTCGCGGGAGATCGGCTGGTTTCTTGGCTTGTGTTAGCGAGCGGCTGTCGGGTCTCGGGCGGAACAAAAACCACGAGGAAGTCGTGATAGTTAGTGATGCTGCTTGTTCCAACTCTAGCACCCCAGGTACCTAATTACCAATATCGTAATGTATAAGTCCAGTCAGCATGCACTGATTTTCATCACTTAGACCTCAAAAATTACCTGGCCCTGACCTTGCCTCTACGGAATATCACACAGACATCGTCGATCCCAACGGCTCGGGATCTGACCCAGTAAGCCGACGAAGACCTTGCCTGAACCTGTGGTGGTTGGAAACATCCCAGTTGTCAGATCTCAGTTTGTGAACGTATGCTATCATCAGATAAAAGTTTGAATGGAATAATTCGAACGATGGATTTCCAGGAAAGCACATTGTAAGGCACTTAGCACGATCCTTGCATGTCAAAAGACACAATCACCCAAACTTCAATTGTTTATTCATGCAGAAATAGTTCTCCATGATTCAAATCTGTTTCCACGAGACTTGAGTAACGCCACTTTTTCGATTTCCCAACCAAACTCAAACTCAAAGTTCCCATCGGCTATCCCTTTCACCTAGCCGGGAACATCGACTTACGCTGCTACAGCTAGAGCACCATTTCTCTTGCCTGGGGAGCGACATTCAACATGGATGGTAAGCGATTCTCGGGCAGCTGGGAAAACGAGATCGTCAGTGCTAACAAGACAAAAGCTAAGAAGGAACAGCATGATGATCGCCGTCCCCATTGGGAACGGGACGGTGTTATCTTCGTCCGCAACGGAGTTAAGGAAGACACCTTCGGTCCTGTTAACGACAACTTCGACGGCGCTGACTGGATCAACTTCCGCTTTGGACCCAATGAAATTCTCAATACCAAGACCATCAGCACTCAGCTCGTGCGCGGAATTCGCGAGAGTAAATACCCGGAAAAGGCCATGCCCGCATTCCGAACGGCGGCTTTGCACAGAATTTCCACCGGCGGGCGCCCGAGTCGCGGCTTAAGACAATCGTTGCGAAACATCGGGACAACCCTGCGCAACCCAATTTGCGAGTTCCATGTATGGATGTTCGCCATGGAATTCGAGAAAAGCTTGATGGCGATGAGTTTTCCTTTACTCGTGCATCGCCGGAACCTACATCGCCGTCGACTTCAAGGTGGCACTTGTCAACACAAGTTGCGATACTTACATTACCCCCGGCCTGTATACCCTCCCTCATCACAGGTTCCTCAACCCCAACGGAGGCAAAGACACCTCGTGGCGTAGCCCGTAACACGCCAATCAAGCAAGCAAAAGCCGCTGTCGATCTCCTCTACAGCCTGGTAATGGAAGACCAGGGTTACCAGGTGACGGCGCAGAGGTGGGACGAGCTCCTAACGTTTCAGGTTCTGTCCGGCGAGATTGTCGAAATCGTTATGCGGACTGGCCCGGGCTCCCGTGGCATTTACAATAGTCATCGGAGCCAAGTGATCGCAGACCCAAAGCTCTTCAACATCAAGCTGGACAAGATCAAGTGTGGCATCCATCGCAACAACCGCAATGGCCAATTCGTTTCTGGCCATGTCGCAGGACTCAGATCTCCTCGCCCTGCCGACAGTGCCGATGATTCATTGAAGGAGGGCCTGCTCCTTACTGAGCCCGTCATGGACAATCAGGTTGTTGAAGACAAGACCGGCCGAGTTCAGCCGCAGTCTCCTGTCCTTGACCTTGCTCAACACATGGAAACCGCCTTGAAGGAACCTTTGACACGCCTCATTAACTCGGTACTTTTGGCGGCGGCCGAGACGGTGGAGAGGAGATTCGACATGGCGGTTGCCACTGTCGCAAACAATTCCAGCGCCAAGATTGAGTCGTTAGAGAAGGATAATGCTCTACTAAACAAAGGACAAGCAAGATCTGCGCACACGGGTTGACATGTTCGAGCAGAGATTCGCAGAGCTCGCCGGGTTGTTCCTCCCTGGGCCTGCCATCATTGACGACAACAGCAAGGCAGCCACGCGGAAGCGTATGGTTGATGAGGCCCCTGGTCGCATTGCGTCCCTGGGGCCTAAGCGTGCAGCCACCGAAGCTACACGCCGGCAAGCCGGCGCGAGCAGCGACAGCCCCAAACAACGCTGATAGTCGAGCTGTATTCAGGGGACGGATTGGTCTCCAAATACTGACAAGGTTCTTCTTCATCGACACAACCCGGCAGTAGGCAGCATGGGATGGGGCTAGCGCTGGGAAAACCATACTTGAGCATCTTTAGGGAGCTGTGTGCCCCTTTCTCATAGCCGTGAGCCGTCAACCGTCAAATCGAATCCCGTTGCTTTACCTCGCTCCCAACACATCGTTTTGCTGCATACATACATGGTACATGTAACATGATACATCTAATTGAAGACCTCATCACCAGTACCTCCGGTGTATGGTCTAGGAGATCGTGCCAAGCCTAATCTCGGATATTTAATCAACCGCTAACCTGAAAGATCTCTTAACGTTAGTTAACCATAGTTACGCCGAGTTCGACTATGTGGTTAACCTCGATCTCCCCACTTGTCCGGCCGGCGGCCTTCTTCTGTTTCTAAACTACCACCCTAAAATGACAGGAAAAGCAACCCTCGTAACATCACTCGCCGGCATTGTCGCCGCGGCGACGGCGCTCACGACATCGGTCGACTATATTCAACTGCACCCAATAGTTGCTCCCACAGCAGTCCCAGATGTCACCGAATCAACCGATCCATGGCACTGCGCCACTGAAGACATCATGACATATTTCGTATTCGATGCAGACCGGCGAGCTGCGGGAGGCGCACCTCTCGTTTGGCTCGAGCCTCATCCAGATGTGCCTGACGGGGCACGGGGGGGTTCAGTTACGCCTATCCCTGCGCCTACCCCGACAAGTCGCTGCGGTGCGGTTTCACTACGGCCATGCCGGCCTCGCTCCTTCCAGAGTACACTTCATACCCCCACAACGCATCGTCTTGGTGGGCCGCCAACGGCGCCGGCATCGTGCGCATCGCCTCTGAGTGCCTCATTATGCGATTGGAAGCTTCCAATATGGGCGTCTTGGGTGGTGCCGTGTTTCTCAACCTCACGCTCATCCACGCCAAATGCTGCGCCGAAGCAAACCCAGCCGTTATCACACAGTCGGCAATGGGGGCTAACCCCTACACCGGGACAGGGGCAGCCGAGTCCAAGGCAACCTGTACCTCGACCGCCCAACTGACCCCTACCAACGCCATCCCCCAGCTCCGGTGGTGAGCTCCCAGTCGTGTCAAACATGATGCCTCCTGTGCTCGCCATCCTCCTTGCGGTTGCCAGTAGCACCCCCGCAAACTGTCAGTCCCTTTCGCTGCATAAAGACCCCTCAACATTCACACGCTGAACAAGGCCGTGCCAAATAGAATCCCGCAACGGCACCAACGCTGACGACGGCTACAAGGACTCTTCTAGATACCGCTTGTTAGTATTGTCAGTGAGAAGCGTTCGGGTGATAAGACACGGAATAAAGGGCCTCTGGATTCTGAACTCCGAGTTGCTGTGGCCGGAATGTGATAATCGGGTGTCGCCGAGGTGAAATCCGATGCCGCAGGGCCTGGCGCTGACGACCTCGAGTCTGCTCCCGACACTGAGACCGACCCGTTACTGGAATCTGACTCTGAGGGGGACACCGGGACGGTAGAGGGCAGCAGCCAGAAGCGTTATCTGGGGGACCACACTGGGCCATCGTGTCCGGGTCCTTCCAGGGTACCCAGGACGGCATTCGACCTGCTCTGTATGACATAGGCGATAAGAGGCGGTCCTCGGCGAGTCATCTCTGACCCTTGCTCCGGGCCAAGATGGCAGCCCGGCGTTCGTCTGAACTTCCCTGCGAGACTTGGCTCTTAGGTATGGGCTGAGGGCTTGATGCAATGCGACTCGAGTGAAATCTGGGTTGACCGTCGAAGCCCGCCCGGGTTGGTTAGCTCAGATCTGCCAAAGATGGTAAGTGGAGACCGGCGTGAACCCGGGGAAATAAGTCACTAGTGCACGGCAATTGCTCGCTTGCATGTGGCTTCATTCCCAGCACAGCAAGCCTTCTATGCTGCTTAGCAAGCATGATGCAAAGGGGTTAAGTTACTGCTGGCTACGTCAGTCGAGCCGATGTCGCGGCGGTAAGGAGGAAAAGTCTTCGGGATTCCCTGAGAATCCGCTTCCCGCTGTCGCTGCCGATCCGAACAGGGCCGATTAGCAGGAGCTATCCCCCTAGCAAAGGTGGAGAGGTGGGGGAGCTGTCTGGCCACGAGGCGATCGTCGGGGGGGGCAATTGCATGCTTTCCCACGGGGAATTCCACAGCTGCGGGACCTGGGGATGAAGCAGTGGAGAGACGAATCAAAAAGTGTGGGGAGTTGAAGAATCATGTTCTCGACTCCTTGAAGCAGAAACTGACTCGCAGCAACCTGCTTTTTTTCGGGAAGCTACACCACGTTCGAGGCCCAACGGAAGAACGAGTACCGCCTGTTGCAAAACATTGATTTCATCAAGTATGCCACTGCCAGGGGTTAGTTCCGTGGGATTTAGCTCCTGAAAGTCTAGACTCTCTCTGAAGACTTAATCGTTCCTTCAGGTCGGAAACTACTCTTAGGACAGCCCGTCAGAACTCGCACCATTCTGTCGGGACTTGCCGTGGATATACACATTATTCGTGTGGATATCGGAGTTACCATAGGTACTGGGAAGTCACCATTTCCTGTTATTCTGCCGCCATCAAGACTCCATCCGTGACGGATCATCCCACCCATCATAGCTGCAGACGGCGTATTCTCGGACGCTTCCTCATCAGTCTTTCCTATATCAGATTAGTTACCGAGGTCGGCATGTTCTCCGAACCAGATACTCCAATACGCATCCGGCCCAGCATGGTCATGGCCATGAGATTCGCGGATTCATCGGACTGCGTCATGGAACAACACAGAACCGGACAGCGGGTGATGGCAACGAAGCAAGTATAAGAGGGTAGTCCCGTCTCCGGCTCTCCTCAAAGTCCTGGAGAACCAGCAGTCCTTCTCATAGTCATCACATTAACCTATCCACCATGGCGCCGACGACACTCTCCGCCTTGGTCGGCAGCCTGTTCCTGGGCTTCGCGGCTAGGGCTCAGTGGAACGAGCCGCAAGACCCTCAAGAGACGGGCTTCAGTTATGTGCAGCCTCTCAACACCACCATCCTTGGCCAATACGGGCATTCACCCGCCGTCTATCCTTCCCGTATGCATGCCCTTTTGCAGTCAATTCCCGTGCTACAGCACTGACGTGTTCTCGCAGCCAATGCCACCGGCAGTGGCGGGTGGGAGGCTGGACTGGCCAAGGCTAAAGACTTCGTCTCCAAACTGACACTCGAGGAGAAGGCGCTCATGGTGACGGGCTACCCAGGGCCGTGTGTGGGCAACATCCTCGCCATCCCCCGTCTCAACTTCCCGGGCTTGTGTCTCCAGGACGGACCGCTCGCTATCCGTGTAGCCGACTACGCCAGCGTCTTCCCCGCCGGCGTGTCTGTCGCGGCCTCCTGGGACCGTACCCTGATGTACCAGCGCGGCCTGGCCATGGGAGAGGAATTCCGCGGAAAAGGTACAACAATATTCTTTGTCTGTGGACCATTTATCCCCCTTTATGACTGTGTACGGAGCAGGATGGCTCCCGGCTGCGCATTTGCCCCCTACACCCTCCTGGCTTGTCCGGAATGGAATTTTTACAGCTGACATGGTTGGTCCTAGGCGCTCATATTTTTCTTGGCCCTGTTGCCGGTCCGCTTGGGAGATCGGCCTATGCAGGACGCAATTGGGAGGGATTCTCGCCGGATCCGTACCTAACAGGCGTCGGCATGGAGGAAACTATCAACGGCATGCAGAAGGCCGGCGTTCAGGCGACGGCCAAGCACTTCATCGCCAACGAGCAGGAGGCCCAACGCAACCCGTCCTGGAAAAACGGCGTCATCTCCCAAGAGGCTCTCTCGGCCAACCTGGACGACCGCACCATGCACGAGCTCTATCTGTGGCCCTTCGCCAATGCTGTCCGCGCCAAGGCAGCTGCCGTCATGTGCTCGTACCAGCGCATCAACGGCTCGTACGGGTGCCAGAACTCCAAGGTGCTGAACGGCCTCCTGAAGACCGAGCTCGGCTTCCAGGGTTATGTTATGAGCGACTGGGGTGCTACCCACGCGGGCGTTGCCGCCATCGAGGCCGGACTCGACATGGATATGCCGGGGGGTTTGGGCCCCTACGGCATGCGATGGGGAGGCGGCGCCTTCTTCGGCTCGAACGTGACGGCGGCGGTGAAGAACGGAACCCTGGACCAGACTCGGCTGGACGACATGATCGTGCGCATCATGACCCCCTACTACGCTCTCGGCCAGGACACCGGCTTCCCCACCGTTGATCCGTCCACGGCCGACCTCAACACCTTCTCGCCTCGCAACACCTGGCTTACCGAGTTCAACCTCACGGGCGAGAGCAGCCGCGACGTCCGGGGGAACCACGCGGACCTGATTCGGCAGCACGGCGCAGCCGCCATGGTGCTGCTGAAGAACGAGAAGGGCGCGCTGCCGCTCAAAGCTCCCAAGTCGATCGCCGTGTTTGGCAACGACGCGGGTGAAATCACAAGCGGCTTCTACAATCAAAAGAACTACGAGTACGGCACGCTCTCGGCGGGCGGCGGCTCCGGCACCGGCCGCTTCACCTACATTGTGACCCCCCTCGAGGCCATCAAAGCGCGGGCGGCCAAGGACAAGGCGCTGGTGCAGTACTGGCTGAACAACACCGAGATCGCTACCTCGGACGTCAACACCCTGTGGGTCCCCAAGCGCCCCGAGGTCTGCCTCGTCTTCCTCAAGACCTGGGCCGAGGAAGCCGCCGACCGCACGCACCTCGACTCGGACTGGCACGGCAACGAGGTGGTCGAGTCGGTGGCGTCGGCGTGCAACAACACCATCGTGGTGACCCACTCCGCCGGCATCAACACGCTCCCCTTTGCCGACCACCCCAACGTGACGGCCATCGTGGCGGCGCACTACCCCGGCCAGGAGAGCGGCAACTCGCTGGTGGACGTGCTGTACGGCGACGTCAACCCGTCGGGCCGGCTGCCGTACACCATCGCGCTCAACGGCAGCGACTACAACGCGCCGCCCACGACCGCCATCAGCACGACGGGCGTTGAGGACTGGCAGAGCTGGTTCGACGAGAAGCTCGAGATCGATTACCGCTACTTTGACGCGCACAACATCAGCGTGCGCTACGAATTCGGCTTCGGCCTGTCCTACACCACCTTTGCGCTGTCCGACATCCAGGCGGCCAAGGCGAACAAGAAGTCGACCATCTCGGCCGCGGCCCCGGCCCAGCCCGTCCAGCCTGGCGGCAACCCGGCGCTGTGGGAGACGTTGTACACGGTCACGGTGACGGTGCGCAACACGGGCGCCGTGGACGGCGCGGCCGTGCCGCAGCTGTACGTGACACTGCCCGTTGAGGGTACGCCGCCGCGGCAGCTGCGCGGGTTCGACAAGGTGTTCCTCAAGGCCGGCAAGAGCAAGACGGTGAGCTTCCCGCTGATGAGGCGCGACCTGAGCTACTGGGATGTAATCAACCAAGACTGGGTCATTCCGAACGGTAACATCGGTGTGAGCGTCGGGTTCAGCAGCCGCGATTTGAAGCAGTTTACCACGATCGCGCCCCTGTCATCGTGAGCTTGGGATTCGTGGGACAGAGTATAGCAAGAATTGATGGACCTACTGATTTACTATGTGAGTTGATTGGTACTGTCCAGAGAATAACATGATTGTTTGGGTGCAAATGTCCGTTGCCCTCAGAATCCACTTCGTCAGTGTAAGCCGATTGTAACCGAGAACGGCGATCGCCGCGAGTCTGAAAAAGGATGATGGTTAGCGTATCAAAGACCAAATTCCTAGCCTTTCCAGGAACCCAGACCGGCCCTGATCAGGGCAGCCGCGTGTTGTCACCCAATGAAGGTGACTTGAAGGCGGGATGTGACTGCTTCTGTCTTGTCTGATAGGGAATGTCGGCCCGGGCAGCACAATCCGCTCGATGAATTGTTCGGCGTCGCACTCGCGCTGTGTCCGCGTAAACCAAGCCGTCCCGCCCATCAAGCCGCCGTACTCAATCTGCAAGCGCAAGTCGACGTCTCATCATCCTGTTCAGCCGTACCAGCGATCGGTCGCTGCAGGCTCGTCGTACTTGCGTCGATCATGTTTGCTGACCAGACGCCGAGGCAGATCATAAGAGGGGTCGACACAACCCCGCATCCTCGATATCCGTGTTTGCGGGTTTTTGAAATCCCACTACAGAGATCGTCCGACGAGGTCTCGAGCCATATCGCACTGCTAACCGCATCGAACTTTGAGAGCTTATGACAGCGGAATGCAATTAGGCGTCTTATCGCGTCTTCTCCCTGCCCGTCGAACCCTGATTTTTGCGCGCACGGCAAGCACGATGTAAACCACTTGTCCTGAGCTGCGTGGAGAAGACCTCAGGAAGGTTTTTTGACAGTGGGTCTTCAATCAACAACGTCGCTGGACGAGATGCCCAACTCATGGTGGTTAATGATTACTGACTTTCTTGGGTTGCCACCCTAAATTGGTTTGACCGTCCTCGGCAGCTGATCAACATAACAGATGATGTCTGGATCTTCGAGACCGAAGAGGGGGGCAAGTGGGTGACAAAAATAATCGAGCCACACAACCCGCTTATCCCTTACTAAATGCGGCTAGCGGTAGGCTCTTGCTACAATATATTCATCAACGCCAATATTCAGGGGGCTGCCTTGTTTTCGACTGTAATTACGTCGTCAACCACCAAGTAAACAGAACAAATAGATGATTGTTTACAGTAGCATTAGCTCTATCATTGTCGACAATGGCTCCTCATCATAAGACTCCAAAGAAGGCTAGAATATAGGGCATGTACGAATTTGCCCTTGCCCGACAACGCCGCTATGGAACTCCTTTTCTTTAAATCTGATATCTTTCGGATCGCCGGCGTAAGTAGAGCTCGAGGGAAACCAATTCTTAAAGACTACCCAAGAACCTTCAACAACAATCCCTTCCATGACGAGACGCGCGGTCGAAAAAGAATCTTGACGGAGGAAGATGTCGATAAGATGGAGAAAGTTATCTGGGACCATGGCATTGAAGGCCGGATGCTCTCGTATCATGGTCTCCTCCAAGAAGCTCGCGTTGAAAAGGAGCTCTCGCAGCGTACATCCAACGTGTTCTTGGTCAAAGAGATTGGCGCCGTTGTATTGCTTGCCAAAGGTCCTTCGTCAACGCTAAGCTTGCTGAGAAGCGGTGTGAAGAAGCCCGTAAGTCCTTGGAATATCGGCCTCGACCGGAAGACTGGCGAGATATCTATTTCACCGACGAGTTCCATGTCTCTTCAGGAGCTTCAGGTTGTGTATGGATCCTCCGGAAACCTGGCGAACGGTATTGTCCTGACTGCATTGTTGAGAGGCCGGATAAGGAGGAGGACAAGTATACAACGCATTTCTGGGGCGCCGTTGGATACGACTTTAAGATGGGGCGCCTGCACGAGTATTAGATTCCATCTAACAACAATGGTAAAATGACCAAGGCTTACTACCGCGATTATATCCTCGAGGGTATCGTAAGCCGTGGATGGAGGAAAGCCGCTCCTTTATCCTCGAGGAGGATAGAGATAGTGGCTATGGGCCTCGAGGGAACAACATCGTTAAGGCTTGGAAGGACAAGAACCACTTGAGGCTTTATTTCAACTGCCCTGGGTCCCCAGACTGGCCCCTATTGAGAGGGAATGGCGGTTACCAAAGTCAGAGGTCATATCGCGGATGAGCTTGACCCACGACGACGTTATTGAGGCTGTCCAAGATGGCTGGTACAAACTAGACCAGAAAACCATCAACAAATGGGTTGACCAAATCCCTCGAGATCCTGCAGCAAACCTTAGATCTTATGGGAAAATGAGCGGCAATTAGATAGAAATGGAGCTGTAAATGACCTTGTTTTATGGTGTTGAAGTTGCGGTTGTTTTGGTGTGATGGGGGAAGAATTCTTTGTAGGATTGGTCTGTGTGACTCGATTATTTTGTCACCCACTTGGGGGAACCGACAGATAGTATACGGAGTTCCCTACCAAAAGTCTTGCTTCACCGCCTTAAAATCACAGTGGTTCTGCTTGGCAGAGAACTCTCCTATGGCCAGTAAACTAAATAGGCGGTGTCGTAAAACTTTTGATAGGGACATCCGTATGGGTTCCCCAAATCTGGTTTGCCACCTCGCCCGACGTTGCACCTGTGTAGTGTGTTCAGACTTTCTAGAACTTACATGGCCGAAGGGCGCGAGCTGTCAACTGTTATGCAAACGGAAGGTGCGAGAAAGTGGGGTTTCTGCGAGGAGAAATCCACGTTTGTTGGCTCCACCTGCACGACACTGCCTTGAAATCAAGATTTTACCTTTTGCTCGATTGCTTTGACTTGAAAGACAAAACATTCAGCACAGACAACAATAGGTAAAGATTGAGATACCAAGCTGCGGTGACTCGTCGAGTCTCCACTTAACACCCAGTTCCAGGCCCGAAAGGAATAGACGCCCCTGGAACGTCCCCTGAAGGCGGTTGCTGTGCACGGAGAGGACCCTGCATTGATCATGAAGCTAGCGCACCGCGACACACCCTTCCGGTACCACAGTAGTCCCCTTTGCAGCACTGCCGGGTCTAGGCCGTGGAGAGCTTAACTTTGCGGTGGAGTACAAATCACTTACAACCCCCCGCTTTTCTCGAGTGAGTTTCAACGTTTGTTTCTTCTTCTCTTCCTCTCTCAGTCAAGGAGGCGTCGGTAAAGAGCAGGTCGGGAAAGAGGAAATGACCGTCGCAATAGACGACACCCAGCCACTGCTGCGGAGCATCACCAATGAGGGGCACCAGGTCTACACCGATCCTACACCAGTCCGACACGATTGCGCCAACCACGACGAAACAACCATTGTCGACTTCGACCCCAATGGCGACGCAGAGAACCCGCTCGAGTGGCCGATGCCTTTCAAATGGGCTGTCGTGAGCATGCTCGCCTTGATGGCGTTCACTGTGTACGTTTCTCATATTTTTATTCTCCTGAAACAGTGTTACTAACATGGAATCGCAGAACCATGACCTGCATCAGCGTAGTCCCTCTGGCCTCAGACATTGTGCGCGACCTCTCGGACTCGCCAAATCCGCCCAAATCCGCCAGTATCCTACTCGTCACCATCTGGGAGTTGGGCGAGGCCGCCGGTCCTCTGCTGATCGCCCCGCTCTCCGAAATGTTCGGCCGGTACCCCGTCATGAACGCGGCCAACCTCTTGTTCATCGGCGCCAGCATCCTGGCCGCCACCAGCCAGACGGTTCCGCAGTTTGTCGTGGCGCGCATGCTCAACGGGCTTGTAACCGCCGTCAACGTCCTCAACCCGGCGATTGTCGGCGACATCTTCGCGAGCGATGAGCGCGGCGGCGCCCTGAGTTTGCTTTTCTTGGCCCCGCTCATCGGCGGCGCGTTTGGTCCCATGATTGGCAGCGCCGTGGCCGACAGGTACGGGTGGAGGACGGTAATCTGGATGACGGTCGTGGTCGCGTCGGCCTGCGAGATGTTGTTCCTGTTGTGCTTCCGCGAGACGTACAAGGTTGCCATTCTCAGGCGGCGGGCCCGGGACATGGCCTTGCATGCTGCCGGGTTGGGCAAGTCGTTCAAGACGGCATTTGACGAGGCCGAGGACGGTCTCCGCGAGGGACTTTCGTCAGAATGGAACAAGCTGCGAGATGCGGTGCTGCGGCCGGCAATTGTTCTGTGCAGCAGCAGGGTGCTGATGGCTATGAGCCTGTTCAGCTCGTTCGTGTTCAGCTATTTCTACGTTTACTCGACCACTTTTTCGGATATTCTGCTCGAGATCTACCACCTCTCGCCGGTGACAGTGGGCTCGTGTTTTGCGGTTTTCTGTAAGTATTCTACTGCGTCTTTCGAAATATGAGAACGTAACTAATACCACACAGCCATCGGCTCGACTGTCAGCGTCGTCGTCTGCAACCGCACCCTCGATCGCATCTACCGCCGGATGCGATTCACACACAAAGGAATCGACAGACCCGAATTTCGACTCCCGCTGGCCATCATCGGCGGCTTTGGCTTGCCGATTACCATCGCCGCGTATGGTTGGGCTGCAGAACTGCGCCTGCCGCTCTTATTTTTGCTGTTTTGCGTCTGCGCCATGGGCGCCATGCTAATGCTAGGGATGATCCCCGTCATGGCGTACGTCGTGGATGCATTTGGGCTCTTTTCGGCTTCCGCCATCACCGGTATCATCGTCTCGAGGTGCCTAATCTCGACTTTTCTTCCCTTGACGGCGGCGCCGTTGATCGAAATGCTTGGGTACGGATGGGGTTTCACGGCGCTCGCCGCCTTCAGCTTGCTCCTGGCTCCTATCCCCGTCTTGATGCTGCGTTATGGGGCGCACTGGAGGCGGTCTTCCAAGTACAGTCGGGATGCTTGAGATTTATGACTGATGGCTCATGACTTGACTGGGACCACGACTTATGAATCATGACGTGAACGAAGACAGATCTGGCAGGCCGATGTAATACGGATGTATTGTACAAGTACATGTGTGGTAGACTTTCTCATTAAAAAACAGGAAAAGAAAAGAGAAAGAAAAAGGGGTAACTAGTTAGAGAAGAGAAGAAGAAGAGAAGGACTTGCATGACTTTCCTTAATTCCGTCATTCTGTCATTTTTCGAACGTCTATTAGGCTGGCGAGACGATACCTCAAAGCGGACTTGGGTCTTTCATTGCCGAACTGTCCCGAATGTACGGTACCTTACGGAGAAATTATTTACGATCCTGACTGCAAACCAAGGTGGGGTATTTGTCAGGGACGCGTGAACAGTGCAACCTCGCCGATTCTTCCTCAGTCTCGGTCGGTCGATCCCAGCAGTTTGGATCTGAATCCATCCACCCTTGGGAAACACTACTACTAGGTTGAACTCCCTAACGGCTGGCAGTTGAGCAACCAACCACGTAAGCCTACCCTGCCTGTACTGTAACCCTTAATAGCTCTGGACCTCATCCTAACCCGTTCGTGGAATAGTTAATATGAAAGCTCGGCGTCGGACTTGACAGACGCGCCCATCGGACGACAAACTTGGTGTAGGACGGCCCTGGACAGCGCATTATACAAGAGTGTCCAGACCCTTACTAGTTGAGTACGTAGCAGCGCTACATCCATGCCCGCCCATTCGCGTCACACCGCACGGGATTTGATGGTTGGATTGAGAACCAGTCACCGACCAACACTGAGCCACCACAGATTAACAAATCGATAGGCCTACCGCCTGCTCTCTTGTCGCCCTTGTTGGCCCGGCCCTTCCAGGCGAATATCCTGGAACCGTTCGCTCTTGGCATCCCACCTGATCTTCACAATTGAACTCCGAATAGAAGGTAATTGAACCCGAACTAGCATCGTGTCATGCGACGGATAGGTCGCGTCGGAGAGCCATGGGCGAGCCTGGGCATGGGAAACGTCACTGTTGGGAGTGCCTCCGCCGCTGTCTTGTCTGTGACTCGACGAGGCCAGCTTGCAACAGATGCACAGCAGCTGGAACGTTGTGCCCCGGATACAGCGACGTGAAGCCGACACGACTGAGATGGCTGGCCCCCGGTACCGTTCGTTCTCGGGTTCGAAGGCGAAACCGTGATGCGTCTATGTCTGATGAGACGAGCGAGCCCAGTGTCTACAGCAGGGAATCGAAATCGCCACCGGCATCGCAATCCCACGTTGATCACGTCTCCATCTCTCGCTTCGGTCTGCACACGAACGCAGATGCCCTGGTTCATGGGGCAGAATACTGCAAGTTGCCCCTGGTCTAGCTGAGGGGATGCAAATGTCATTTACTGACCGAGCCTCTGACAGATAACGTGGCCATATTCCCAGATCTCTGTCCTGTTCAGGAACTGGGAAGCAACCCCAGCATTTACCAGATATCTCCGGAGCTTATTCGGGAGGCCTGCGCGAGTCCCGACTACCTGCGGCTCGGCATGCTCTGCATGACCCTTAGCCACCGGATGAACCGCACCCGAGGAGATCCGGGCGCAAATCACAGGGACATGGCTGAGCGGTTCTACAAGTATCGAGGTGACGCCATCCGCTCTTTGAGAGAGTTCATCAGTGTCGAGAGCCAGTGCACCGCCGACGTTGCTCTTGCCGGCATCGTGAGTCTCTTGTTAGCCGATGTAAGTATCACTTCTCTCTAGCCATCCGAATCCGCAACTCACCATCAAACCTTCGCAGGCCCAACAGGCGGCTTCCCTGAACTGGCGTCCCCACGTAGAGGCCGCCATCAAGCTTGTCCACCTGCGCGGAGGATTTGCTGCGGTGGCTGCCTCAAGGATCCTGCAGCCACATCTTCTATTTCTCAGTTTGTACGTCACTCTACGTTCCACGAGGCTGCTGCTAGGTGTATGCGAGTATACCACTAACACCCTGCAGTGTAGCAGTTATTGGTAACACCACATGTCCCGCCTCCACCATCCTTATGGCGGAAGCACACCTCGGGGCACTTGACGCCATCATGGACTTATCGGGCACCACCGTCACTTCATTCCAGATGTGTGCGCCAGCACTCTTCGCCGAAATAATCCGAATCAACCACCTCCGTATGCGGGCCACGATGCACGGCGAGCAAGAAACGGGTACGCAAGAGCTCGCTCAAGAAGTACATGTCATCCTCGAACGGATCCATCACTTCTCGCCCGAGCATTGGGCCGATATAAAGCCCCGGTCTCGCGAAGACTGGGCCCTGATGGGCCGCATCTACCAAACCGCCGTGACGCTCTACTGCGTCTCCTCCCTACAGAGCCTGTCCGTCTTGCCCACCACGCCGCACCTGAGCGCGAGCTGCGCGGCCCACGCGCGGCTCCTGCACCAGCTGCTCGCACTGGCGGTCGTGTCGCCGCGCATCAAGCGCTTTACCCTGTGGCCGCTGGTGGTACTGGGCGTGGTGGCGGCCTCCTGCTCGCACATGCACGGGGGCGGCGCGACCTCCGCCCGGGCCTTCGTCGCGGCACAGCTGCCCGTCCTGAGCCGCCATGTCGGGACCTACGTGCCGCTCACGGCCAAGAGCGTGTTGGACAAGTTCTGGGCGTCGGGCGAGACGAGCTGGGACGCATGCTTTGATCGGCCGTATGCATTCTTTACCCAGTTGGCGGTTGATACCAGCCGCATTCTGACGGATTGATTGCCTGTGTACTACCCCCTGATTCGTGTGGGGCATTCCTAGGTGATGAGACAGGTTCCTTTGGCAATCAATGGTTCGAGGGGATAGAACCTGGGACGGGATATGCTAAAACCTAAGACGGGACTGCTTGTATGTATCTGGACCTTGCATACAAAGCCAAAGTGCAACGTACTATGTTTCTGGCTCCTATCATAGGCCAGGCCGCGTAATGCTCTCCCACATCAAGTGCCATACGCGATAGGCAAATCCATTCGCCCTCGATTTCAGCAGATGCCAAACATGGTAAGCTTACTAGGGCACATGCATGACTCCTTTCAACTCTGTCGCAGTTAGCCTAGAGCCTCATCTGTCGGTTCTGTACCACCTCCCCAACTAGGCGGTCGGACGCGCGTCACGAAGGACTCCATATTTATCTTGCAAAGCATAGGCATAGGGTCGCCCTACACGCTGCTGAATCGATGTCATATGATCTCCATTAAACCGCTTGCACACCTCAGTGGGCTCGTCTATGTAAACCAAGCACGCCTTTGTTCCCCTGGCGCTCGACCCCTTGTTGGAACCCTCGTCGCATCCGCACATCAAATCAGGAACATAAGAAAATCTGGACCACTGAAGAGCTTAGAAAGTCTAAGGGAGTCAGGGTTCTGGTTTACAGTCCGAAAGTAGGCAAATTGCATCATTCGAGAAGCTATTCATGATCGCCTCTATGCATCTTGTTTGCAGCAAACATCATCTTCCTTAAAGTGCTCCATTTGATGCCAGAACTAGCAACATGTCCACCCAAAATCTTGGGGCTCATCTGTTTTCAAAACATCAGCCATGTTGAAATGGCACACGGTCCACACCAAGGCAACTTCTCAAGCCGCCTGGGTCTTGACATCTTGACCGTCGACCCACTTGGTGTTCTTGGTGGTAGACGCAAACATGCCCGACCGCTCCACGGTTTGGTCGTTGAGACCCCAAGCGGTTGACGACGAGTCCAGAACCGTCGCCCTCCGCATATCACGCACATACTTGCCCTGATAGGTGCCGCCAGTGGCACGGTGCATAACGCAAGTGTTGTCCTGGAGTTTGCGAATTGTGTTAGACAACTGTTCCTCTTCTCCCTCCAGCGCAGTCTTTCTCGGACTGAAGTAACTCGGTCACTCACCCAGATAATCAAATCGCCGTTGTTCTCCCAGTCGACCTGGAACGTGTACTTATCCTGGCTGGCGTGCTCGAGCAGCGCCTCGATGAGCGGCCGGCTCTCCTCGCGCGTCCAGCCGTCGACGCGGTACGCGTGCCAGGCAATGTACAAGTTCGTGCGGCCGCTGGGCTCGTGCAGCTGCACGAGCTTGTGCCGGGCCATGGCGTGGTCCTCCGGGTTGACGCTCTGCAGAACGGCGCTGTCCGGAGCGCCGAGCCGCCGCGAGTGCCACAGGCTGTGCCACAGGACCAGGTCCTTGATCCTGTCCTTGCTCTCGGCGTCCAGGTCGTCGTAGGCGGTCCGCGTGTCGGCGAAGGCTGTGCCGCCACCCGTGCCCTTAGGCGGCAGGGTGTGAGCCCGCAGCATGGAGTAGCCGGCGCGGCGGGGGTTGTAGCTGCAGTCGACGTGGAACAGCTTGTTGCCCTGGTTGATCTGGTAGCGGATGTCCTCCTTCTGCACGATGTGGCCGTCGACCTCGATGTTGCCCACGTCGCTCAGCTGCGTGTACTGGCCGAGGCGGTAGGGCGTGCCCGGGTGAATCCAGGGCGTCTGGTCGTCCAGGTCGCCAAACTGGGCGGCAAACGCCACGTGGCCGGCATCGTCCAGCTGCGTCCCACGGAAGACGAGCACGCCGTACCTGGCCATGCCATCCCGGATGATCTGGACGGTGGACCCCGGGACGGGCTTGGAAAAGTCGACTCCGACACACTCTGCCCCGAACGTTGGCGCAAGGGGCTTGAAGGTGATGCCGGAATTAGCCCGGAGGGTTTCCGTGGCTGTCATTTCGATGATACCTGTTCAAGGCAGGTTGCAATGAGAGAGGACAGGTGCAGGGAGCAGAGCAACTCGGTTGATGTGAGAGAATGAGGGGGGCACAGGTAGTGAGAAGTGATTAACTTGTCCAACCTGAAGATGCAGACACGCAAGCAGTGACTATCCCCAGGCTACCTTTCACTACATGTATGAACACAAGTAGAAAGATTGTGACACCCGCTTGAGAGATGCGTCGATGGCGCTTGTCGGCTTCTTTGGACTGCCATCAAAACGAAGGCGACGCGGTCGTCAGCGAATGTGTACCGCGAAAATCCCACCGCGACGCCAGCGAAGCAGCTCATGAACTGATTCCTAGAGGATTGTTCCTTGAGTTTGCATCCGGTGGCGCTGAGTCCTCCTGTATGCCGGTTAGCCCAGAAGGGAACGGTTGCTTACTCAGATCACTCTGTCCCTTGATTGCTCTGCATCGTGTTGACGAATCTTGAGGTAGATGGCGTGAGATACACAACGGGATGTGAGGCTTCAACGCGCCCAGGCGGGTATACCTTGTTGGAGAGAAACTCGAAAAGGGAAATAGAAGCGCCAAGGCTTGACCGGAATCACTCGATGCATGTCAGAAGTGGCACTCCTAAGACCCCCGGCCTTCTTTCCTTGACCCTTTGTAAGGCGGCTTTGACGGCACCCCCTCCCGGATGCGGCGCCGGCTGCAAGGCAACCCGGCAATATCGGCCGGTTGACGGGAATGACGTCGACACGGGATTTTTCGGCATCTGCATGCACCCAAGGGGCTTGCTTGTGCTCATCTCGGAGTACCAGCGTGGGAACATCCAACCGCCGTCGACGGTCTTGGCCCCTTGTGCGAACCCCCGAGTGTACGGAGTACGGAGTAACTTTCCGGAAGTGTGTACGTCCGTACCACAGGAAGTCACTTTTACCCCCACACACTCCCCAAGTGCCGAATCGCCGATCGCGGTCCTTGATCCTGCAGGAATGGGCCGTCGATGCGTTTCCTGCATAGCGTTAGGCGTTGAACCACGCCCTCCTCCTCCAAGCGCCACGCCCCCTCCATTCACGAGTCGAATATGCATCTCGGCTTTTTCCATGCGGATCGACACCTAGGAACGGCCGGGAGCTTCCAAACACCATGCAGGCTAGGCTCGTTTTGGTTGGCAGGTTTCTTGACTGCTTTCGTCAGCAACAGCATGGACGATGTCTCAGGGTGACTTTCATGACGATCAGTGATTGACAAGAAAGGAGGCCTGGGGACCTTGAGGAGAATGGGAAAACATCTCGCCCCTTCCTCGATACTTTTATGTGATCAGCATCATCCTGGAGGCTTTTCCAAGACATCAGACACAGCTTTCTCGGTCGATGCCAGTTGACCAGTCCCGCCACATCCCCATAAGCGATCTTGTACAGTACGGACGATCAACAGGATGGGATCAGTTGCGATCGAGGAGGCGCCACAAAGCCAAGTCATATCCATGGCTGATGTGGACGACGCCACACGAACCGAGATTGCCCAGGCATGCGGCGTCCCGCCCAGCATGATCGAGGACGCCTACACCTGCACGCCACTCCAGCTGAGCATGATAGCCGAGGACCGGGCCGAGATCTTCCACTTTGTCATGTCGTTCGGCCCCAGTGCCGACATTGACCGGTTCTGCGACTGTTTGCGAGCTGTCGTCGCCGCCAATGCCATCCTACGCACCAGACTCGTCAGGTCTGCCCGCTTGGGCGGAATCGTGCAAGTCGTCACGACTGAGCAACATGTCACGACGCGCCACGATGACGGCACTGGCGAGCATCTCGAGCGCTACCTCGAGCAGGCTCATCTCAAAATGGGTCTCGGCGATCCCCTCATCCGCAGCGCCTTCATCGGCCGGAATCTGGTTCTCACGCTGCACCACGCCGTGTTCGACTATTGGTCCTGGGATACGCTGATGAAGGTCGATATTCCGGTCTTGTATTTTCAGCAGCAGAACGAGGCCCATCGGCGACCGGCGTTCAAGGATTTTGTGGCGCGATGCCTCAATATCGACGACGAGGCGGCCAGTCGGTTTTGGGCATCCCGATTCAAAGGGTCCCCGGCGGTCTTCCTCGGATCCAGCTCGCGGCGTGTATTGCCTCCACATGTCGTCGCAAAGCGGGATTGGAAGTTTCCTCTCGTCCGGATCAAGAGCAAAGCACTACCTCCCACACACGCGCCATACTTCATCGAGGCGGCTTGGGCCCTGGTGGCCGCGATCGACACCGACAGCGAAAGCGTGGCCTATGGCTATGTCCTATCTGGACGGACTCCTACGCCGGACGGGCTCGAGAACACGCTAGGGCCAGCCATCACCGAAGCTCCCATCCAGGCCAATCTCCCATGGAAGACAATGACGGTCGACAAGCTCATCAAGGACCGCGCTGCATCGGTTCGCCAGCTGCAGCAGAACCCGCACTTGATTCACTACCCCCTCGAGAAGATTGCCGTACTGAGCGAGGCTGCCAGGACGGCATGCGGATTTCGAGCACTGCTCAACATTCGTCCCGCGGTCTTTGACGACACCGACAGTCAAGCTGATGTCAGAATGGAAAGGATGGTGTGGCTGAATGGCTTCTTTGCGCTGCAGCTCATCTTCAGCATTACGGGCGAGGGCGTCGAGGTGTGGCCGCGTGTCGACTCGACGGTGATTGACGACCGTCGGCTGGAACGTCTCCTGCAGCAATTCGGCCACACGCTTCGTCTGTTGACCGAGGTGTCCCCTCAGACCAAACTTGACAGTCTGCCTCTGCTCGATCCGAAGGCGCGTGAGGAGGTCCTGCAGCTGAATAAGACCATTCCCGAACCAGTGTGGACTAGGCTCGATGAACTCTTTGCTGCTCGGGTACGAGTACAACCGTCGGCTATGGCAATCGAGTCCAGTCAAGGCAACGCGTCTTATGCCCAACTGGATCAACTGTCTTTGAATCTCGCTTTGGTGCTGCAATCAAGGGGCGTTACCACCGAAAGCCGAGTTGGGTTCGTCATGGACAAGTCGCTGTGGGCTGTTGTCGCCTTCCTCGCCGTCCTGAGACTCGGCGGTGTATGTGTTCCGGTGGACAATAACCTCTCCGAAGACGCCAGGGTCGCACTGCTCTCGGCGACGGGGACTCGGCTTGTCTTGGTCCCGGAGTCGTTGAGCAAGTTCGCGCCTGGCATGATGCGCGCCTTGGGCGTCTTCGAAGTTGTCGAGGTTGGGCCTGGAACCGTTTCGCAGGTTCCTCTGGGGGACCGTCAGCAAGCCCACGCTCGAAATGGCAACATCGCCAGGAAACTGGACGAGGCGCTCGCCTTCATTGTCCCCACCAGCAACCCTGCCTCCAAGCAGAAAGCTGCGCTTCTCGGTCATCGCAACTTGGCGTCGGCATTGACAAGCCAGGCCCAGCGGTTTGGCTGGGGACCAGATAGCCGCGTCCTGCAGTTTTGGTCATGCGGTTCTGGCAACGGCTTGTTAGAGATCTTCGGGGCGCTCGTGTTCGGAGGATGCCTGTGCATTTCTCCGAATGCGACGAATCCGACCGAGACCGAGTTCGGGTCGCAGCTTGCACAATTCATCGAGTCTGCCAAAGTGAACTTTGCGCTGCTGCCTCCAAGTGTGATTCGGACCTTCTCCCCCGCCGACGTTGCCAACCTGCAAACTTTGGTCTCGATTGGGGAGCCGATGCAAACCGATGCTGAGGTTGGCCGAGTCTGGGCAGGAGCCCTTCGGTTCTTCAAAGCTTGGGGAGCAACAGAAACATCGATGGTGAGCACCGCCCTACAAATACCAGCAGCCACAGAGCACTGCTCTGCCAACAGCATCGGCACGCCAGTTGGATGTGCGGCCTGGATTGTAAGCGCCCACGATGCCAACCTCCTGGCTCCGCTGGGAGGCGTCGGCGAGCTCGTGATTGAGGGTTTTGGTGTCGCCTCGGGCTACACAGGGGACAATTCCAAAACGGCTGCCGCTTTTCTGCATACGCCAGCTTGGGCAACCGAGTACGACTTCGCGCAATCGTGCCGCCGAGCGACGCGCTTCTTCCGCACCGGTGAGCTGGCCAAGTACAACAGCGACGGCACCATCTCGTACGTTGGACGCGTCGGCAACCGCGTCAAGCTAAGCGGCAGCCAGATGGTGCAGCTGGAAAACGTGGAGCGCGCCATCATGGGATGCAGCCAAGTGCGCGAAGCCGCCACAGCCGGTAAAATCATCGCCGGCCGGACGCAGCTCGTTGCCGTCGTCTGCTTGGCGGCCCCGGGGCTGCCAAGGCAAACCGCTCTCCAGAGACTGGCTGGGTTCGACGCAGACACTGCAGATCGGCGAATGCGCGGTGTGCGAGCGTATGCCGAGTCTGTGTTGCCGGCGGACCATGTTCCAACCGTCTGGTTGGCTGTTGAGAAGCTGCCGAGAACTGCGTCGTACGAGATTGATCGCGTTGCGCTGACGGAATGGCTGAAGAGGTTGAGGAACTGAACACATTCTGCTGTACAATACATCTATATAGAGGTTTCAACACCAATCTCACTACTAAACACCAATACAATGCCCCTTCTCTTCCTCCCTTGCGCCTGTTCCAGACATGGCAGAACACCACGAACATAACTCTGTTTTTCCCTACCATTACATTATCCAATGTAGTCGCTCCAGCAACGTTTCCGCAGCCCGACTCTTGTACTGTTTTCCTTCAAGCCCCCATTGCTGATCACAACTACCGCTCACCCTGATCCATGACCGACCGTGAACGGGGCAGCCCACCGCTCAAACCACCCTCTCCGGCGCAAATCAAGCAGAGTGACCACTAGCAGGCGCGCAGTCGCTCATCTCGTGCTGCATACTGCGGTAATGCGCGCCCCGGCTCTTGTCGCGGAACAGGATGCCAAACGTCAGCACATGGGCCGTCTTGGCTAACAGCGGCCTCGAGTCCTCGTGCTTCTCGCCCGTGACCTCGGTACCGTCCTCGCCCAGAAAGACATGATGGTCCTTGGGCAGGAACCGACCAGGGTGCCAAATGTTCCACAGCCACGAGTTGAGGAGCATCAATGACGACTCAAAGATGTAAAAGTAGACTTCGTAGCGGAGCAGCGGGCTAAGATTCCTCTGCACCTCCAGGTCGTTCAGGTCCATCTTGGTGTTGCCCGTGTGCTCGACCAGGCGGAAGATGCAGCGCGCAAAGATGAGCGCCATGCTGGCGTACAGCACGGCGAGCACGGTCCGGACGGTCTTGGAACCCGGCCGGGTGCGCGCGAAGCGGACGTGGAAAATGGCGGCCATGCCCACAAAGATGACGATGACGACGACTTGGATGGCGATGGCGACGATGGTCAGGATCTTGCCGAGGGACTGGGTCGCCGCCTCGCCGGACGGGTTCGCGGCGAGGGCGACGCCCACGGCGTTGAGCGCCTCAACGAGCGCCATCAGCCCGCCAAAGGTGGCCAAGACGCGGTTCGCCGGGAGCGGGGCGCAATAGGGCACATAGTAGAAAAGGCGGCCGAGGATGTGGTAGTTTGCGAGCTCGAGAAGCGGACTGGAACCCCGTTGTTGTTAGCAGAGCGGGACTCTTGCGTAGAAGAAACAAGGGTAACTCACGGGCAAACGTAGATGAAGACTTGGCTGAGGATGAAAACTATCAAGGGGTCCTTGGTGTGCAGGAGGTACAGGTAATTGTCCTGCGCCTGGTATTCGCGCAGCGCGTAGCCGGCCGTGAACAGGATGGCGCAGAGCGGGTGCAGCCCGATCAGCCTCCACGCCTTGTAGCGGTAGCACTGCCAAATGTGGAAGACTGCCGATATGCCGTATGCGACAGTGAAGAAAATGGGCGCCGCCTTGTTTGGCGCGTAGACATACAAACTCCACAAGACTGAGCACGTCAGCACACTGAACAAAACACGAAAAAAAAAATGAAAAAGAACCAAAAATAGAAGAAAATCGAAACAGCACCGAGCGTGAAAGTGAGGTGCTTACTCGGCTCTCCCGGTTCCGCCATTTTGAAGATTCAAGTTCCGTGGTAAAAACTGGCCGATTTTGCAGTGTGTCGTTGTCGCGCTGGTTTGCCGATATTATGGCGGTTTCAGGATCGGCGTTTTCGATAAGAATTGTCAACAGTCAACTTTGGCTTTGCTGAGGAAAAAGGGATGAAGGTCCCATGATTCTCAATTATAAGCCAGACAAACAACAAGACGTTAGCAAGAGTCTTGGTGATGGCGCGTTCAAGGGCCCGGAAAGCGGTGGACACGACGATCATGGCCCCTAGACGCGTCATCTGGTTTGCGGCGCAAAGAGACGATGTGTAGATGGCATCTGAGACGGAGAGTGAGACGGGTTTGCAGCTATTCCCAGATAGGATAATAGATTTGCCAAGAGTAGATGTCCGCTTTTTCAGACACTCGGCCAAGCACGCCAAGCCCTCATGCCGCTACATTAGCTTATGGCGTCCCCACGATTTTCGGCGGGTGGCTTCTTCTCGGCCCGCAGATCGATTGGCCTTCCGACAACACTAGCCCAAAGAAGACTGAGCTCTTGCCAAGCCCACACTAAATATGTCGAGTGACGTGTTTCGACATTGGCGCCTGTCAGTTTCACTTGGATCGTTTGCCGTGCCAACGGCACCCCAACGGCCAGCCCAATACTTGGCCTGCGGTTGGCGCCACGCCAGTGCTCATGGAGTCACTTCTGAGTCCGGACATTGAGATGAAATGTCTTTGACATACCTCGTCCGACTGGTTCGGGACTCCGGGTGATTCAGACACTCAAGTGGACGCACTTAGGACTCAGCTGTCAGTGATTAGAGCGTTCCGGTCATTACGAACGTAACTGTTATTCCAGCTAATAGACACTTCAGGTGCCTAACATTATCGCGCTTGGCGTTTGGACAGTTTCAGGGGTAGCCCTTCGCCCTCCTTAGGCTCGAACACGCCGTTCATCTGTAGCACCGTCACCCAGCGGCTATCCCGCAGCCGCGCGTCCAGCCTCTTCTCGGTAGCCGCCCGGTTCTCGCCACGCAGCGGAACTACCTCGACGCGGTGGTGCTGAAGCAGCGTGACCACGGCGGCTGTGAACTCGACTTGAGCCATCTTCATGCCAGGGCAGACGCGTGGACCCATGGCCCACGGCACCCACGTGCCTTTAGGCGGGTGATAGTGCGCCTGCGCCGAACCCGGCGGGTTAATCCACCTCGAAGGCCGGAAGACGTGCTCATCTGCTGAGACGGCATCGTCCCGACCGGCAGGAGCGGTCTGCACAAACGGCGGGTCTGACTCGCGGTTGACGTCGCGCCACGACGGGAGGAGGTGCAGCGCCAGCGAGTTGACATAAACCCTCATGTCCGCGGGCACGTGGATGGTGCCCGTCGCCGTGTGCAGTGTCTGAGGAGCACTCGTCTCGCGATGCACATGCGGCACGGCGGGAAACAGCCTCAGCGTCTCAAACATGAATGCCAGCGTGCGAGTGGCGCGAGGGAACACGGCTGTGTAGTCCATCAGCCCATCTTCGTTGGTGGCCGTCGTCGGGAGGCTGTCCACCTCCTCCAGAAGCCAGTCTTGCCATTCGGGATAGCGGGCAAGGAGGACCACGGCGTAGGCCAAGGTGGTCGCTGTGGTTTCGAAGCCCGCTGCCGTCACAATGAAGAGGTTGCTGATCATCTCGACCTCGCTGAGAGCCAGCCCCTGGTCCTTGCCCTCCTCGGACGCCCGCAAGATCTTGCTGACAATGGTCGACTTGGGCGCCGGTTCTCCCCTGGCCCTCCGCTCGCGCTCCTGGTCCAGTATCTCCCTGCTGCGTTTCTCAACCTCAACCTTGGCGCATCCCACCGTCCTCATCTTGTCGTGCCATGGGAGCCATCGCGGCCAGCTGTTGAGAAGCTTCTTGGGCAGCATGCCCACGCCCACAATGTTGATCACCATAGTATTGAGCGAGTCGATGTGCGGCATCATGTACCCAGGTTCAGCCACCCGGCTTTTCCGCCAGGGAACCTTGACGCCCATGCTCGTTCCCAGCAGTACGTGGATGGTCACCCTCTTGAGCATGTCAAAGAGCTCCAAGGTCTCGGCTGAGGTCGGCTGCGGTTCTCCTTCCGGGGCCGCAAAGACGTCACTGAGGAGACTTTGGGTTTGCCGGATTGACTCCTCAAAGACGGCCCTCATGATGCGCTCGTCGAGGATGCTGGTGATGATCTTCCGGTGTCTGGCCCACCTTTCCCCGTTGGTGGTGAGGACGTTGGGACCATACGTCCCCAGGGCGAAGCTTATGGCATGTGGCGCCTCGTACTCGCGCACTCTGGTGAGAATGTCGTTTGCGGCAACCGGGTCGGCCGTCCAGATCTCCCCCTTTTGGAGTCCCAGCAGAATGAATGTCCTGCCTACCCCCTTGCCGTGGCCGTGACCCGGCACATACTCGTCGAACGGGCGCAGCTTCTCGTGGAATTCCCACCCGAATATCATGAGACTGACTCGCTTCCAAAGCCATTTCGGGAGTATTCGTCGAATTCGCTCCCTGTTCGGGGGTGCGAGCAAAATCCAGAGCAGCTGAATCTGGTCCACCGGAACAAGGACCAAGGGCAGCCCAATGCGTCGCGCTTCGGCCAAGGTCTTTGAGTAATTGTAGGCGAACCTGATCAGGAGCAGCAGGAGAATGGCAATTATGGCACTGAAAGCGTAGGCCATGATGTTGACGTCAAATGCAAACCAAGGGCGCGACAACAGACATGGGCAATCAACGTGCGGCTCGTGTTGAATCCGAGCAATAAACCATCACCGTTAACCTTATACAGCCGGGCCTCGCACTCAGCGCCTCGTCAACCTCTAGTCCTGTGATCGCCGCGTCAACGCTCGGGTCATCTCGCATTCGGGTTACGCCGATGTCCCCGGACCTGTTACCGTCGACGATTTGGCACTGGCCGTCACGGACCTTACACGGCGCATGGGAAAACACCGTCGAACAGCATGACGCATAGCTGTGATAGCAATCGGCCCCTCTCCCCGCCATGGCCTGCCATCCGATGGACGGGTCCACGTCACGATCGGCACAGAATAACACCGAATAGATCACTCCAAGAGTCGGTTCTTTTCCTTTGCATGCAGCCTTGCATGCAGCGAAACACTCGGAGCAGTGGGGTTGACGGTGCTTTAGCATCGTTTCGCGCACGGCAGGCGACTCGGCATCGAGGCATCTTCTCCCGTGGAAGCAGTCTCGGGTGACTGTTCGGGCTCGAGATAATCCGTCTGACAAAGATGGCCGCACCGGTGGGGCAGAGGGCAATATGCCCAGTCTGCAGGTAGCAATAGGCGGATAGTGTTCCTTGATTGGCACTACCTGCAAGTTGCAAGTTGCAGACCCATTGGCCTCGAGTATCACCGAGCCGTCTTGCGGAAGAGAAGGCCGAGTTACACAACAGACGTTGAATTCGGCGGAAGGCTGAAGAAAGCGGAAGTCATATCGGCCAAGACATGCAGGGAATGAAGCAAAGTTCACACCATCAGGCCAATAGTCCACGGATCGCCCCGGGCGGGCCGTCCTGGCTCAAACACATCGCCGAGACAGCGACCGATCACGGAGCATGTAGGTACCTTGACGGATGAACAGGGCAGGTACGTTGCAGCCGCAGGTACCCTACCTCTCAGATAGGAAGGAAGACGTGCCCAGCCTTCCATGCATCTGTCTCCTGAGCACGCTTGTGCATCTGCCGCTGACTAGCGGGAACAGGGGCTGCGTCCCCTGCGTCGATCGTCGATGCACTGCGACACTCAATTTGCGCCAATATGGACGACAGGGCAGCATGGCGCGGTGTCCACGTAATACATACGTATACCCCCTACATTGGAGGTGCCGGCCGTGCCTACTTAAGTTGAGGTGAGATGCCTTAGCCTGCAGATGGCGCGATTTAATCCTTCAAACGGCGAACCCCCCACTATTCTGCTGACATGGACCACCATTTCAGCAGCCGCCAGTTGAGTGTGCCGCAGCATCGCATATGATACCACCCCCCTCCTGCATCCTTTTTGATCCTTCACAAGTCAAAAGGGCATCGACCAAGACATCGAGTCTTGATTTCACACGATGCCTCTGGTACATGGCTTGTCGTCCCTCCGAGACACGACCGAAAGAAAGCCTGCATCTACGGTGGCATCGCACGAACATGGCCAAGGCCAATCAAGCGAGTCAGCACGGAGTTTGTCTTGACGCCGGTCTGCCTGCGTGCCAAGTCTTCTAATCAACGCGGAAGAAGCATACCACGTCGATATCAAGCGCGGCAGTCATCATGAACACCCAGGGTGCATCGGCAAGCAGACCGGCTTTGCCTGCCATTCTCTGATCATCACCATTTCTGGCTGTTCTCTCTGGCCGTGTCATCCCCGAAAGTCTGTGTTCCCATCACTCTCGACTCACGTCGTCAACCGCGTCATCAATCTCGCCCAAGATGCCCCACAAGCTCACCGTCAAGCACAAGCGCGGCAAGCCGGGAGCCGTCTACTACCCGCTCCAGCTCCACGCCGTGCCCAAGCCCTGCCCGGGCTCCGGCCAGTTGCTCGTCAAGATAGCTGCCGCAGCCCTGAACCACCGAGACATCTTCATCCGGCAGCAGCTCTACCCGGGCATCTCATTCGAGGCGCCCCTTTTCTCAGATGCCTGCGGGGAGGTGGTCGAGGCCGGGCCCGGCTGCACCCGCGGCGCCGAGGTCCTGAACAAGCTCGTTGTGCTGACGCCCTTCCGCGGCTGGGCCACCGACCCCGCCGGGCCCGAGGACTGGGCCCAGTTCTGCACCATTGGCGGTGTCGGCCCGCACCACCACCTCGGCGGCGCCCAGACGTACGTCGTCGTCGACGAGGGCGAGGTCGAGCCGCTGCCGGCGCACCTCAGCGCGGTCGAGGGCGCCGCTCTGCCCTCGGCGGGCGTCACGGCCTACCGCGCGCTGTTCACCAAGGCCGCCTCGGCTGCCCAGCAGGGCAGGAACATACTCGTCACGGGCATCGGTGGCGGCGTGGCGCTGCAGGTTTTGCAGCTGGCCGTCGCCCGCGGCGTCAACGTCTACGTCACGTCGGGCAGCGAGGCCAAGATTGCGCGGGCGCGGCAGCTCGGCGCGCGCGACGGCGTGCTGTACACGCACAGCGAGTGGCCCAAGGAATTGGCCAAGCTGCTGCCGGCCGAGCGGCCGCTCCTCGACGCCGTCGTCGACGGAGCCGGCGGCGACATTGTTGTGCGCAGCATCCCGCTGCTCCGGCCCGGCGGCGTCATCTCGGTCTACGGCATGACGCTCGCCCCCGTCATGGACTGGCCCATGCAGGCCGTCATGAAGAACATTGAGCTGCGCGGAACCACTCTCGGGTCGCGCGTCGAGTTTGCCGACTTTGTCGAGTTTGTGGGCCAGCACAAGATCCGCCCGGTCGTGTCCAGGAGCGTCAAGGGGCTGGACTGTGTGGACGCCATTGAGGGCCTGTTTGACGAGCTCAAGGAGGGGAAGCAGTTTGGCAAGTTGGTTGTAGAGATTTGAGCATCTATAAGACTGTCACGGAGCTTGAGGATGGGGTCCCGCGCGCTCCAATGTAGCTCATGTCCAAACCGCCTGGAACGGCTGTGTAGTGTCGGACAAACTTAGTCCAACCCGATCATGATTGCCAGTTGCCACTCCACATGGCTCTTTAATCTGCTTATAGTGAACAAACAAGCTGCAGCAGCAAACTCAGATTCTTATGCTTGAATCATGACTGTTTTTCTTGACTTTCTTTTTTCTTTGCTCATGTCTCTCTTACTCCGCCTCCAAAGCCTCTGTACGGAATCAGTCACCCTTTCTTACCTCCATTTCTCCATCTTGCCTCTGTGCTCGCTTGCCAAGGTGGAATTCGAGGCCTCCTAACATGCATGTACGTACATAACTACTCCTCCATTCTTCCTTGCCGGAATGAGACGTCGATTGTAGGCTGTTTATTCGGACCGCTTCGTGGGGGCATAGGGGTAGGCGAGATACTCTCAGTCAATCGGGGACCTATTTCCACATGGCCACTGAAGCGGACTCGCTCGCCGAGAATCTGAAGCCACAATTCTGTGATTGCACCAACATAATGACTCCGTAGTCAGGGGTTCCATGAAAGCAAAGTGTCTCGGCAGGCTCTCTTGTAAGTCATGCACCGTGCGTGGTACAGCATGTCCCACAACGGGCCACGCCTTGGAGCGCAAATAGGCTTCAACCGCGTGCTCTTGGCGGGTGTCACCTCAGGATTTACCGTGCAGCTCACTGCAACCTGTGTAGGAGACGGAAACCCTCATTCCCCCTTTCTACCCACTCCAAAGTCTAAAAAATGGTGCGATCCCCGCATCTGATAAGCACATACAACCCCACAAACAGGCTGACACGATCATGAATAAGGGTACATACTCAGGGCAACAGATCGGGCAGGCGAACGCGGATCAAGGATGATATTGCCCCAGTGTAACAGTCAGGGGCTGATGTCAGAAACGCCAAATTCAGCTTACTAGCCAAGCGCTTGGTTCGGATCAATGATGCTGCAGGCAGCATGACATTGCAGGAGAAAAAGGACCGGATCGGCAGAGCAAGATACGAGAAAACAGGCAACACACGTAGAACGAAAGAACCGGCGGCCCCTAAAGAGACTGCAGTCGGAGAGTGCCGCGAACGCTGACTGGATTGAACCGAAACATGTTTTTCCTGTGTCTTGAATGATCCATCGAATCCATCCCCCCACCCTTTCAAGCCTCGCCGTCACAATGGCCTCGCCGTCAGATACCTATCTGTGTTCTTGACTGCACGTGTATGAGACAGAAAGACTGATTGCTGGCATCAGTCCAGAGTCCATTTCTCCGTGCACACCCCTCGGGGTAGTCTTCTGGCCGCCGTCCGCATTTGGGGCCCAGCGGGCCGAGACAGAGCATCAGCATGGCCGACGATTAATCAGCTTCCCAACAAAGTCAATAAGCTTTTACCGTCTGGTCTGGTACCATGCAGCTGCAGCACCTTGACATGGTGTTAGTGAGCCTGGAGTTTGGGAACGTTCCCACGACCCACTCATTCATCTACTTCCGCTACCTAGGTAGCTCCGGCACTCTACGACTGTCCGTAAGCACAGCCTGGCGAGCAAACGAGAGCCAATGGATTTCAAAGAAATGGTAGCCTAGTTTGTCCGTGTGTCTCTGATGGGTTCTCAGCCCTGCCGCAGCAACGTTCCGGTGTGTATCCATACCGGTTGGAGGAGCTCCAATTCAGGGGGTCCGCCGTCTCCCGTGTCTTAGAGGCTTTGTTAGGCATGGTTAACCGAGGCCGACGCCGCGCCCAGAGACCGGACCAAAGAAACCCCTACAAGACCATGGAGCTGCCCAGGCGGGCCAAGAATATGGGCAACGGCTTGGCTTGTCGTGATGGTGACTGTTCGCTTGGCCGAGAGGGTGTACGGGAGGTGGTGGAGGTCGTGGTAGTGAACCGCATATTGCATGTTTGGATGCGCCGAGGAGGCTCGACTACATCCATGATAGACCGGTTAGCCATCGGTACGTACTTACAGGATGAAGGCAAGGATGTCTATCAGCGGAGGCAGAGAGACTGAGTCGGCGGAGGAGGCAGGACCGGATATAACATGAAGTCCTTCGCCCGTCAAGTTTCTCCTCAGCCCCAGCAAGGAGATATTCAATCTCATTCCTTGACCCCAACCTCCACGCTTCTCAAGATTCAACACTCACTCATCATGTCTCCCCAAGATACCCCCATTGCCGTTGTAGGCATTGCCTACCGTGCCCCTAGCATTGGAGGGAAAGGGATTTGGGACTACCTGGCCCAGGCCCGGTCTGCCTGGACCACCTTTCCCGAGCATCGGTTCGATGTGTCGGCCTACCGCAAGCCTGGAGCTGACAAGTCGGGCGTCTTCAGAGCCGAGGGTGCTCAGTACGTCACACCAATGCTATATCCACTTGGGAGTAGAATGACTGACCCTGTGACAGCTTTCTGCCGGGGGACATTTACTCCTTCGACGCCGCCTTCTTCAACATGAGAGCTGAAGAGGCCAAGAACGCGGATCCCCAGCACCGGTTGCTGCTCGAGTGCGCCCTGGAGGCCGCCGAGGACGCAGGCCAGACTCTCCTTGACTTGGCCGGTAAGAAGATTGGCGTCTTTGTGGGTGCCGGCCAGCATGAATACTCGGAGCGCCTTGGAGAGGATCTTTTTGCGGCCAAGACCTTCACTGCCACCGGTCTGGCCCCTTGCATGCTCGCCAATCGCATCTCATACTTTTTCGACGTGTATGGCCCAAGTGTGGTGCTGGATGCTGCTTGCGCATCCAGTGTCTACGCCGCACATGCTGCCGTGTCGGCCGTCCGCAACGGCGACTGCGATGCTGCCTTCGTCGCATCCTGTGCCCTCACAGTTGCCCCTGGGGGGTGGCTCGCGCTGGAGAAGACAGGGTGAGTGAACAATCTGACCCATCAATCATCAACGCTCACCTGACAATCAATCATTCAGAGCCCTGTCAGTCCACGGACGCAGCTTTTCCTACGACCACAAGGCCTCAGGCTTTGGGCGTGGCGAAGGCGCTGCCTGCCTGCTCATCAAGCCCCTGGACGCGGCGCTAAAGTCCGGCGATCCCATCCACGCCGTCATCCGCAACTCTGCATGCAACCATGGCGGCAGATCAGAGGGCATCACCATGCCGAACGGCATCGCTCACCGGGAACTCCTCCGCACGGTCCATGCTGCTGTGGGCCTGGACCCTGGTGAGACCGCTGTTGTCGAGGTTGGTGCCATGCCATGCCACCCGAATGCCGTCGCCCTGCCTGGCATGCTGACATTGTGGTTCAATAGGGCCACGGGACTGGTACCGGAGCTGGCGATCCCATCGAAGCTGGCGCATTCACGGATGTTCTCGCCAAAAACAGGACGCCCGAGAACCCAATCTACATTGGCTCTGTCAAGTCCAACTTTGGGTAGCAGATTCTCCTAGCCGAGACTTCTACAACCATTGGAATCCTCTAACACAGTCCTATAGGCATCTCGAAGGAGCTAGCGGCATGCTCGGCATGATTAAGGCAATCTTGATGGTCAAGAACGGGGTTGTGCTTCCCACAGCGGGCTTCGAGACCATCAACCCCAAAATTCCGGACAAGGAGAAGATCGTCGTGCCGAGTGGCCCCATTCCATGGCCGAAGGGCGAGAAGAGACGAGTCATGGTGACCAACTTTGGTAAGAGAAACTCCTTCGAATTTCTTCAAGCAGTGGGTTCATGTTGCTAACGCAAGACTCCCAGGCTTTGGTGGCAGCAATTCCGCAATCATCTTCGAGCAAGCGCCGCAAAGGGAGCGCGATGCCAATGGTCACGCCAACGGCACCAATGGCTCCAATGGCTACCACGTCGCCAACGGGAATAGCACGAATGGCTACACCAATGGCCACACCGATGGCCACACTAACGGCCACTCGAATGGCCATGCCATCTCACTCGCTGACCCTCGCTACCTGTTTGTTCTGACCGCCAGGAACGAGAACAGCCTGAGCTCGTACCTAGCCTCGTTCAAGGACTACCTCGACGAGGCTCCCGAGGACGTCAAGTACCTGAAAAACCTCGCCTACACTCTCGGACAGCGCCGCACCCATCACCCATACCGCGTGTCCGTCGTGGCCGACTCGCTAGACACCCTCTCGGAGAAGCTCTCGCAGGTGAAGCCGGTCAGGGTGAAGGACCGCACCTTTGCCTTTGTCTTCACCGGCCAGGGCGCCCAGTACGCTCAGATGGCGACCGGGCTGCAGCACTACAAGGTGTTTGCCGCCGCCCTGGACCAGGCTGAGTCCCATCTCCAAACCATGGGCGCGAAATGGAGCCTCAAAGAGGAGTTGGGCAACGCCGCCGGCAGCTCCCGCGTCGATGATGCCGAGATCAGCCAGCCGGCGTGTACAGCCATCCAGCTGGCTCTGGTGGAGCTGCTCAAGAGCTGGGGGATCACTCCGAGCACCGTCACGGGCCACTCGAGCGGCGAGATTGGAGCAGCCTACGCCGCTGGTTTGATCTCGTTCCGCACCGCCATTGCCGTCTCGTACTTTAGGGGTCAGGCAGCTGCCCAACTCTGGCGCCAGCAGGCTGGAGTCCAGAAAGGCGCCATGCTGGCTCTCGGCGTTGGCCCTGAAGAAGCCGAAGACCTCCTCCAGCAGCACGCCCAGGGATACGCGACCGTGGCCGCCATCAACAGCCCCAAGAGCGTCACCATCTCGGGCGACCTCGCTGCCATCGCAAACGTGCACAAGGTCGCAGAGGCGAATGGCTTGTTCGCTAGGAAGCTCAAGATCCAGATGGCCTACCACTCCCGCCACATGGAAGCGGTGGCCTCGTATTACCTGGACCAGATCCGGCCCTACTGCGACAAGGACTCCGAGTACCTCGCCTCTGACCATTCCTCGCCTAAGCCGATCTTTGTGTCTTCCGTTACGGGGAGCGTACAAGATCGCGACTCAGTCGACGCGTCCTACTGGGTCAAGAACCTTGTCCGCCCGGTGCGGTTCTCAGATGCCATCAAGGCCGTCTTCACGCCGACGCCTGTCAAGGGAAGCAACAAGACTGAGACTCCCAACACGGTCCTGGAGATCGGTCCCCATGCTGCTCTCAAGAACCCAATCAAGCAGACGGTGGAGATCACGCATCCCCAGAAGGTCTCAACCTTCAATTACCTCCCTTCTCTGTTGCGCGGAACCGGCTCCGAGGAGGCCATCCTCGACCTTGCGGCGTCCCTCTTCACCCTGGGAGCGCCGATCCAGCTCGCTGCTGTCAACCAGACGAGCGTGGACAATGCCGAGGTCGTCACTGGCCTCCCAGGCTACGCTTGGGATAAGTCCGTGAGCTATCAGCTGGAACCGCGGGCGGTGCATGAGAAACTGTTCCCTGGCGAGGCCTACAATCACTTGCTCGGCCGAATCATGATCAGCACTGGTGGCAAGGAGAAGGCATACCGCCAAGTGTTCACGCTGGACGAGGCCCCATGGATCCGGGACCACGTCGTGGCGGGCGCCGTCATCTTCCCCATGACGGGCTACATGTCTTGTGCCATCGAGGCCTGCCGGAGAACCCTCACAACCCCTGCCACCGCATTCCTCGTCCGCGACTTCCACGTCAAGTCTCGTTTGGAGATCCAGGAAGATCAGGAGGTCGACATGGTAACCAAGATCCGTCCTGCCGCAAGTGGAACTGGCGCAAAGTCGTCGACCGCTTGGGAGTTTGAGATCTCATCCTGGCAGGACAATGCGTGGAACATCCACGCCCACGGCCAAATTGAAGCCGAATACAGCGAGATGACGGTCGAGACTCCAACCCTGAGTGCCTCGCTTCCGCTGGTCGACAAGACTGAGGGCCTGGTCGAGCAAGATCTGGCGTACGCCTATGCGGTTGCCGGTGTGCGTGCCACCCGCTATGGTCCGACCTTCCAGAATTCGACGGCCTTCTTCGAAGGTAAGGGGTACACGCTCCTCCGCCACGCCCTCCGCAATCTGGGCGAGGCGCTGGAGGCACCCAACCCGTTCGGCTCGCCCGTCACGGTCGACCCGCCTACCATCGATGGTTTCCTTCAGGGTGGCGGTCCCCTCCAGGTGACCGAGGATGGGCGACGACCAGCGCAGATGCCCAATTACATCAGTCGGTTCCGCATCTCCAACAAGATCCCATCGACCCCCGGGCAGCGTTTCGACATTGTCACGCGCCTGCTCGACTACGACGTCAAAGGCGGCCGCATGAACCTAGGCGTGGCTGCCTTCGCACGAGACAAGGACGGCACGCTCACTCCTGTTGCCGAGTGGGAGTCGTGCGCCTTCCGCACCATTGGCTCCACAGAAGACGAGCTGGATCCCGCCGCTGCTCTGCCCGAGAACTGGAGGTGGGAGCTGCTGCCGCGCTTCGACTATCTCCAGTATGAGAAGCTCGACAAGACTCTGCCCAAGCAGATTTTGAGTGCCGAGGAAAAGGAGCACGTTGCCAACTTGGACAAGGTCGCGTGGTACTACATCAACAAGGGCATCCAGGAGACCGAGGGCGATGACCGCTCCGAGTACCCTCACCACTACTCCCAGTTCGTCAAGTGGGCCAAGCTGAACGGCGGCAACCACAGAGTCGAGCTCGGCGTCAACCTGTCTCAGGAGGTTCTTGATGCCGTACGCAAAAAGGACGCGCAGGGTGAGATGCTTTGCGTCATCGGCGAGAAACTTGCTCCCATCCTCCGGGGCGAAGTCGAGCCCTTGGAGCTCATGCTCGCTGACGGCTTGCTCTCGCGCCACTATGAGGCCGACCCCAGCAATGCCCATCTCAGCAAGGTTCTCGGCGAGCTCGTGCTGAACCTGTCCGACCTGGAGCCAAACCTCAAGGTTCTGGAAATCGGGGCGGGTACCGGTGGCACCACCCTCCCTGTGCTCGAGGCTCTTGCGCGAGATAAGGAGGAGGCTGCCATTCTCAACTACACCTTCACCGATATCTCGTCGGGCTTCTTCGAGAATGCCAAGAACAAGCTCTCCAATCCCAAGTTTGCCAACCGCATCACGTACAAGAAGCTCGACATCTCGCAGGACCCGGTCGAGCAGGGCTTCGAGGCCGAAGAGTACGACGTCGTCATTGCCGCCAACGTGCTGCACGCCACTGAGGATATGGCCGTGACCATGGCCAATGTGCGCAAGGTGCTCAAGCCGCGCGGCAGGCTCTTCTTGATCGAAGGTACCTGGCATCCGGCCGTCCTGCTGCCCTTCTTCCTGCTTCCCGGTTGGTGGTATGCCAAAGACCACTACCGCGACCACGACGCAGGTCCCATGATGCCCAAGCACGTCTGGAACCAGCTGCTGCTTGACACGGGTTTCTCAGGCGTCGACCTCGAAATCCAGGACCGCCCCAACGACCCGACCGCGGGCATCAGCATCCACGCCTCGACCAGGGTGGGCAAGCCCGAGGAGGCCAAGACGGTTACTGTTGTGGGGCCGTTCATGGACGACGAGGAGATCGAGTATGCCACTCAGGTGGCCAACGCCATCGCAGAGCAATACGACATTGCCGTCGAGACTAAGCCCTTCGCCGAGATCGAGGAGTTGGAGTACCCGTACTACGTCGTCATAGACTCGCCGCGGCACAGTCTGATGAAGGACATGAACGAGGAGAAGTTTGAGGGGCTGAAGAAGCTCTTGCTGCATAACAGCGGAATTTTCTGGGTGGTCCCCAACACCGGCCCCGTCGAGGTCAGGTTCGTCAAGGGCATGCTTCGTACGCTGCGGGTCGAGAACGCCGGTGATGCTAAGAATCTGATGCTGCTCGACGAGACGCCGCTTACGGAGGAGGCCATTCCCAGCATCGTCAAGCTCGTCGGGACGCTGCGCGACCCCGAGGTCACGCGGACGCAGGACATGGATTATGTGTACCATGACGGTACCATCTACATCCCCCGCATGCGACTGCTGAGGGATTTCAAGGAGCGGTTTGCTGTCGAGCAGGGCATCTCGTACCGCAAGGAGCAAAACATGTGGGAGGGCGACCGGGCGCTCGAGATGACCATCGACGCTGCAGGCAGTCCCGACTCCATCTACTTCCGCCGGTCCAACGTGCTCCAGGAGCCAGTGGGTGCCGAAGAGATTGTCGTCAAAGTAGAGGCCGCCGGCGTCAGCTACCGCGACCTCAATCTGGTTCTTGGCGCCATCCCCTGGGCCGCGCCCGGGTTCGACGGCGTTGGCACGGTCACCAAGACCGGTGCTGGCGTGACCAATCTGCAGGAGGGCGACCGGGTTTTCTTCCTGTCTCTCGAGGGCAGCGGTTTCTCCACTTACAAGAAGATGCCCGTGTGGCACGCTGCCCGCATACCGGCGAGCATCAGCACCACCGACGCCGCCACTATGCCGCTCGCGTACTCCCTCGCTGTTCTTGCGCTCATCCACACGGCCAGGCTCGGCCAAAACGAGACGGTGCTCATCCACTCGGCGGCGGGCGCTGTTGGGCAGGCCTGTGTGAGGATTGCGCAGCATCTGGGCGCCAAAGTCTTCGTGACGGCGGGTACTGCGTCCAAGCGGGCGTACCTGCACGAGACTTTTGGCATCCCCAAGGAGCGCATCTTCTCGAGCCGGACCCCCGAGTTCCGGGACGCCATCCTCGTCGCCACCAACAACAAGGGAGTCGACGTCATTGTGAACCAGCTCGGTAAACAGCTGCTGACCGAGACGTGGGCGCTGGCCGCCCACTTCGGCCGGTTCATCGAGATCGGAAAGCTCGACGCCTTCAACAACAGCTTCCTTCCCATGAAGACCTTTGACAACAACGTCACCTTCAGCGCCATCGACCTCCGTGACCTTTATACGCATCGGCCTGGTGCGGTCAAGGATGTCTTTGCCGACGTAGTCAAGCTTGTCCAGCACAGGGTTGCCGTGCCGATCAAACCCATCAGCGTGCTGCCTATCTCGCAGTTCTCCAAGGCGCTACAGAAACTCAAGGCCGGCGAGAACATGGGCAAGGTCGTTGTCGAACTCGGCTCGGAGGAGCGCGTCGTGGCCGAGAGCAAGCTCCGTCCGACGAAGGTCAGCCTCAGGCCGGACGCCACGTATGTCATCACCGGCGGCACACGCGGTATCGGGCTCAACCTCGGCGTGTGGCTGATTGAGCATGGGGCTAAGAACATTGTTCTGCTCGGCCGCAGCGGTGCCTCTGGGCCCGCGGTACAGAAGGTGCTGAAGCAGTATGAGAACACCGACGTGACGATCCGCGCCTTGGCCTGCGATGTCGGCAACTATGGCCAGATGGAAATGATGGTCAAGTCCATTGCCGACATGCCACCCGTCAAGGGCGCCATCCACAGTGCTCTTCTGCTGAGCGTGAGTAGCCCCATCGACTCTCTTCCGCGCCGTCAACTGACTGACATGTTGATGCTTGTAGGACAAACTGTTCGAAAACGCCACGTTCGCCGACTGGGAGATCATTTGCAAGCCGAGAGTCGACGCCGCGTGGCATTTGCACAACCTCCTCCCCAAGGACATGGACTTCTTCATCGGACTGGGCTCCTTCCTGGGCGACACGGGCAATGCCGGGCAGGCCATCTATGCTGGCACAGCCGTCTTTTACCACGAGTTCGCCAAGTACCGCCGGTCGCTCGGGATGCACACCATCAGCATCGCGCTGCCGGTCGTGCTCGACGTTGGCTACGTGGCCGACAACAACCTGACCGACATCCTCAAGCAGACGCTGGGCGCGACGCTGACCATGGCCGACATCCGCACGCTCGTCAAGGGAGCCGTCATGGGCCCCGACAGTCCGTTCCACCACGACGGCAAGGCGCTCGCCTTCCGCATGTTCCTTGAGGGCCAAGCCGTCACCGGCGGTGGGCCGTGGACCTTCTTCCATCCTGTGCACGCCAAGGAGAGGCTCAAGGCCGAGCGGGCCAAGAAGAAGTCCGGAAAGGGTGGTGCTGGCGGTGCTGGCGGCGACGTGTTCACGGGCAGCTGGACGGCCGCCGATGATCCGCTGACGGGCTTGACCGAGGCATTGCGGACCAAGGTCGCGGCGATGACGATTACCGATATTTCTGAAGTCCAGGGCGACACGCCGCTGGCGGCGCTTAATTTGGACTCGCTGGTTAGTGTGGAGCTGAGGAACTGGATCCGCCGCGAGACTGGTGTGGAGCTGTTGTTGAGTGCCATCACGCAAGCCGAGAACCTGGCGGCGCTGGCCGCCGAGACGCTGGCCCAGAGGAACGGGGCTGCAAAGTGAGCTGTCTTTCTGTAATATACTTGATTAGTTAGAGGACAGTTCTATGTTGAGTGCGTCTGTTTTCCCTAGCGTCGCCGAACCGTCATCCAGCCAGTACACCACACGGCAAATTGTAGACGTACACAGAAAAACAACGGTACAAGCCGGAGCTAACAGGCGGCATCGATTCCCAGCCGGTATGTACGCTGGGACGAAGGAGGGAGGCGGACTGGGAAGCTTGGAAGATCGGTTATATGCTTGGAGTTTTGCTTCTTGAATCGTGCACGGGTTGGGCTTGCCTGCAAATGGGGACAGGTAATTAAAGTCGGCCGGGGTGCTCTGGTTATGTATACCAGCCAGCCGCGGCTCAATTTTCCGTCGGTCATGGTCGATGCCTGTAGACTCTTCCCCTGGACAACGGCGCCTGAGCTGTAGTCCTCGCGGCAGAACAGAGAGAAAACGAAAGTAGACATCACATCACCTATAGCCGTAATATGATTACTTTCTGCTAGAGTACCGTCTCATATCTTAGAAGAAGGATATGAACGAAGAAAGGTTTGAAGAAAAGAACCGAGGCAGAAAGGAGAGATGGTGGCAGAAAAGAAAGGAGAAAAGTTGAGGGTAAAAGGGAAAGAAGAAGAAATGAAGAAGAACGGTAAGAAGGAACGAAAGTGAAGCACTTTTCTCTCTTTCATTCCTCTGTGCTATTAGACGCACCAGCGTCGAATCATCAGAGACACTCCAAATCCAAGATCGCGACATGGCAGTCAGATGTACTTCATCAACCGCGGCAGGTCGTTAAAGTAACTGGAAAGCAAGACGATGTAGTGACGGCGGTTGTAGATGGCGGTGCGTCGCTGGCCAGCCTGCCGGTCACGGTTGACAACGATGATCGAATGTTGCAAAACTGATGGGGTCGAAATATGAGAGCTCAGCAAGCAGACCGCGGCGATGCGACTTGTAGTATAGGGATCTGTACCGGTGACGACGACAACCGTTGTGAAGGAACATTGAAGGTCACGGTGGATATGGATGGATGGAATTTATTTCGCCCGGAGGCACGAAGCCTAAAGGGCCTTGGCACGCTAAGTACATCCAATTCGTTGACGTTCAATCATCAACTCGTACAAGTCCTCTACTCTCTCCCCGTTTCTCACGCCACCTATTGCCTCTTGACTTAGTTCAGCAGATCGACTTGGAGGCTGCGTTCTCTAAGTGTTCAGCGTCCTATCTTCAGCAGCTAAAGCGGGATCTGCTGGCTGAGGCTGTGTAGTGTTAGTGGGGTTCCGCTACTGTGATTGTGTCCTTACCTCGTTGTCCTTTGCGCTGCCGCCTTGGCCTCTAGGCCCAAAGTAAAGTTGGCTTCCGCTGGGATCCACAGGAAATCGACTGAGTTCCCTCTTTCTTGGTGTAGTTTAGCCAACTCGTAAATTTGTCGTATAGTGCCTTGGCCAGACTGTTGTCGCGGTTGCCTAATTGCTGCTAGCGCTGACTGGTTCCTGGTGACGATGGTGATGTGCCTATGGCAGGCGTTGGCCGGAATCTTCTCCAAGGCCATTGCGATGGCTGCTAGTTCTGCTGTGTATGGGTTCTGCTCCTCCCTCGTGCCAAGGGTTACAGCAAATCTTGTCACGGTCTCGCTGGTCCTGTTGAAGAGAGTGTCTCGTGCGATGCCACCAACACCGACAATGCCTTTTTTCACGGATGAGCTGGTTGCAATCACGATGCCCATGGCTCCGTTGGCCATCTCGGTCGCCTTCTTTCGGTCAGCTTCGATCGTTGGCAGTTGGCCCCGCCGTCGCGACTTCCAATTCTCGAGCGCACGTGTTCCGGTGATCGCGTGCCGAACTCGTCACTCATGCCCTGGCCGCGCCCTCGGGCTGACCCAACACTGTTCATTATAGTGGACCTCGGGCAGTCTCAAGCGAGTTTCTTGTTCGATTTTTGGTCGTCCTACGGATTCTTCAAAGTTAGGATGAAGCTTGACTCAAGATTTTGATGATGTCACTGACTAACCATTCAGTAATTTACACGCAGAGCAGAGAGAAAGAGGTACTGTCTTTCTTCATTCAACTCGGTTATCACTAGCAGCAAAATGCCCCTCCTGATTGCTTTGAGATTTGCTTGTATCATCCATGCTTTCCGCTCGACGGGCGTGCCTCAGACAGTCGACCCTTGCTAGCAAGAGCCGAAGTGGTTGAGAAAAGGGGGTATTGTACGGATGTCCCTATCAAAAGTTTCACCACACCGCCTATTTACTTTACTGGCCATAGGAGAGTTCTCTGCAAAGCAGAACCACTGTGATTTTAAGGCGGTGAAGCAAGACTTTTGGTAGGAACCTCCGTACACGTGTCAGGTCTTGGCAGAGTTGGCCGCGCAAGGCCCGTAAAAACTCTTGTCTTGATCTTCTGATTTCCTCTGGTGTCCTTCAAATGCGCCATCAGGCCATTCTGAACTCCTGAACAAGAAACTACCAGCATCCAAAATGGCGCCACTTAGCATCGACACTACGTTCAAGTTGCTCAGCGGTTACGAGATTCCCAGACTAGGATTCGGGGTAATTACGGCCACGCAACGAGTGGCGATGTGACACCGCTGACCACGAGACCTTATTTTCCAGGTTTATCAAGTGTGAGCGCCATGATGTCTCACCGAGCAAACCAGGCTGAATTCGTCGCCAGGCCGCCAAAAGACACAGCACGATGCCTTACTGAAGCGTTTGACGCCGGGTATCGCCATGTAGGCGCACTCGGTTTGCCCAGTTTGAATCTTGTTGGAATTTACCATGCGACACTAACACACCCTGGCCAGATTGACTCGGCGGCGTCGTACAGGAACGAAGGAGCCTGCGGGGAGGCCATCCGCGGTGCCTCGTCGATACCCCGCAGCCAAATCTTTTTCACGTCCAAAGTCCCGCCCCGAAAAATGGGCTACGAGGGCACAATGGCCCAGGTGGACGACACCCTCGCTAAGTCCGGCCTGGAGTACATCGACCTGATGCTGCTCCATTCCCCATACGGCGGCTCCACCAGACGGAAGGGCTCTTGGAAGGCCCTGGTCGAAGCGGTAGAGGCCGGTAAAGTGCGCAGCATTGGCGTTAGCAACTACGGCGTGCACCACTTGGACGAGTTAGACCGGCATATCGCCGAGCTAGAGCAGGAACGCGGCGGCAAGGGCAGAGGCGGTGTACTTAGCGTTGGTCAGTGGGAAATCCATCCCTGGTGTCCGCGTAGGGACATCGTCGAGTGGTGCAGCAAGCGGGGTGTCGCTGTTGAGGCATACTCTCCCCTGGTGCAGGGTAAGCGGTGGGGCGAGCCCGTCACAAAGAAGTTGGCGGACAAGTACGGGAAGAGCGAGGCCCAGATCCTGATCCGCTGGAGCCTGGAGAAAGAACTGGTCCCGCTGCCCAAGAGCGCCACGTCGGAGCGCATCCGGGAGAATGCCGACGTCTACGACTTTGAGCTCATTCCTCAGGAGGTGCAGGAGCTCGAGACGGACGAATACTCGCCCGTGTGTTGGGATCCTACCACTGCGTCGCTGGACGAGTGAGCTGGAATGGGAAGACTCGGTATTTCTACTTCGCTCATCTGGTTCGTACCATATGGTCGACTGTCCAAGTACAAAAGTGAGATGCGTACGGACAAAGATCAGCCCATTATAACAATTGGATGTCTTGCGTATCACAGACTAATCGTTTGTTACCAAGTAGAAGAATGATGCTTCGTGATCCTCGTGGTCATTGTGATCTTATAGCCCCGCTAACAAGGGGTTCTAATCACATGCGAACGGGAAGGAGCATGAACATTGACTGCAAGCAGGGACAAGTGGACATGAGTAACGTCCCTTAGAACCGCAATAATCAAAGTCGGATCAGCGAAATTCTTTCCAGCACAGTCTAACCACCTAGCACATTGTGCCCTCATGTCAGGTGAAGCAGCAGAGCGCTGCTGCCGAGGCGGCTCTCGGAGTTGCCCAGGCAAAGTCCAAGACTGTAAGAAAAGCGTCCTGTAATTACATGTAGGCAGTGGCAGGCGACTCCGAAGGCATAACCGGATCTACTGCATGTCAAGATCATTCAGATGCTCCGACCCCCTATTCTCCCCCCTTCTCAAATACCCACTGCTCAACCCTCTCAACCCCACAACTAATCTCCGCCACCGCAACCGCAAACTCATCCACCTCCCCCGGAACCGCCGCATCAAGAATACGCCAGGAATCCAGCCCCTGCATCATCACCCACGGCGACAACAGCTCCTGCTCACCACCATCGCGAGCTTGAGGAGCATCATCCCCCCGTTCCCGAATTTTCTGCCCACCCGGATCCCGGCCGCGGCGCAGTGCCCTGGCCCAGGTATAGCACTCCCTTGCATCCCACAGCCCGCTCTGTGCGGTATAGGCGATGGCGCCGGGGCAGACGGACCACCCCCGCCTGAGGGTGTTGTAGACGGCCTGCATGAAGATGGAGGCGATGTAGATGCGGCGGATGGACTCGGATAGGAGCCAGGCTTTGTGGAGGACTGGCGGTGGGGCGGAGGGCGGGACGGAGAATGGATTGTTGGTGGTCGTGGTCACCGTCATGGTGGACGACGTGCTGGCGCTTTGACTGAGGACCTGCCCGGTTAGGAAATTGTTCGAGACGTCGTTGCTGCTGTTGGTTGGGAGGATTCGAATAGTAGCGGGTATAGAGAGCCCGGTTCCCTCCGTAGTTGCTGCCAGTGCCTCGGTGTTTGGGTTCGTGTTGCCATCCAGTGTCGTGGCAGCCACCAGGTCGGCAGCGGCGTAATCTAGCTGAGCGCTCTCGATCATCTGGTTGCTCCATCTATTCAGAATATCCATATGGCTCTCGGCTTGGACGCGGGCGCGGATATCGCCGTCAAATAAGCGTATCAGTTGGTAGATGAACAGCGCTTGGGTGCGAGCGAGGTGGATGCACGTATTAAGAATGAAAGCTGAGGAGATCCCGTCCACATCCTCTTGGGTCTGCGATATCAGCAGCTTGTTGACGCGGCTCTCGATGACCCGCAGTGCTGTCGGTTTCGCGCTGGGAGAGGCTGCGTTGTACGCTGCCAGCGATGTGTAGGCGTCCTCAACGCACTCAGGAGTGTATCCTTCATAGGTGAGCCTGTGCATAATGGGACTATGCCCGTCCCGCACCCAGTCATCCGCCCAGCGTTTTAGCTTGCTGATGAAATGCGGCAAGGACTTTTCGCTCACAGGGAGCTCGTATTGGGGCGTAGCCCACCCGTGTTGACGTATCCAGGTTTGGGGGTGCAGGAACCATCGGCTGCTGAGAGTGGTCTCGATTACATCTGTGAAGCTCACGTGGTTCCCTGGTTCCTGAACCGCATCAGCGAGAGGAGGATACGTAGGACTCGAGCACGTCCCCATCAATAAGGCCCTGTTCGAAGCCCTGTCGCTATCTCGTCCCACTTCTGCCGTATCAGGTGCCGCGACAGTGGGCTCGGATCCATCTCTGAATATCAATCTTGATGGATATACGCAGCGCATGCCCCTTTCCCGGCAACGCAAGCATGAAAGACTTGTCCTGTCGCATTTTCGCTTCGCTTTGGCGCACTGGATGCACGTCTTGCGCGGCCGATGAATCCGCGAGGGGAACGAGGTCATACCGGTGCTGGGCCGTCTCGCCGTCTGTGAAGTCATTGAATCCGACATTGTCCGTCTCACTCGAGTCCAAGACTTGGCCAAGGTGGTGTTGATGCGGATTTGGCTGCGGGTGAGACTGGCGATTATTAAGGCCCTGCGGGCGAGACTAGCCTGTTCTGGCCCTTAGTCAGCTCTGTGTCCTGCCCAGGCTGCCCCTTCATTAGTCAGATTGCGGATGATGAGCGGATTTGACTCCCTTGGTGCGGGAAACTTGGGGGCTAATTAGCAACTCAGGTTTGAAGGGACCTATTGAAGGTAACCGCCAGGCTTGGTACCTTATGATGAAAAGAGCAGAGTAGGCCGGGAGTACATAAAGGGATTCGAGCTCCCTGACCTTGTGCACTGTTGCTTGCATCTCGCAAACAGTCCTGATAGTCCGAGACAACCGTATCCGTACAGCAGTGCAATATTGAAGTCGTCAAGCTCTTCCCTGGTCTACAAAGTTCATTCTTCACAGTTCAGACCATGGCGCCCTCCAGCATCACCCTGAACGTCCCTTACATCAAAACCCTCCATAAGAAGCCCTATCCGGCCATCTCGCCTTCGCGGCCAGAACTCAGCCAGGCAGGCCGAACTGTACTCGTCGTCGGAGGCTCAAGCGGCATTGGATTTGCCATAGCCAAGGCCTTCATCCAGGCCTCGGCATCCCGCGTCATCATCACCGGCCGCCAACAGAACCGCTTGGACGATGCCGTATCTCGCCTCCGTGCCGAAAACGTCGCTGGAACCGTCATCAACGCCCTGGTGACCGACATGTCGGATCTCGAGTCCACCGAGAAGCTGTGGAACGCCTTTCGGGACACCGGCGTCGTCATTGACGTCCTCATCCTCAATGCCGCGGGGTTCGGGAAGGAAGGACCGATTCTGCAAGCTGGGTTGGAGTCGACCTGGGCTGTCTTCGAAACCAACGTCAGGGGCCTGCTCGATTATGCCGTGCGCTTTCACCAGCAACCAGAGGGGAGGGGCGAGCCTAAGGTAAGCTTCCCAAAGGCAGCCGTCCATCTGCACGAACGGCCGACTAAATTGGCAATCTGAAAAACCTCAGTTTCTCGTCAACCTGTCGAGCAGTGCTGCGCATAACCTCACTACAGATAACGCCTCTCCCACATATGGCCTCACTAAGAATTCTGGGACCCTCTTGATGCAGATGATCGCCCATGGCACGGACCCCAAGGACATGCAGATCATCAGCATGCATCCTGGAGGAGTCCTGACCGATGCAGCCAGAAGCGCCGGCTATGACGAGACAACCCTCGACTGGGATGATGGTAAGCGAGCCAAATCCCGTTTCCATGCCTTTGTCATGACGTGCCTGGCCATGACCTGACCCGCATGACTACAGAGAACCTTCCCGGCCAGTTTGCTGTGTGGTGTGCGAGCAAGGAAGCCCAGTTCCTCCACGGACGCTTCATCCCCGTCTGGTGGGATGTTGATGAGATCAAGACGGGCGAGGTTCGCAGGCGGATTGAGTCCGAGTATCATTTCTTGAGAGTCGGGATCGTCGGTTTGTAAAAAGTATTCCTTGGCCTTGTCGTTTCAAATGAATCTCTGTTGTTGGCTTAATCTCCATTTGTGGTTGCGAGTTTCACCCTGCCTTTTGTGCGTGCAGAGTCCAGTCATAGCCCCCGCAGTTCCCGCATCAGATCATACAACTCTTTCGTCGATTTGTGACCGATGCGCTGGTAGAAGGGCGATGAATCGTCCTTCCCTGCTGCAGAGTGCTTAAGAAAGGCTGAAGCAAGCCAGCCAAGCTCGTCACTGTGCCGTACGAACCCGCTCATGCGTACCGTTTCGTCGTCCAGGTGGCTTAGGGTCTCGCGCCCAAGCTCCTGCCATCTATCTGTGGCACGCTGGAGAGAGGGGATACATGTTTGTAGAAGGGAAACCCAGCGAGCGGTGCCGATCATTGTGTGGAGAGCTACAGAGAAATGTTAGGTGACTGAGGAGATCCAACGTACGAGAAAAGGGTCTGACCAGCGATCATCAGGTGAAGATCGAGCAGCGACAGGCATCTCAAGGGGAACCCCTTGGCTCCCAACCATGACTCGGCCATCAAAGCGTCCACGCAGTCGCGCAGAGAGGCTGAGCGAAGCCAGCCATGTTCCCCCACGGCAGCTAAAGCCGACTCGAACTTCACCGCATCATTTGCCTCCCACAGTTCTGGTAGGCACGGAAGTGACCCCGTCAACTCGTGGATTGTCATGGAACATGGTCGGTGTTGTATCCCTGATTGTTGCCAGTCGCCGAGAGCTGTCCACATCGCGATGCTGGCCAATTAGCGAGATAGTCGATGAGATTGGGTGCTTGAAAGAGAACACGTACCGAATCCTTGTCTCATCCCTAACAAACCTCTCCCAATCCACCCTCCCAGCGGCAACACCACAAGGTTGGGAATGCCTCGCACTGGTAAGCTCCAACCTCCTGACCGCATCAGCAAGAGTGCCCCTAACCCGCCACGCCCTGCTCCGTGCGTCGCCTGCATTCATAAGAAACTCGGCGCCCTGAATCAGCAAAGCAGCCTGCAACGTCTGATATAATTCCGTCTCGTGCTCATGAGCACGGCCATCCGCCGCACCATCCTCTCGAACCCCACCCTGAGAAATAAGTTTGAGCAATGCCTCAAGCTTCCCAAACACATACCCCTCGACAATGCGAAAGAAGGTTCGCACCGCAAGTACCGAGTCCCGCGGCGGGGAATAAAGTGAACCGCAGAGAAAAACGACAAGAAGCAGAGCCGGAGCGGCGGTCTCGACGCTGAAGCTGGGGCGGTGGACGAGGGGCATATGCAAGTGCGTGTATCGGAAGTAGGTCGGGATGAAGACCTCGCGGTTGGGCCGGGTGAAGACCTGCTTGGCGAGAGTCGCGTCAAAGGTGCCATTGTAGGATGGATCTGTGGTTGTCAAGGTGACGTGCAGGCGCTCAAGGTCGGTAACGATGGGTTCGAGAGCTGGGTCCATGTCCTCCTCTATACTGGGAATGGAGTAGGGGATTTGGGAGAGGGAAAAGGGGCTGGGGTCGGCAAAGGGATCGGTGTCCGGTGGGCCAAAGATCCAGGAGAAGAAAAAGCCCTCTCCCGACGTGGGAACTGGATCTTCTTCGCCGGTGACAGTCTCTGGCTGAGGCGTGATGCTTGCGTCTTGGAACACCTCGACCATTGAGTCGGCATCGGGATTGGTGAGACTGAGAAGGAAAGACACAGGAGTTTTGGTGTCGCTATCCTTGCTTGGGGCGCTTGCTACCGATGGTGTTCTGCAAGTGGTGGTGCGTAGAGAGTTGGTGCTGTCTTCCACGGTTTGGGAGGGCGCTATTACAGTCGCATTGCTGCTGTTTTCTGGTACCCTAGTGTAATTGCATGTCGCTCCCCTGCGTGCCTTGCATCGGGAACAGGGTGCATCGCCATCACATGAGAGTTTGCTGCGGTAGCAAGAGTCACACGCGCTTGGCTTTTTCCCTCGTTTGGCTCGAGGGGGCTCGTCATGGTTATTGTTGCTCGGGCAGCTGGGATGGTGCTTGCGCCAAACATCCCTAAGTGATAGTCAGCAACGCCACAACCAAAAGTTTCGCATATAGGCAAGGCACAAGAGGATATATGTACCTCCGCTTAAATACTTTCCCACAGTACTGGCATGTGAACTCTTCAGACCCTAAATCTAAGAGGCAGTGTCATTGTCAGCGTGGGCGAAGATACGCAAGGTCGTCCAGTAGCCAAAACAAGGGAGATTACGGGTTGCTTGGTGACGGCGCAGATGACTGCTGTGTTTATATTGCCTTCCGCAGGTCGAGCAAGCGAAACCCACTGGCGGGCGAACTATCATGCTGCCAGTTGTTTCACGCGACCCAGAAAGTGAGTGAAGGTGGGATGAATCCGAGAAGTGGGAATTTGCCGAATGCAGGTCAGGTCTTTTATTGGGCTCAGAAGCCTTGTGGGGCCGGGGTCGGGAAGTGACGGGCCTTGTATAAGTCGGAAACAGAAAAACATCGCACTGTGTTGTGTCGTGTTGAGACGGCAGGCACGCACAGTACAAGCTCGGCTTCGGCACATGACCGAACGACTCTTCGTAGAGCTTTCCCAATCGGGCAATCCGCCAGTTCCCGAGACACCGAGCAGGAACGGATGTAAGAACGTGTTGACGGTTCCAATCAGGGACCATTTCCACATTGTCCCGTCCTGATCTGTTTCTCGAGTGCTGCCCCCGTCTCTCACTGTCAGGTTTTACTAGAGATCTGGTCTCAAATCAGAAAGGAAAGTGATTAGAACGGACAATATGCGCCCTCCTACATCCATCAACCATATCAAGCATGCGGTGCCAATAGCGACTGGGAAGATTCCCCTACAACTTGTTTCCGCTGGCTTCAACCGAGCCTACAGCTCGGGTTCTGAGCGACCTTCAACCGCGCGGCGCCCGCTTCCTCCTCGTCCCGTCCGCCCAACAACTGCCCTGTCGACAGAACGGGCACCAAGCTCGGTAGTAGAATATGCGCTGTGAGAATGCTTGCGCCCGCCGAAGCCCCTTTCGACGCCAACATACAGACTGACACGTCCCAGGACAACGCTGGACGCCCTCATCAACTGGGGCCGACAGGGTTCCCTCTGGCCTCTGACCTTTGGTCTAGCTTGCTGCGGCATAGAGATGATGTACGTAGCACATTATCCTCCCCTTCCTCTCCCATATGATGTCCAACACATTCACCCCCCTACCTTAGGCACGCCTCCATGCCCCGCTACGACCAAGATCGCATGGGCATCATCTTCCGCGCCAGTCCCCGCCAGTCCGACGTCATGATCGTGGCCGGGACCGTCACCAACAAGATGGCGCCCGCCGTCCGGCTCTGCTACGACCAGATGCCCGACCCGAAATGGGTCATCAGCATGGGCAGCTGCGCCAACGGCGGCGGGTACTACCACTACAGCTACTCGGTCGTCCGGGGCGTCGACCGCATCATCCCCGTCGACGTCTTCGTGCCTGGGTGTCCGCCCACAGCCGAGGCGCTGTTGTATGCCATTTTCCAGTTGCAGAGGAAGATGCGCCGGACCAAGGTCACCAGGATGTGGTATCGGAAGTGATTGGGAGTTCAGGGAGGGTTTCTTGGATTATTGTCGTTTTCTCGTCTGTATCGCTCGAGTAGTGCTGGTCCTGACGCGATGTTTCAAGCTTCCCGGTGCGGTGAGAGGGGCAAACGGGGCACATCTTCGATTTTGTGTTGGTGGCGGGTGGCCCAGGTGGTTGGATGTTAAGGAAGTTTGGTTTGTTCGAAGTCGTTTGCCGCGCAAATCTTGTCGTCCTTGAGAAGCAACATCAGGGAGGGCATGCTGCTGCAGTGGTGATATCTGCAAACAGCAGCCCAGGTACCTGCCCATCCGGTTCCCATCCGTTCTTACTGACCGGTTCCATTGTTCCAATTAGGGATGTGTGCGCGGGGCGGATGACGCCGATGTTTGCCGGGAGGGACGACGCGATGGCCGTGGCCCGACAACTCTCGGGCGATGTGTCCCATCATGGAAGCCAATGTGTGGACTTGGTTTCTCCGATCTAATAGTGCAGTTCCAACACGTGCTACCCGAGGCTTGATCCCGGCTCCTCACTCCGATTGGTATAAAGGCTGCTATACCGGTTGCCCATAACCAGGCTCTCGGCGCTCCTTTTCACTTCTTCTCCCTGCCACGCAACCAAGCCCATCCGTTCTTGCTTTGCCAGCGGGCTCTGGACTCTTTGGTCAACTTCCAGGGATCGGGAAGGTCAACGTAGAACCAAGCGAGTCCGTTGGGTCCTTCAACTAGCTGCTTCAGGGGTTGTAAGAGCTCCGTATGGGCTCTGTGAATCATGTTCCCCTTGGCGGCCGTGAGAGTGGAGTGTAGCGTTCATCGTAATCTTCTACCCCAACCAGTCGCTGTGTGAATGTCACCCCCTTGACTTTTTCCCAAAAACAGTCGACCGTTTCTCGCCGGTCCCGGATCGCAGAGTGGTCTGTTCGGGGCCAAGTGGGGGGGAGGTAAAGGGGTAAAAAGGGGGTGGGGGGAACAGCTCGAGGAAGCGAAGGTAAGCAATACAGCGGGTAGGAATAATTTCGCGCAAGAAGTGGGACGCGGCAAGGCGGTCGATCATATGGGTACATGGAGTCGAAGGGGGGATCGCCGGGCCTGGGACCCCCGAGGCTGGGATCCGGATTTGGTAGCCGGTAAAGCGGGAACATCTCAGAGTCGTGGACGATGAAACGGTTAGCCCGAGAAGAAGACAAACTGGGCGTCTTGAAGCCAGGCCCGCCTCATTCATGCCGAGGCGGCTGCTCTGCTATACTCAGCCAACCAATTCGTTCCCTACTACACAGTCCCTGGATCGCTGGAACCACTACTTGCCCTCACGGCACCGGCCTCGTCGTCCCTCACCAGTCTCATGATTGTGCTCTGCCAGGTCTCTTGCCTCCATCCTCGCTCGGACCGATACTGTAACAATTCCATCGGTGGCCTCGGCACCAACTCCCGCTGCTCAGGCCGGCCCTGCAATCTGAGGATGACGACGAAGTCTGCACGGCAGCCCAAGCTATGCTAAGCGAGTGGCATGCCGCTGCTAGCCATGTATCGTCCCTTATCTCCGGGACACGCTTGGAGCTCGGCCTGGCGTGCGATATTGTTCCGATTCATAAAAGCAGTCGAACAGGCCCACGCGGCAAGACACTGGATTTCGCCTCAGCCATTAGCACAGGACGCTGCCTTGCTAAGCTACGGGATCACTAATCCGTATTAGAAGCCGACTTCCACGAGAGTCACATTGCTAACACTCCCGCGCGAGCTCCCGCTCCGGATTTCCGAGTTCACTGACCTTCTTACCCCAAACAAGGAGGTCTGTTGGAGTGAAAAATTCGGGAAGTATGTTTGGTCTGACATCGCCGGTGATGGTATTCCACGGTGCCCTAACGACCGGAGTTCATTGTCACTTCTCCGAGTGATGGTACCAGACTTTGACCTACCATATCACTGGGGCTGGGCTTTCTCTCGGCTGCTTCTTACCGTCGCCGCCACTCCGCCTTCTCCGTGACCTGCACATGCTGGGCTCCGCCTGGGCCTGCTTTATTTTTCGTCTGGCGGCACGAAAGCAGCAGGCCGTGGAATTGATGGGGAAACGGCTCTGGCGAGAGGGGGGGGTCCCTACACTCGCGGGCGGGGCCGTGCAGGCCGAAGTAAATGGATGGCCGTCCCACGATGCCAGGCCAACAAAACAATAGATCCGATCTCGGTTGACTGGGGAGAGGCGCAGAAGCGGTGGCGCGGGCTTGTTGCGGGACCCCGGCATCGTCATCGCTGCCAATAATTATTTAGCTCATCGATTTATCTGGAATGTCAAAGGGACAAAATCTGCGGCGTGGTTCCTGTTAGCCGCTGCGGCGAGGTAGTTTGTCCGGTGGTCGACGCAAGGTTGTGTGCTTGATGGAAGAGTGGGCAGCAACCACCTGAGTTGTGGTCCCGGTTGCGTGTTTGTGGAGTTGGCTCATGAGGAAAGGGCGAGAGGCTTTAGGTTTCGGAACTGCATGAATTATGTACGTGGCAACTGGAATGGTTTTTGGGCTTAACTACATCCGTATTGATAATCACTCCGTAAATTCAGCACCAACAGCGTCAATTCCGCGCCTGCGTATCTGGTTCTGGTGTAGGTATGCATTCAACAGGCTTGGCGCCCTCTGGGCCATTTCCATATTTTGGGGCTAAGGTTAGCTCATTTCCTAGGCAAGTTCTAAGTGCAGTCCCAATGCTTCCCATATCTACCTCAAAGAGGTACCCCAGCGAAAGTGCACCAGGAGCAGCAGACCCCTCCGCTGTAGGTGTCACATCGTCAGAATTCCCTTCAAGCTCTCAGCTTCTCCCCTATGAGTGCCACCTTTTCCTTCAGAGAGTTTAGATTGAAATCAACTTCCGAGCGCTTCTCCAACTCTGTCCCATGGTGGGGGAGTTCTTGTCTCTCCTTGGTTAGCCGCGTGATTTGCTTTCAAAGAGATTCGAGTTCGGTGTTGGCGCTGTCAAGCTGGGCCTCGAGTTTTTCCTTGGCCAAATTGGCCTTCGCAATTTCGGCCCTCACAAGCTCCAGCTCGTTTCTCACGTCCATTTCCTGCTCTAATAACATCGTCTCTGCAGTGTCCAGAAAGGTCAAAAGAAGCTTGTTGTCGTTGGGGTCCTGATTGCCGGAGGCCAGGGAACGAGTAGCAGCGGAATCGGAGTAGGCTGGGGTTAATGCTGTCGTCAGCATCATCTTCAGTCATGCCGTGACGGGCTTCTCGGCCCAAGGGCCTGTTGGGTGATGTTTCACTTAATTACCTTCCACTTTGCAAGTACCTAGCCTTAGTCTTCAGGCGCATATACTTGGGTACTGTGTTTTAATGGCCAGTGCCGAGTTAACAGCGGTCCAATCGAGGCAAGGTGAGGTCTCGAAGTTTTGCTGTTGTGACAGATTTTCTTGCGATCGATAGCACTGCCGTGTGCAGAGTACCTAGCGCCCTAGCGGCGGGGCCGATGTCTGTTGCTGGGAGAAAAGGTTGCACCGCTTATCAACGTGGACGGAGTGGTGGATAATTCACTCAAGGCCGGCAGCTCCAGTAACCTCAGAGTTATTTCGGCTTTGGGAAATTAGAAAGTCTCGAAAGTCGATGAAAAATCGGTCGCCGGCCATTAGCCTGGAGGTTTTTGAATCTCTGTCGGAGGGCCCAACCTTTCCATGAATTGCAGGTTCTATCTAACGTTAATTAATGTTGCATGAACACAGCAGCACACCTCAGCTCCTCCATTTTATTCAACTTCTCCAACTTCTCTGTTCCAAATTCTCCTTTCCTCGTCATGATGTTGAAGGAACTCGCTGCGCCCCCCGTCGCACCGACTGCATATCTAGGAAGGACCGGACTCTGCCGCCTTCACCAAGAATCCTTTGAGCTGCCCTCTGCCGCCTCAAGTAGACGGATAAAACAGCAGCTCCAACTCTGCACTTACACCAGCGATTTCCAGCACTCCTGTTCCAACCAACCGACTTATCGCCTGGGTAGTAGAAGATCGCTGACTCAAACGGACCAGAGCCGGGTTGTAGAGGCTCGGACTCCGCCATGGATCCTTCTGGCTCCGTGCCGGTTCCGCGCCGATTCCGTGCCGACTCCGACGGGTTATCGCCATCCAGTCTACCCAAGGAGAATGAATTCTTCTCTTTTTTCTGATATTTCTCTTTTGCTATGTCACTCTCTTTCCGTTTTCTTCTTCCTGTTTGCTTTTTCCCGCTTTATCATCTTGAACTTCTTCAAGCAAGACGACGAAGGCCCGTTAGAGGCCAGATAAGTTACACCCGACGGCGGGACAGACGTAAGGTACACAGCCATATTATTTATCAGTTGAGTTATTTGAGGTATTGTGATTCTCATATAACCATGTTCAAGAGAATTCTCCAATGAGAGGAGGAAATACGCGCAGGAAAGTAAGCAAGCAATCAAGTCTCAATAATCTACTGAGTTTCATGTGTCCACAACGATTCTACACGCCTAACTTAGAAAGTTGTCGAGAAATCAGGAACGTCGATCCGCCCCTCGGCAACCTGAACACCACTGCCGATAAGATCCACATCCAAAACCTCTTGCCCGCCTTCTTGCCGAAGCCTGAGCTCAACGTGGATGACGCATTCCCTGCCGACTCGAGATCCCTGGTGCACAAGGATCCTCCCAACACCATCGTTGCTAAGCTTCAAGATCCCTTGGTAATACAAATACGCCGAGAGCGGACCAGCGGCGCTTCCTGTAGCAGGATCTTCACCAGACAATCCCGGGCTGAAGAAGCGTGCTTGGAATGTCTGGGTACTGGTCCCATCGGCCGACGGGACCCGGGTGAAGAGGTACAGACCATACGCCTTGTCGTCGACGCGCCTGAGTTGTTCCAGTAGCCTGTCACGCTGCACCACTGCTCGATTCAGTGCCGCAACGGACGACACGGGAACAAGGAGATGGCGAGTCGTCGATGTGGACATGACCTGGGGCTGGGGCTGTCGGCCGGAATTGCCTGTCGTGGTGAGCCCGATGTCTTGCGCCGTTAGCTTGATCCTTGCGGCGAGCCCGGCCGGGTCGGGGTGCGTCGAATGGGCCTGTGGCGTAGCCTGTCGGAGGGAGACCGAGAATTGGCTTTTGCCGTCCAGAGCTTCCGTGTGTCTGGTTACTTGAACCGGAATGACCTCGCCTCCGAGTTCCTGATGAAAGACGAAGCTCTCGGTAACCCCCGCTGCCTCGATGAGATGTGGTGCGGGGAGATGGAGGAGGTTGGCGTGAGCTAGGTACCACCACACGCCGAGAATGTTGTGACCGGCGCCGTGGACCTCCTTCCGCCGGGGAGAAAGGAGCGAAGTCTGAAGTCGGCTCCTGGCAAAGTAGGTGGGAAAAAGAAGGTTGTTTCGGATAGGTTAAATTGGCGCGTGATGAGCTTCATCTGCGTGTCCGTGAGGTCTTCGTTTCTGGCGTCTACTATAGCCAGAGGGTTGCCCTTGTAACGGACCGTCGAGAAGATATCGGCAATGGTGAAAGGAACGGAGGTCATGGTATTAAGTTGCAGGGTTATTGTAAATGTCACTGGTGTCCACGGTTGACGTTTGGTTACCGAGGACGATGGGATTTCATCGAGGATGAAGGAGTGCGTTGTCGTAATATAGACAGTGTCGGCTGGCATGATCATTTGTAATGGTAGGTAGCTATCTCCGGTCTGGCATTAGGCCGCGCTTATTAATGTAACGTGCCCACAAGCGCATAGGGAGCAGCTAAGTACACTAGCCGTTACGCATTAAGGAAGGCGAACATAGTCCGAAACTGGCGCAATATCACCTCAACCAGCCCCTGCCCGCAACACTCAGCAAGTGCTGAGCATGCTGCTCAGCGCCGACTTCTCGGCCGAAGTGACGCTCAGACTCCAGGCGTACTTCACAGCAACCCAGCTCTTGGCATAGGTACAGTAGAACGACGTGAGCGGGGGCTTCCAGACGTCAGGAGACTGATCCGACTTTGCCTGGTTGACGTTGTCGGTGACAGCCCAGAGCTGCGGCGTGTTCAAGTCGTTCGCGAACTGCTGTCGCTTGGACGTGGTCCAAGACTTGGCCCCCGAGATCCAGGCGTTCTTGAGCGGGACCTGATTATCATTGATGTCGAGTCAGCTGTCGTTTTCCTACCAGATATTGTGCCGGGAGGTTCGGGGGTGAGTGGTTGTCTCCGGAACGCCTTGGAGAGGGATAAGGAACAAACCATGTGATCTATGTCAATATCAGACGCGAGAGTCCAGGTGGCGCCGTCATATGGAGAACGCCAAGTGCCGGACGTGGCAGCGCAATCGCTGTTCGTAATGACATTCGTGCCGTCCCGCTTTAGGACAGTCTCCCTGGTAAGTCAGCGGTCAGCCTCGCCTGATCGAAATTAGGGAACAAGGAGAGATAGAAGGTTTCATACCGAGTGTTGCAGGTACCGCTAACCGTGGTCCAGTGCGGGAACAGGTCACGGTTGTATGTCCCATCGTCAACGTACGCCTTGACGGCGAGAGCAGCCAGCTGGGACTGGGCTGTCGAGGCAGAAGGGATGCCGGGCTGTAGGTGCCAGAGTCAGCTTCAAGGGCCATGAGGAAGACTTGCGGCCAAACGTACAGGAGCCGGGACCGGGGCCGGCATGGGGACGGCGGACACCGCCGTGGCCAGGAGTGAACCGACAATGAAGGCCTTCATCTTCTGGGCGGTGGCAAGCTGGTCTCCAATCAGTGAGCGCGTCCCTGGCGCCAAATTTTCAATGCTGGGACCAGCCTCGGTCATATATAGTCGGGTTGAAGCGCCTACGACGCTGGACTCGGAAGGGAGTCAGTCTCTGCAGCCATGGGCCTGAAACGACCGCTTACAGAAGGCAGCCAGGGTTCGGGTATATGCCGATCTCCGGCCCCCAATCAACGCTCGGCAGTGTGCAACCTCAATTTGCTTCCCATTCCCGCCAAGGCTCCTTAGCTCACCTACAGGTAGCCAATGCCGACGCGATGCAACACGGCCCGGGGCGCCCTCATCAAGATTGATAACCAGTCAAGATGCGAGACTGGGCCACGTCGGGAAGGTTGAAGGAGTAAGTCCTCTTCTTATCAGGGGTCTGAGACTCCGCGTCTTCAGCCAACTTCCTGTTCGGGCGCCACCGATCAGGACCCGGGAGTTGCTGCAGGTCACCCAATCACCCGGCATTGCACCACAACGTTTGCCATTGGAACGGGGCTTAAATAGCTGGCCGTTGGGAGAACGGGGCAGATCACCACCTAGCCAAGACACGCTTGTGATGCATTCGACTGAAAAGGATACCGAGGAATCAGAAAAAAGGACTAAACAATATTAAACAGAAGAGGTGGGTCAGGCAGCGCTTGGGGATACTGTCAACTTCCCCTGTTCCTCTCTGGGTTGCTACAATGATACCAGAAACACTGAGCGTGGCTCTTTGAAGAGACCTGATCAGCCAAAGTCTGCCGCAGGTCTCAATAGGTTCAGCAGCAGAGTTCCACCTACCGAATCTATAACCTATTGTGGAGATCGTGTCACCTCAATGCTCGCTTTCTTATCTCTAGCACCCGCTTGCCCTGCGTCGTCGGAAGGCTTTGCTGGTTCCACGTCCGGTGTCTTTAATGCTGCCATTTCCACGACTGGCTTCCTTGCGAACGGATTGATCCGAGTGGGCAACGACACACTCGGCATGCTGGGCATGGGGGGCATGTCGGGCAGACTGAGGGCTGGCATCGACACCTTGGGCATCTCTACTGCCGGCAGCTTCGACGGCAGATAAGACCGCAGGCTCGTGCCTGTGCTTTGCGCAACGCCAAACAGGTGCCGTAGATAGGCTTTTTTCTGATCGGTCTTCCCGGACTCGCCCGCACTGTCCGAGAGGTCGTGCTCGATGTCGTCTGGTAGAGGAACAAGAGCGGCAGCAGCGGCAATGTCGATTGGCGACTCATCGGGGACCTCATCATCCGCGCTCATTTCCGTATCCTCTACACCGCCGTTCTCAGCGTTCCTTGTGAGGTCCTTCGTCTGCGCAACCCCCTCGCTATCAACCACCTTCGCAATCGCTTCTGTCTCCTCGGGCTCGGCAGGCGGCGGTTCCGCAAACTTGGGATCGTCGTAAAGCTCCGTTTGGTCGTTGAACCAGTCGACAATCAGCTTTGCCGAATCGTTGATCATCCTCTCATAGTCCTTATTCTTGTCCTTTTTAAACATGCCGACATGAGCGGCAATCTCGTCCGTGGCTCCCTCGACAACATGCCTCACAAACAGCTTGGCCTCGGGCTCGTCCTTAGCGGGTATCGCGCAGAACGTTCGCTCAGGCACAAAATACCCGCCGCTCCAGTACCCGTTCTCCCCCAGCGACGCGTACACATCACACACGCCAACCCCTCTCAGCGCCGCCAGCCGCTCCAGCCGCCTGTTCAGCTCGTTCTGCTTGAGCAGCGCACCGACAAATGTAAAGTGGTCCGACAGCCAGGCAAACGACTCGCCGACATTGCCGCGGTTGATGTAGGCCAGGCCCTGGCCGAGCGCGTCTACCGACTGTTGGTAGCCCTGGACGATGTCGTCCTTGGTGAGGCTGCGCACGGTGCGCACGCCCTCAAGAATCTTCTTGCGATGCATGTACGCGGCAACGCCGCCGGCGGCGATGACGCCCACGGTGCCCGTCCGCATGGCGATCAGCTGCCAGGCTTTCCAGGCCGGGCTGGAGGCGACGCTGCGCTTGGAGATTCGCCCCGTGGCGGTGCTAATGGCGCGCTTGGAGGCGAGGCGCGAGAGCGCGGCCGGGGTGGCGGCCGAGATGGCGGTCATGATGTTGAAGACGTTGCTGACTTTGTTGTAGTTGGAGAAGGCGCCGTAAACAAACATGGAGCGGGCGAGGCCGTTCAAAGGAGTATCGAACGCGAGGATGCCTTGGATGAGGGGGAATATGGGGCCCAGGGATCCGTTCTCGCGATGATCATCCAGGATGCGGAAGAGGCAATCGCTTGCTACGAAACCACTGGCGCAGGTGAGCATGAGTTTGTTGGTGCTTGTCAAGGAGACGGAACAAGGTGTGACTTGGAACCCACTTACCCCATCGAATGGGCAACCAGGACGACGCCCACTCTTCGGTCATTTGGCGGCCATGGATCTTCGAGGTGTGCCTTTCGAAGTTCCATGACCCTTTCTTTCAGCCTATGAACGGTCGAGTTAGCATTTGGGGTCCATCGGAGAGAAGAGACTAGAGTGCTAGGACATGCCACTCAAGAAAGGCAGAGGTGCTCTGCGCCAACTCTCCGCGAGTTTCATATCTGGGGTATATCGCAATTGCCAATTCGTGATCCGGCAGGTTGTTGGCGGCGGTGTCCTTGAGGTGGGTTGGGAAGTCGCCGAAGGTGAAGTCACTTCCCTGGACGTATTCGGTTAGCAAGATGGCCAAGTAAGGTACAATCCAGAAAGACACTATGAATCGAGTTGAGACGAAGCCTTGCCCTAAATCCGTGGATAAAAGCGAGAAGAAGGATTCGCTTCATCGTGGCGCAACTTGGCTCAAGTTTGTCGACTCGGCAACTGTGACGCTCGCAGCGGCAGTGGATCCGTTGATGGTAATTAGCAGTTCATCAAATGGAATTGTGTTTTGAGATACTCCTATCCATGTGATGAACTTGCGACGATGTGGGCAACATGCGTTGCCCCCCAGGAGGGAGTGCCATAACGTCATTGCGCAACGTCATTGACCGGCTCAAAAAAAAAAAGGGTGACGAGTAGTGTGCATGAGACCAGCGACTAATTAAATTCATTAGCTCCCGGAACGACAGCAGTGGTCCGAACACGGGTTAGGGTTAATTGTGCCCAGTTCTCCTGCGGTCTACGAAAGGGCATTCGAACATCTCTAATCCGTAGACGGACGAGCCAACAATCAAACTTCCAACAAGCCGCACCGCCTGCCTCGCCGCCCGAGGAGCCCTTTGAAGGTTCAATGTTCCCTAATCCAAGTTTCAGTCTCTCACAAGATGTCTCAGCTGTTCAAGTCGATCAGCTAACCGATGATGCACTGTCAGCAGAAATTTGTATTGACGCTGTAATTCAGGGTCCCAAGTGGTCCCAAACCAATGTCCGTGGAATTCAAGGATGATACTATGATACTCGTAATTGTCGGTTTGCAGCCACCACTGCGAAGTCGCAATGGGAAAGGAGGTTTCAACCGCCGGATTATCGGCAGCACTGATGCCGAGTCCCACCCTCGATTATGCGGCGCCAAGCCCGAAGTCCATCGTTCATCAGGCAGCAAAGCTGGTCGAATGTTTCGGTATCATTTACTAAAAGCGAGCAGCTCTTTTGCGAGCGACAACACGGAATTGCAGCCTCAATTCATCGAGGTAGCTTTGAAAACACACGACTCCCAGACAGCAATCATGACTCCTACAGTATACCAATATCCCGGAGTGAACCTCCCGCTCGACCACCTCCGGCAGGGAGGCAGAGTGGGCATTGACTTCTACCGACTCGGCTCGTTCGAGGGCGCCGAGGGCGTCTCGGAGCTGATCCAAGTCCGCGAAGTCTTCATGATGGTTCTGATGGACCGCCTGACCGACAAGCCCAATTGGCACGAGAAGGTGTTTGACGACGCCATTGTCGCCAAGTGGCGCACTGAAGCCCTCGCACAACCCGAAGGCCACATATACCGCCAGATTATCGGCCCGCAGTCAATTCCTATCCCGAGGAGGACAAAGTTCATGACCCCAGAGGTCTTTGACTATGTACGTCTTTGCTCATGACATCACTTCGGTTGTCTTGACTGACTTTGCGTTACTCGTTTCAAAGTGTATCTCCGAGCTGAGGAGCAAGGCAGCCCACTTCAAGGAGACGGAACTGATTTTCACGCTCAACTCGCCCCAAGGATATTTCACAGAGCAATGGTCTCACAACACCGCCATCAAGTCCGACTCGGTCGTGAGCCCGGAGCTCCAGCGAGGCCTCAAGGCCGCGTTCGAGAAGCTCCGCAGGGACCAGGCAGCCGAACCTGACTGGCATCCTGGAAGCGACGACAAGGTCCAGGATTTGGTCCACCCGTCCATGTATCCCTTCGTCTACGGTACGCGCTTCTTCCGTTCTCCGTCTTAGTACAGGCAGTCTCATGAACTGCAGGCCAGACCAGATTCATCCAGGAAGAAGTCGTCGGTGTCGATGACGCTGTTGAGAAGTGGTCTGGTAAGGGTGACGTCGTGCCAAAGCCCGAGAAGCCGCGACCGGTTGAGGGCAGGGAATGGGAATGGGAGCATGGACACGCCATTGAGAGGGATTACTGGTCTCAGACATACCAGTGGCTTCCGGCCAACTTGGCTTTCCAAGAGGACGGCACCGTGCGATTTACGAGTTACATCAACAACCTGCACCCGAAGAAACACCCCGAGATATACAGGCTCGTCGAGCGGCTCATCGACGCGGCCATTCCCGCCTGGGATCGGGTTCTAAGCAGCAATGCATGGCATAAATCGGGAAGCGTCCAGAGACGGTTTGACTTACCGCCAAAGGTCAAGTGAGTCGTCCCGCTTTCGCAATCGCATGCAATATGAGTGAACTCGAGTGGAGCGAGTGACTTAACACTTAACGCACCCTTTGCAGCGAGAATAATCGTGACGCTGTTTGGGAGAAGTTCAACTCCGAGATCCTGGGCGAGCACGAGGCTAGAGAAGGTCCCGTCAGCTATGACCCGGAAGACGTCGAGTACTTGAGTGACGATGAGGTGGAGCGGGAAATGAGCGACCTAGAGGCAAAGAAGGCGCGCAAGGTTCAAAGACTCAAGTGGCGACTCATCCGTGATCCCCTCCTGCCCGAGCCGTTGGCCTTCGACTCGCCCGTCGAATACAAGGTCAGGCAGAAGCTCCGCAAGAGGTTCAAGCACACGGGCCTGCAGGTCATTGTCAAGATGGCCTCGATCGAGCTGACGCCGGAAAAGCCCGACTTCCCCCTCGGCAGCTGGCATGTGAGTCGCGCCTACCACCGCCAATCACGTTCGGTGTCACTTTCATGACACACGCACCAGCTCTGACTGCAAATATTCCAGATTGAGGGTCAGATGAACGAGCACATTGTGGCCACGGCACTGTACTATGTCGACTCGGAGAACGTGCAGCCGAGCCACCTGTCTTTTCGCATGGCCACGAGTGAGGAGCAGGAGGCACTGCAGGACCGGGTCGGACAGGATTTATATCGCGTCTACGAGCGTATCTATGGCACTGAGCTCAGCCTTTCCGGCCGGGGCGGAACCGTCCAGTCCTACGGCAGCGTTGCGACGCCCGAGGGCCGGCTGCTTGCATTCCCCAACATTTTGCAAGTGTCTCCCGTGCCTTTTTTGTTAAATAATACCGAGTACTGACTTGCCTCAGCCAACACCGCGTCTCGCACTTTGGCTTGCAGGACCGCACCAAGCCAGGCCACCGTCGCTTCATTGCCCTGTGGCTCGTCAACCCGTTCCAGCGCATCATCTCGACGGCCAACGTGCCGCCGCAGCAGTTCGATTGGTGGGCCGAGGCCGTCTTTGGCACCGGGTCCAGGGCTGCCAAGGGCGAGATGCCGCCCGAGCTGTTCCAGCTGCTGCTCGAGGAGGGGGCGTCCAAGACGGTCAAGCCGACGGAGGCGCTGCTCCGCACCCTGGAGAACCGCCTGCCTCCCGAGGTCATGGAGATGGTGCGGCGCCACCGGGCCGTGCCCGATGGGCTGATGACGGTCGAGGAGGCGCGCCGGCACAGGCTCGCGCTGATGGAGGAGAGGACCGCGTTTGTCGGGAAGGTTGAGGAGGAGTGGACCCGCACATACTCGTTTTGCGAGCACTAAGCGTATCTCGTCTCGGACTGCTGACGCTTTCTGGACTCTCAACTTGTACATCACATATCAGACAATTACGAGATATTCCGCTCACTGTTTCATTGTCCAGTTTCTATTGGGTAAACTGCGCCGCGAAGCTTTTACACTCGGCGCAAACGAGAAGAGAAGAGAACCTGAATCGATACACTGGCCAAGCTCCACCAATACCCCTTTCTCAGTGGAACTCAAAGCCCCCCATGACTCATTTACACCCACTGGTACACACTCAACCGGTTCGACCCGCCACACACCCCATTCACATCTCCCGAGCAGGCCATATTACAATCCTCCTCGACAGCGAGCGTGCTATTGACGTTCAACTCGCTCCCGCAGTAACACTCAGCGCTGTACTCGAGGCCGAACCACGTAAAACCGCTGTTGAGGCAGTAGTCGGCACACCCTTCCACCGTCATGGCGGTCGCCGAGAAGGCGCTCGCGCCCGACAGCGCGCGCACGCCCGACACCTCGGTCCAACAGCCCTCGTACTCGGGGGCCGTGACGGGCTCAGGGACCGGGTAGGGGGTGAAGGTGGGGGCCTCGGCCGACACGCCGTAGAGCGACAGCCGGTTGGGCCCGCCGCAGACGGTCGTCGCGTCGCCGGCGCACGGCATGGTGCAGTCTGTGGAGAAGGCTGGGAAGGAGCCCTGCGCGAGGGAGTTGCCGCAGTAGCTGGATCATCTTAATGTCAGCGTTCGTGTAAAGAAGGGGGTCATGATAGAGACGACGAGAATGGTAGGGTCGGGGAGGGAGGGAGGGACGTACCACTCGCCGCCGTACTCAAGCCCCCAAAGGGCGAAGCCTGTGCAGTGCGCTTCGCAGTCGGGGATGGTCATGGTGGTGTAGTTGACCAAGGAGGAGCCCGTCAGGGCACGAGTGGGCACCTCGGTGTAGCAGCCGTAGAAGGTCTGCGCGAGGGCGGCCGGCACGATGACCGCGAGAGCGAGGACGATCTGCATGTTGGAGAGTGGTTGAAGACTGCGTGTGAAAGGCCGAGTGGGTGTTGTGAGACCAGGTTGATGATGAGATGAGAAGGTAAGATGACAACATCGCGGGAGAGACGCAGTACTTATACCTGAGAGGAGAGGCCTTTGCTCTCAGAGTCTCCTATACCACTCAAACAAGTGTAGTTGGCCATGACTTGAGATAACACAACATTGGGTGTCACTCCCTTCCCGCTGTCACTGTCGATTGCCACCCTGCACTGACACCCTCCCAGCTGGCCCCATCTCGACTGAGATCCTAGTCTTGGAGGCTTTCAGCTGAATTCATTAGCTCTATGTGGCCACCTCTTCGCCGTTTTCGGTCTGAATCTGCGGGGCTTGGATATCACATGCAGCCCATTGCTACCTTCGCTTTGTCTAGTCGACCGGATGTGGCATCCGGAGGTGGATTTGGTTGAGGATTTCAGGGGTCTCAGCCTACCGAGGGCGTTATTTGTTTGAGCAGAGCCTCATGTCAATAGAACCTTGAAGAGGCCGAGTCTCAGCCACCCTGCCCACGGCCTGTCCCGTTGCGGAGAGCCAAGAGATCTGGCGTCTGGATATTGGGTGCAGCCTTGCGTCCCTCCCTGACGAAGGTAACCTTGATTATCCAACAGCCCCTCTTCCATTCGCTGCGGAATGTTCGCTAACTGTCCTGCAGCCTCGGGCGGCTGCTTCCGCCAGGGGCAATCTGCGAGTCATCGGACTATTGAATCGACAACCCCGCCCAAACTCGTCGCCTTGCTATTCATGCGTCAAAACTGCACGGATACGAGCAAGAGCGTTCTTCTCTTGACTGAGACGCCTGTCATAACTCTTCACCTGAACTGAAACAAAACAAGCCACTACGTAGCTGGGGGTATTCTCCAAGGCAACAGGGCATGGTGCCGGTCATGAAGGCCAAGGAGCAACTGAGCGGGCTGATTTGAGGTCGCACAAGTGAAACTACATGGCACGCTGAGCAGCCTTGGGCCGCTGAACTTCAGCTTGTGTTCAGGTTGTCAATAATTCCTCGAGAGCGGGTGAGTGGCATCTGGAGCCGCAGCCGGGATATCCGCTGCATACCTTACTTTACTGTACCTAATGGCTCGCGGACAGGGCAGATAGCTCCTCCCCCGTCGTCTCCCTTTCTTCAGGGGACATAGTCAACATTGTTTTGCGCCCCACTAATCTCTGTATATGGACGGCATCAACTAGGTATAGCATCCGCCCGCTGCGGGGTTGCAGATGCAGCTCGATCTGGGTAATTTCGAACAGCGAGCAATGTAACCTAGATCTAATATTAGCCGCTCAAGATGGGAAGGAGATGGTAGGATGCTGACTTCAATCACATTGTTGCAGTAGCGAAAGGACCTAAGAAAGCAGGACCGTCTAGCGAGTGAAAATGAACTCCTCCTCAATGGTCTATGATCCTCGGCAGCATCCTTAGAACCCTGAGCCAAGATACCATCTGCCGCTGTTTTCAAACGCGAGGTCCCATCTGCTCTGCATTGCATGCGCGCTATCAGATGCGGCAGGTCAATATATCAACTATCGATTCAGACAAACAGCGCTTTTTCGGAATTGTCTACCTGACTCGTCATGGTAGGTGACAAACCGTAATAGTGATGGAAACAGTACCTAGGTAGGTATCTTGCCTAGACACACCCTACCGGTATGGCTTCCTCTGACCACCTCCCACTCCCGACGGAAGCCAACGCCGAAGGCTGTGTGGGGCTGAGTACGGTATGTGAGAACTCCCAGATCCACTCTAGTTGCCACCAGACATTGTTCTCAACTCCTGTCGGTTGATGTGATATCTCTAGCTCCATCTAATTACCAGTCTGGCTGTATGTGCTCCGTACTATCTGAACCGCTTCTTTCCGAGGTCTCAGCTCTCCACACTCAACACCTCTTTACCCTTCTGAACTGTCTCATTCTAGCCCGTCACCCATCATCATCGTCTTAAAACATACTTTGCAAACCGCACACTCTCTGGCACTAACTACCCCAACCCCTTGGCTGCAACACCGGGGCCTGACTGTTCTCGCAGCAGCCGTCCCGAGCCCTGTTTCAGTACCTGACAATGGCAAGCAGGTCTAAATATTCACTACATTCAGGAGGTGTAGTGAATATGTAAAGATTGGCACATCGCAAATACATGTAGTTACCCTGCGTAATGTAGTGCGTTCCGTTTTGTGTTAATCCTGGCTCCTCAAACCGGATCCCCCTCAGTACACTTAGTCGCGGACTCCTGGACCTGTTGTTGTGCCTGGCCTTGAACTGCTGGTACAATACGTTATGACAGAACCAGGCTGTCGGGATTGGAAATAATCTGCATCCTTGCTCCTAGGTCCACGTGCGGACGTCCAAGTACCGACTACACTAGGTATGTAATGTAACATAGCCAGTCTCTCCAGAAAGGAATCCTAGTTCTTTTCTATAATTGCGGATGACTGCGAGGCTATCTATTACACACCATCTATGTCGTGGGTGCAGGGCTCGGGTAACGTTTCACATGTAAGTGAGCAGAAAGGTTCTGCCGCTTGGGTTAACCTTGACAACCTTGAAAGACGCGGGAGGCCGGTGTCTAAGCTTGGGGCGACTCTGACAGGGAAGGATGATTGACGGTCGATTCAGGCAATGATACATGTTAATAAAGGCCAGCTGCAGCCTCCCCGTCTTCCATGTCCCTTCCATAGAGGCCTCCACACCATATCCTATCTAAAACTGGCACAACACTTGGCGAACTCAATGCCAGATGCAGTAAGGTTGAGGCTGTCAAAGGTAAAACGTACTACTCTGCGAGGTTCAAAGAGGAGACGTTTGTAATAGTACAAAGGGTGCGCAGGTTGAATTAATCGTCCAACCCCCTTAAAATCAGCGCCGCCCATATCCAACTCCAGAGTTAATATACGGGACAATTTCCTTGTCAAAATGTGAAGGATGACGGCCTCAGTCGACAGCCGTCCTAGTGACCCATGTTAACGGAGTATATGAGATTAATTCAGCAGAGTAGGTATTACAGTGCTCCTTAGTTTCCATACGTACCTGGTATGGCCAGCGGTTGCTCTGGATAGACTCAACTACTCCGAATCTAATTACCGTATCTCAGCCCATGGAACCACAGCTGGTAATTATACTCTGACAAGCTGATTGAAACGCATGCAGTTGAACACAGAAATTGGGACAGCATGGTACAAGCGGAATGGGTAACATGAGATTGGACGAGGGCAGCTCGGGACGGTCCGCCCAGTTCGCCACGCGGTGGTTGGCGGCTCCAGAAACAGGTTACTAAAGGTAGGAAACAGGGTGTGACGGGATGCTCGAAGTTTTTTGTCCTGTCGTTGGGTTCTTGCCCATTTTGGCCTTCGCGAGAATATCAGGAAACCACCACGTCCCACGGAAAAGGCGAGCCCACTGCTCCGGAGCGTCGATTGTGAGAGGGAGACAAGGCAAAATGCATTGCTTTTTGCTTCCTTCTGGTCACATGTGCAATCCTACTGTGGCATGCAGGAACCGCAGCGTGGCGTACAACTCTAAGCGCCCTCGGCGCCCAGTTGCGTTACACTACATGATGATCCTCGTCCAACTTGTCAATCACACACCTAGTTGGAATGGGCTGGCCACCGCCAAGGGACTCTAGCTCCCTTGGCAATGCTGGAAGAGAAGGGCGGAACTCAAGCTTGCTGGTAGAGCGCAGCATGTCTCAGGCCATGTAATCTCTGGCGTCCAACCTGGTTGGCGGTGCCCGGATTGCGGGATTTAGCCGGGGTGTTCTAATATGGGACGCCCGTACGATGATTGCAGTCCTAGATCTCGGCGTCGTTCCGGGGCCGGGCACCGGGCAACGGCCCAGACCACATTGTCCAATTCTTAAGATGGACCCTTGCTCATGGTACCTAAACTTCACCGGAAACAACCACGTCTCGTGCTCGATTGCAATTTTGGCGGAAGAGCCCCTCGGCAGAGGGATCTCAGTTTGCGAAATGCGCCCCTTACTAGCAACCACCACGGTGCTGCTCGCGTCTTTGGGCCTCGCCAGCGGACTTGTAGTCAAGGTAGAAGCGCAGCAGGGGCCGCACAGTACCAAGACAAAATGCAGCAAGCCTCCAGCAGCCACCTGCCTAGCTCCGGATGCTCTACAAACCGCGAGTCTCTACACGGGGTTGGAGGAGGGAACACCAGGGATCCGGCCTGGTCTGAGCGAGTCGGCCACGTAAGCCTGCAGAGACACTCCCTGATCCCTTGATGAGACCAGACAACTGACATGCTTTCTCCCCAGCGACGTCGCCAACTTCATCAACTTCTGCTCCGGCCGCACCCTCACCAACGGCCGCCAAAACACGAGCGGCTCGTGCAACGGCATCCCCATGGGCCGCATCCCCGCGACGACCAACATGATCTCGACCATCATCACATACCCGCAGCCCGGCGACCGCCTGACGCCCAACACGACCTTTTCGGTGGCCATCCAGACGCGCCACCTGCGCGCCGGCTACCTAGTCAACCCCACCACCAACTACTACACGGCGCCGCAGGACCTGGACGAGAACGGCGACGTCATCGGCCACGCCCACATCTCGATCCAGGAGATTGGCAGCCTGCGGTCGCTGACGCCGCCCGACCCGACAAAGTTTGCCTTCTTTAAGGGGATAGACGATGCGGGGGATGGTAAGGGGGGCCTGAAGGCTGAGGTTACCGGGGGTTTGCCCGAGGGCATCTATCGCGTGTGTACCATGGTCTCGGCGAGGAATCATCAGCCTGTTGCCATGCCTGTTGCGCAGAGGGGCGCTCAGGATGATTGCACCAAGTTTGAGGTTGGGGCTTGATAAGGGGTCGAATCAGGTTTGGGGGCAACGTCCGTGGCAGATACCTCCCATCAACATGAAGACGAAGTGATTTACAAAACCATATCGCATGCCACTGTGGTCTGAGTTTTGACTGGGCTCTAGAGGAGAGGTTTGAAAGATGAAACAGGCTGGCTAACGCATGTTCTGTGTGAGTGCGGGCTGACATTCTTGGCTCTTTTGTCGTGCCTTTGTTTGCTGTCAGAGAGCTGGTTGTGGATTGTTCTGATGTTAAAATCCGAATAGCCCTAGATTCTGAGAACAATGACATTGTGAAATCCTCCCCTGGTTGTCCCTGAGCACTATTAGAAGTCCCAGCACACTCAATAGTCTAAGGCTCTGGGGGACGCTCTCTACTTCAATCCGAGTGGACCAGCACCCCCAACAATCACCTCTCAGTTCGATTCAACACAAATCTCTCAACAAGATCCGTTACCCGTCCACCACAATGCACTTACCCGCCCTCTCACTTCTCTCCAACACCTGGAACTCGGGAGCACCGACGTCGCCCGATTCGTCATCTCCTGCTTCAACAACTACGTCCTCAACTTCCTCGTCTCTCACCCCCATGCTCTGGACACTGATCTGGCCCAGATACGAGCCCAAAGTTTATCTGACCATGGCACACCGGCCCGTGGGCTGGCTCTGGATCCAGCGCACGCCCGAGGCCATGCAAGCGTGGGGCCAGGAGGAGCATGCCACCTCTTTTGTGCTGCGTGTTCTTAACTACCTCGTCGCTCAGGCGAACGACTGTCGCGAGAATTTCAGGACCTACCAGCTTGTCGAAGAGGTTTACAGGCAGCTGTGCGTCTTGCAGTCGTTGGTGCAAGGGAATGGTGTTTGGGTTGTGGACGCACCTCTGCAGGAGGAGGTCAGGACGGTCCTGTTGACTGCAATGGAGGAAGTCCAGCGTTGTGATGCGGCTGGGTCTATGGTGTATCCGTAGCTCCTGTCTTCTTCCCATACCTTTTGTTGTTTTTGAAGAAGGTACAAGATAACAAGGACAGGTAGACATTTAGGCGTCAAGTCTTCAAGGCCGTCGGTTACCTTATCTTTAAACGAGCTAAACTGTGAACCGCTATCAAGAGACTTTCGCTCCCAGTCAGAACATTGTGTCTTTGCACTTCCGTGTCTCAATATCTTTTCGAAATGTTAACGTTACCCTGTTTAATTTGTTGAAGACCCAACGCTCTTGAGTGACTCGGGCAAGACAGCATAGGGTACTTAGCTTAACCTTTTCTTCTTGCTGAATAAACCCGTGCCCTGTGGAATGAGCTGTATGATTGCATATTCCCAGCACACAAGTGGCAATCGCAGCTCTCAGATTAATAGTCAAGTTCACTATTCTAGGGCATTACTGCCAGCCCTAGGCAGTTCCGCGCGCAATTCGTGGTTCACTGAACCACAATTTACCCAAGTAACCGGTCATTGACATGTTCAAGAGTGTATTATTCGAGCGCATGCCCAGCTTCTAGCTCGGCCCCTTTGTTACTAATAGGATACCTTAATCAACCATAGCTAGTATACTACAGTATGTATCCGTCTAATACCAGAAGATGGAGTTAGCCCAACACCGCATCATGTCCCTAAGCATGAGGGTTCTTGGCCTGCTCAGGAAGTGGTAGGCTACCCCTATCCGGTGGCGTTCTCGTGGAAAGGGCGAGACCAACCCCAGATATCGCCGAGATGCAGGTCGGGAACTGTACGGGTAATGGATATCCTATGATTCGAGGATTTGTCGTCTCCACTACACCACAACACACACACCTGAGCCTTTCTTCTCCCTTGGCTTATTCCCCACAGTTCATACGATGATTACTATGGTGTAAGTGAAACCACTTTGCTCCAACCCTAACCCTCATCTACCGGGCTGAGAGATCCCAGGAATGCTCGCACAGCCAGAGGTGTCGCCCATTACAGCGTGAGCTCATTGTTGAATGTAAATAATGATCAGTCCTGGTACGAGATGCACTAAAGTCACTGTAGTAAGCTGTTGGCATATCAAAAGTGCAGTTGCAAAGCTTTTGAAGCGTCATTGAGTTCCGTAAGTTGCCGAATATGTTCGTTCTTGCCGAGAACCCCACTAAAAAAAACGGGTCCCGGCAACTGCAACCGTCGGATGAGAACCCTGCTGGACCTGGTGATGCAGCCAAGTTTCAGCGTCCACTGCTGCGTCCCACTAAAATTGCCAGTAATCGGCATTGTTCGGTCGCCTTCGAACCAAGTTGCGTTGGACACTGAAGAGTCAGTTAAATCCCGCCTGAAAGAAGCAACCTTATGAAGACATAAACTACCATCTGTCAAACCCCAAACACACGAAGAAGGCCGCCAAACACCACACGCTGCGCGTGCCCTTGTCCCGCCATGAACCGGCCTTCGAGAACTGAGGACGATCTCGAGCACCCGACATGGAACCAGAATCCGCCGTTCCTGGCCCCTGACCTCACGACCCGCCAGGATCTGAACGGCATTGCCAACGCCCGCGAACATCGCCATGGGTGTACCGGTCCAGGCAACCGAGGGGGGTTCCTGAATGATGAGAAACAAGCCTGTGAAATTCGCCTCGGCGACTACGACCGTGTCTCACCCAACGGCTCACCTCTGGCAACGAGCGATCGGCTGCGCCGTAAGTGCTGTTTCTAAACCTCCACACCCCTCGTTCATTGAAGCTGCTTTCGCTAAGATGCAACCCATAGGACCGCTCGTTGCTCCCCAGACAGTGCTTGGTGGTGAAGGCCAAGCCTGTCGTTACTCGTGCCGAACCCGGGCCCCTTCGGGTTGGGTAGGCTGGATCGCGTCCGTCTTCGTTGCGTCGACGCTGATCAACCTCGCCGGGAGCTTTCTTTCAGCTCTGTTTGCGCGTACTGTCAAACCCGCTGTTTTGACCGTGGACAGAGGTGTGCATGCCCCTTTCCCATGCCTGCCCCCGCACCCCTTTGTCCGCTGCCGGGAGGATGTTTGGCATGCTTCATCCCAAACCACACGATGAACACTGACCGTCCCTGCAGCCGACGTTACTCTCGGTCGTCTCGTAAAGCGCAAGGATGCCTGCGCAGGCAGTGTCGCCAGCGCAGACGAGTACAACACGCCCCTCCACGTCGGTGCTCTACTCATCATTCTCGCCGTCTCGAGCCTGGCCTGCGCAATCCCCATGCTCGCTGCCAAGTTCCCCATCCTTCGGATCCCGGAGCCCTTCTTCTTCGGCGTCCGTCACTTCGGCACCGGCGTCCTTCTGGCCACCGCCTTCGTGCACCTGCTGCCGACCGCATTCATCTCGCTAGGCAACCCCTGCCTCTCCAATTTTTGGACCACCGACTACCCGGCCATGCCGGGAGCCATTGCCCTTGTCGGCATCTTTTTCGTGAGCGTCATCGAGATGGTTTTTAGCCCGGCGCGGACCTTTCTGCCGCAAGCTGCGCGGGCCGTATCGTCGCGCGGTGCCGAAGGGCCAGGGGCCGAGGCACAGGCGGTCCGGACATCCATGGCAGGCGGCCATTGCGGTCATGCGGCCGTTGCGGCAGCCATAACCCGGCCCTCAGCAACTCGCCGAGCGAGCATCGAGCCCGCCCCGCTGCGGGAAACGGCTTTCAGGAGGACGCAGGCCAACGCCTCCAAGGAGACACTGGAGATTGAGTCTCAGGGGGCTGGCCTCACGCCCGAGCAGCTGCACAAGAAGAGCATTCTCCAGTGCATGCTTCTGGAAGTGGGCATCCTATTCCACAGCGTCTTCATCGGCATGGCCCTGAGCGTGGCCATTGGAGGCGACTTTGTCGTTCTCCTCATCGCCATTGCCTTCCATCGTCAGTTTTCTCTCTCCCCTCTTTCCCGGCATGACTGATGGCCGGTGACTGACTGACCTGCTCCCCAGAAACATTTGAAGGCCTCGCCCTCGGCGCCCGCATCGCCTCCATCTCCTGGCCGAAGAAGACTCTCCAGCCCTGGCTGATGGTCCTTGCGTACGGATGCACGTAAGTCGTCGGATCCAACCCAACATTCCTACCGTTCCCTCATCCTGATGATTGCCATGCGAGTGACTAACCCTGGTGGGGAAAGAACACCAATTGGCCAAGCTATCGGACTGGCGACCCACACCCTCTACAGCCCCGACTCCGAGTTTGGGCTCATCCTGGTCGGCACCATGAACGCCGTGTCGTCGGGCCTGCTCGTGTTTGCTGCCCTAATCGAGCTGCTTGCCGAGGACTTTCTGAGCGACCAGAGCTGGGGCGTTCTAAGGGGCCGGAAGAGGGTGATTGCGTGCCTGCTGGTGCTGCTTGGCGCTGTTTGTATGAGCCTTGTTGGCGCCTGGGCTTGACTTATTCTGGATTTTGTTGGTTTGAAGCTCTTGGCTCCCCTCTATTTGAGGGACGTTGGCTGCAGTGTTTTGGATATAGAGTCGACGATAGAGAGGATCGGCGTGTTAGATGTTACGATGAGTTGCAATGCAAGAACGGGCAGAGCAGAAGCGGTCGGTTGGTTGGGCTTAGATGGAGCTGCGTGAGATCAAGACAGAGCATCTGGTGGAGGTTGAAGAACGGAGTTTCCAGCACCTGCCAATATTCGGTTGACCTGCCATCAAGCGGGTTGCTGCTGTAAGGCAGTGAGAGCCACATCGAGCTAAGCGCTTCGATTCAGGGTTTATACTCTAATATAGACCTTAGGGTACGGTGACGGTGGCGCCTGCCGTCGAGGTGCACGTTTGCCCTGCTCTCGCGTGCCGCACTTGCTCTGGCATCTATCCCCTGCACCTGCAAGAGCTCTTCCTTTTCTCCCCATCTTGTGATTAGCAGAAATGAGTCCCATTGGCACTGCCCTCGCGCCTCACCTAAATGTACGCTCGTCTCTCACAGGTAGTACTACAGGTATTCCAGACGTATAACTCATTTCTTTCACTTGACCTACTTGTATCCTGTTTTGTTTCTTTCCCTTTCCTCTTCCTATTCCTCTTACTTCTGTTATTCTATTTCCTCTTTTCTTACTTTTTATCTTTACATTTCATTATTTATTCTCTCTTCCTTTTTTCTCACGTTCCTTGGTTTCATGTTTCTCAGTCCTGTCTCAAGTAGTGCCCCGCCATGTGCTACGCTAACGAACTAACCAGGGCTGGATTGTATAGTTACACTATCGCGAAAGTGTTGAAACCAGAGGTTTATTCAAGTTAAGGTACTTAGTCATGTTACTAGTCGCGGCTTTCCAGAAACCTTGATACTCCTAAGGATTCCTCTCCTTTTAGAATTTGAATCGTAATAAGATAGATCAAATCCACATCGCAAGGTTACCTATGTTAATCTTTGGGATTAAGTAAATGCGCAATCTCAAGTATTATGATCCATAACAGCCTGTCGATAGAAATGCAGATAGTGACCAAGCTGCATCATACGCAGACTGTAGGTGCTTAACTTGTCAAACAGACGCTCCGTCAGTGCTCGTGGATGAAGGGGAGCAGCAGAGGTTCTCGATGGCCAGGTTGAGAGATCATGTTTAATCCTACATAATGTACCAAAACGCCCTCGCTCTGCAACGTTGCCTCGCTACGACCGGTGCCCACACCGGTGACATCTTCCGTAGTATAGTGGTCAGTATGTGAGCTTGTCAAATCCCCTCTACCGGGGTATTAGCACCGCTCGAGACCCGGGTTCAATTCCCGGCGGGAGAGGTTTTTTTGCCGGCTTGGACATCTGAGCACGGACGGCCTTGCACCTGCTGTCATTTTTCAACTTCCGAGAGGCTGCGTGTGACCCCAGATTGCCCGGCAAATAACGACCTGTGACCGACGTCAGGGACCATCTCAGCGGCATCAGGGGGTGGGGCAACAAGTCAGGGGCACAATGTCTTGGGTGTGGGAAGGACACTGATTGGTTGGCGTCTTGGCCAGCTTCCCGAACAGTATCATTTCCCGGCCGGCCAAAATTCTAGTACTTGATACCTTTTGGAGATGTATTGGATGGGCGCAAACGCGACGCAGGAGATGGCACCCGAAGTCATTTACTATATTGGGATGGTCTTCTCTTGCCGGCCGCGACTGCCCCAGTCGTGTGCACGGCTCACACAAGGTTCTGCGCTCACCGTGACGTCGCTCTCCCTCAACACAGCGGGCAGTCATCATCGCAGTGCCTGGACATGAGAGCGCTTAGGCTGTTGGCCATGCTGGCCAGCTCGGCATGTCATCTCGCGAGCGGGCAGACGGACGATATGTGTAACGCCCAAGACCGCACCTACAGCACCGAGACTATGCCTGCGGGCACCCACCAGCCGTACGACAAGCTGAATCCCGTGGTGGGCATGCTGAGCACCAAATTCTACGTCACCGTCGTCAACCTCACGCCGCACCGCTTCATGTTGGAGGGCACTCATTCGTACCAGATGGATATCTTTGACTTTGGAGACGTGCCCCAAGGTCGAGCCCGCCAGAACGCTGTCAAGTACCGGGGGACTTGGTCCACAAGAGACGACGCCGGCGAGGCCTACTACCGCATTGACGGCACCGACAAGCGCTTCGCTTTGCGGGTAAAATCGTATATTCCCAGTTCGGACCCCCGACGAGTCGTCCTAGATCTCAGCGGGATGGGGCTTGGCCAGCGAGAATACGTGTACCCCGGCGGAGACACGGCAGTGTCCCTGGTCATCACCGGGAGCAACCGTTTCGGCTTCCAGGCGTCGCTCCGGCACGGACCCGGCAACTGGATGCGGAATATGTACGACGTTATCCGCGACCGCCCGGTCCGCCACCTCATTATGCCCGGCACGCACGACGCGGGCATGAGCACGATCACGGACAAGATCGTCAGCATCGGCAGCGAGGAGAACACCCAGAACCAGGGCATCAATATCTACGACCAGCTCCAAACCGGCTCCCGCTGGTTTGACCTCCGCATCTGCTCCGTCCACGCAAACGACGACGCCGGACGAAACAACGGGTTCTGGGTGATGCACGTCAACGACGAGATGGCCACGCTCGCCATCGGCAACACTGGTGAATCCCTCGACGACGTCATCAGCGAAATCAACCGGTTCACGTCCGAGAACCCGGGCGAAATCATCTTCTTCGCCATGCGCTACCTCGTGGGCCGGTACGAGTTCCCCGACCGTGGGCCCATCCTGTGGAACGCGGCCATCGTGGACGACTTCTTCTCCAAGCTGCGGGCCATCCACAACCGCTGCCTGCACCTGGACACCAACACGGGCTTCCAGAACCACAAGGCGTCGTATTTCATGGACCACAACGAGGGCAAGGGCTGCGTCATTCTGCTGCTCAACGGCCATCTCGACGGCCGCGAGTCGCCCGCCGACGGCATCTACGACATTGGCCGCATGACCATCCGGGACCACTGGTCCAACAGGATGCAGGCGAGCGACATGGTGCCGGACCAGGTCAACAACTGGCGCTCAGTCACGCGCGGGGGCGGCGCGTCCGACTACGGCAGCTTCATGATCGCGCAGTGGCTGGTGACGCCCGATGCCGTGGCCACGACGGCTTACAGTCTGCAGAATTTTGCCATCCAGCCGACAAACCCGTCGCTGTACTGGGCGGGCGTCAACGGCATGGACCCGGAGCACTGGCCCAACGTGCTGATGGTGGACTACATTGGCGTGCAGCAGCGGGACCAATGGGCGTGGAACCGGCTGAGCGCCGAGATGTACACCCTGGCGGTGGGCATGAACCTGTACATGGCCAGCGAGAACTGCGATGTCGGCAGGCGGAGGAATCCATTGCTTAGGCGGGGCGAAATGGGCATGGTGGAGAGCCGCGGGGTGCCGTGGAACGGCATCATTTTTGCCAACGGCACGACGGTTGATGATCCTGACCCTATGCTGCATCTTGGCCGGGTTGAAATACTGAGGAACGGGACCGTGTTCGGTAACGGGACGGTGGTGGAGCAGAGCATGCCTAACCCCTGGCTGTAGGGACAGGCATGCAGGTTGCATTGAGGTGGGAGCAGGCGTCAGGATACCCCTTACGTTTCCTTAGATACAACATCATTACTCAAGCCCCTAATACCACCATTCCATCTAGCTCTGGCGTACCTCGGAGCCGATCGTCCTTCAGCAACCAGGAGACGATCCAACTGTCACAACCCCATTTTTGGTCCCTTCTCGGTATGCAAGAGAACTCAAATCAGACCTCTGGCGTTGGCTGCCGCCCGCTCGGCCCAGCGGTCCCCCGTCCATCCACATCCTCTCCCCCCCTCCTCGCATCCATAACCTGCTTCCTCGCAGCCGCCTGCTGCTGCTTCTTTCTGTTCCACCACCCAAGTCATGTCAGCAAGTCACACACTCTCTCCTCTACTTTCCTTCCTTCCTTCCTTCCATCCTCACTTCATCTCAGGACGAAACTCACCTCTCCAAATCCGCCTCCCCGGCATCAAGGCTGACCTCCCCCCTCCCGCGCCCATGCAACCGCTGAAATTCCGGCCCGCCGTGAAGAAACCCCGGCGACGACGACGACCCGGACACACGCTGCGTCCCATGTTTCTGCTCAACCGCATTTGCGACCTTGCCCTCGGCGTACGGTACATCGCCCATCCTGCCGTCGGCATCCACGTTTTCGTTTTGCTTCGGGATGGTCTCGCCATCGCCGTCCACGTCTTGCTGCCCGACGCTCACGTACCGCGTCGCGCGCCGCTCCGTGTCGTCTACCGGGCCGGACCCGCCGCGGACGCCGCGCTCTAGCGCCGTCGGCATCCCTCCGCCTTCTTGTTCTTCTGCCGAGGCGCTGCAGTGTTGGGTCTGGTTCGTCTGGTTCTGGTTCTGGGCAGATTGTTGTTGTTGGGAAGGAGGGCTCATGGGCGCGAATCGGGCTTGGAGGTAGTCTCCTGCTGCGGCGTACTCTGGCCCGGACGTGCCGGGAGTGTCGGCTACGGCGAACTCGGAAAGGTTGCGGATGGGGTTGGGTTTACTTGCCGGGTGGGCTTCCGGTTTGTTGGGGGTTCGCGTGGGCATTGTAATGGGTGTGCTGGTTGTGTATTTGCGTGTGGATTCTGTTTTGGCAAGGTGTCAGGAACTGAAATATGGGTTACCTTGATGGTTGAAGCATCGGTGGCTAACTTCAGAGTGGAAGTAAACGGCAACAGATGCCTGTGGAAAGCAGAGGCATGTTTAAAACGAGCAACGGGCGATGCAGATCGATGACGTAGAGCGGCCAGTACGAGTCAAAGTCGCGCAACCGACACTAGCAATTTGCTGCCCGATATACTTGCGGCACGAATATGTCATATTCCTGCACAAGACTGAAGAATCCGCAAGCTTTTTGCTGATGTGCATGCCATGTTTGAAGCAATCAAGAGAAAGCTCAAATCCATGCTCGCGCTGCTGGTCATTTTGGGGCGGCTAGAACCTGCAGCATCAGCCCCGAGCTCGACGATACTCGGATCATAAAACACGATACAAATGGAAACCCAGATCAGGCCTGAGAAATGCTACAGCAATTTCAGAACACGTCAGCGGAAACCAGAACAACTGTTGCCCAGCTCTATTCTTGTATGTCTAATAGTACCCAGATTCCAGCTGCAGGGATGCAGGCCGGCAGCAACGAAGGGAGAGAAGGAAAAGACAAATAAGGAAGACGCCAATGGCCGCAGACACGCGTTACCCAACAAATGCTATTGGTGTACGATTAATATCCATCGCTCAAGATTATGTTCAGCTGACTGCTTAAAACAGAGCAAAGACGCCGGCAACGAGGGCCAGGCTGCCGACGGCCGCCGCCGAGAGACTCTTGCCTATGTACGCGCCCGCAGTGCTCGGGCTCGGGCTCGACGACGACTGGGTACCGCTGCCGCTGCTACTGCTGCCACTGCTGGTACCGCTGCTGGTGCCGCTGCCAGACTGAGTGGAGCTACCGCTACCGCTATTGGCAGAACCACTGCCAGGGGCAGAGACGCCAGTTCCGGTGGCCGAGGCCGCGCTGGAGGTGGCAGTAGCGGTGGGGGTGTCAAAGGTGGTCGGGCAGGTCAGGTCGAAGAGCGGCTTCGTCGAGAGCTTCTCGGTGATGGCAAACTTCATCTCGTTGTCCGGGTTCGAGTCGCGCAGGTTGTACCAGAAGGTGGGTACCTTGTTAAAGAGTTGGCGGCAGCCAACCTCGTCCCAGTAGTACTTGGCGTTTTCGACGCTGGCGACAGCCTGATCCCAGTTGGGGCCCGTGGCGGGCCAGCCCGTCTCGGTGACCCAGATGGGCTTGCTGCCGGCAACGCCCTTGACGGCGTTGAAGGCGCGGTCGAACAGGCTGCCCGAGTTCTTGATGTCGTTGCCCTTTCCGTTCTCATAGTAGGGGTATTCGTCCACGCCGATCCAATCGACCGCGTCGACCACGGCCTTGTTGGAACTGTTAGTCCACGCATCCCACGTGTCGACGTGCCCAATGGGGACGCTCGCCAGGGCCGACCCCTCAAAGGCCTTCTTGTATTGGTTTATGAAGTTGACGATCACATCGGGACCGGCACCGACACCGGCCTTGTTGATGATGCCCGTCTCGGAGACGCGGTAAAGATCCTCGCTGCCAATCGACATGCCGATAACGAGGTCGGTGAACTTGCTGCCGTACTGCTCCACGGCCTTTTTTAGCGCGCTGAGCTCCTTGTCGATGTTGTCGGTGCCCGATGTCCAGATACCGAGCAGCAGCTTCGTGTTTGTGTCGATAGCAGCCTCGAAAGCCTGGATGGGGTCATCTTGGGAGTAGGCCTGGATGTTGGTGTAGAGGCGCACGGCGTTGAAAGTGCCTGGGGCGTTCTCGAGGCCCTGCGCCGTCTTGAACTCGGCTTCAAAGTCGGCTTTGAACTTGGCAGAGCGATCGGCGAGGGTGGCGCCAGAGTTGAAGCCGAGATAGTTCTCGGCGGACGCGCGCGAGGCGAGGACGCCGGCGACGAGAGCCGTCGTGGGACGCATCTTGATGTGTTGATTTGAAGGTTCGTCCGTAGACGGGAGTCTGACTTGGCAAACTTGGCAATTGCGTCACTGATGCAAGAGATTGTCGAGAGAAAGAGTGATGGAGAAAGCGGCCTCAATGATTGAGGAAAGAGCGTGGGAAGATTCAAAGTGACTGAATGCGAGAACCGGACAGGAACGAGTGTCGGCGTCGCACAAGGACGGTTGGTCGCAGAAGGATGAGGGAAGGAAAGAGAAGAAACGGTCACTGGGGGTGGCCTTGAAGCAGGTTTGAGGTCTTGAGATGGGGAGAAACGAACGGCGGGTCGAGAATTGTAATCATTTTGTCCCTGAATCCTTCAGGGTGGCGCCCCGGTCAGCTGCAAGGACGGGTCGGCCGGGAGGTAGCACAGTCTCAGGACGGCTTGGCGCGCCGATCGACAAGGCTCGACCTTGTTGTTTGTACGGAGTACGTCAGGATACCTGCAGTGCGGCCAGATGCATTCTGACACGAAAGTTTCCTTTTAGTTTCTTGTTGCAAGAGCCATGTTGTGGAAAGGCATGACGATAACTGAGAACCTAATACGTTTGATCTCGGAACTATGCCATCGACTGTTGTGTCCCTTGACAGCACACCACCCGGGTCCAGGGCTTCCTCGTATTGATGAAGCTGAATTCGTTCCACAACAGCACTTCCTGAAGATTTTCCCCTGGAAGAGCGGTCCACTGCAAAGCCTGGTCATAACCGGATTGGTGCCCCGCAGCTGCCCCTGACATGGAGCAAGGAGACAGTTGGCAAGCCGCCATTCAAAGGCCGAATCGAAGAACTGAGGGCCCACCGGACGTTTCAACGTTTCGACTTCACGGCCCCACCCATCAAGCATCTGGGACGCATCTCTCAAATGCCTAACTGTGGCCTGCATCGAAGTCTGAGAGACTGTATGCTATGTTCACGTTCCGGCTCTCAGTTCTAAAAAGACATGGAAGGGGAGTCCGACGGTGTTTCGGCTCCTCCGACACTCAAAATGAGGCCGGCTGTTGGCCAACAGGTTAAGGTAAGATGATCACCGATCCCGACGGCCAGGCCAACAGGGGAAGGTCCCTCGCAAAATTCGCCCTGATTGCAGAGGAATTATCATTGAAAGAGACCTGGTTTGATCACTGGTCATCCCGCTCGAGCTCGGGTATACGAAACCAGAAACAAAACAAAGGATCATCGTCACGATATGGGTCTTACCCGGGATTTAGAGTTCCCAGGCGATATCAGAGTATCAACCGCGTTACAGATACTAAGGCTCATCTTTTCCATTGGACGATATGCGTCCAGAGTTTGATACTGCGTACGTTGCTGGAGATGCTGCCACTGGTACCAATGCGCCAACCGCATTCAGCCTCGCTGCCTATTGTGTAACAACAACCCCTCCCCCACCCCGGGGGATCTCGACGTCGCGATATGATATTCTCCTCTTCGCATGCATTGCTTCGGCTCCAGCAGGGTTTACTTGTGTAATCTGGGTCAGCTTGATTGTACCCAAAAATGGACCCCATCACTGCTGTCAGCTTCGCAGCCAGCGCCCTAACATTCATCGATGTCGGTTACAAGATCGTCACCGGAACCCTGGAGGTACTCAAAATCGGCAGTCTCTCCGAGACACCCACATAAACATCGTGATAAACGACTTCCACGCGGTCGTCAGACCACTGGCTCGACTGCCCGACGGCAAGTCCGAATATGAGACGACGTTAAAGGAACTCGGCAGCAGATGCCAAACTCTATCTCAAAAGCTGTCCAACCTCCTCGAGACGCTGAAAACGAGCCCAAACGGTTCTACCTGGAAGAGCGTGAAACTGACTTCCAAATCCATGCAAAAAAGAGGAGAGATACTTGATTTCGAAAAGCAGTTAGGCAGATATCGCTCCGAGATCATGACTCGCCTGGCTTTTCAACCCTACGTACGCCTCACTCAGCAAACTTACAGCAGAAACTCATTTTTCTCTCTTTTCGTTACTTTACTTCCTTTTACTCTTCCTCTTCCTCTCCCCTGTCTCCTTCACCTCTGTCTTTTCCTGTCTTTTCTTTTCTTACTGTTTATCAGTCTTGCTGAGAGATCTCCCCTCTTTCTAGTGATCGGCAGGCAGCGATTAAGGTTTCGGTTGTCCGACTTCCAGTTACAGGTTTTGAGAGTCATTAGATGCGATGGAACAGTTGGAAAGACTTCGAGAGGACGTCTTGGACGCTATGGAAAAAACCATCCATCCAGTTTTCCCACCTGATTCACATCACCAGGATTTGGCAAGGGCAACACCGTTCTAGACCCAGCGGACCACGACATGAGTGACCAGTTGCAACTTTTGCGCGCAATACGCGACAGTGTCTACGGTTTGCTGCAGAGCAGGATCAGGCCCTCGCCCGAGATACGAATTCTCAGGCAGCTGCATTTCGGATCACTTCGTCGGAGAAAGGACCATATGGCCCCTGCTGAAGTTGACACTTTTGAGTGGTTCCCAGGAAGCCCACCCACCCATTCGGAAGAGGAAGAAGACGAAGAATAATCCGAGGAAAGGGCGGCAGCTGCATCATTTTTTCTGCACTGGTTGAGAGACGGGAACGGCGTATTCCACATTTCGGGGAAGCAGGCTTCGGCAAGTCGACCCTGATGAAGCTCCCCTTGAGTGACTGGAGAACCAAGCAGGAGCTGGGAAATGCGCTGGCTCAAAGCAGCTCGTTTCTGCCCACTTTTACTATTGGCTGTCTGGGTAGCGGTTACAGTACTCTCTGGAAGGGCTCTACCGTTCCATCCTCTTCGAAATTCTCATTCAGTGCCCGGAACTCATACCCGATGTCTTCTGACGAGCCCACCGAAGCTTCTCCAGGCCAAGGCAGAGGAGTGGATCGACGAGCTTTTCTTCGGGCCCAACGACATCAAGAAGGCCTTTACCGACCTGATAACCAGATCCACGCAGCGCGGCTGTCGTTTTTGTCTGTTCAAAGACAGCTTAGCGAGTATGGCGGGACGAGGTTGACGAGTTGGAATATCAATGGTTGGCCGACGATCTGAAACTCTTGGGCCGACTATCCAGATGTCAAGATCCTGGCCAGCTCCGTCCGTATAGGCAGTTCGAAGACACCTTCTCGGACGAGCAGCGCATTCGTCTGCATGAGTTGGCGAGATTCGACATTGTTCTCGCCGGCCGACAGATGTTTGAGAAGGACAGATCGTCCCAGCGACCCCAAGTCCAGGCGTGCTATGTCGACCTGGTAGACAAAGTCGCTGACGCCTCTCACGGGGTTCTCTCGTGGGCGAGCCTTGCTATGCGCAGTCTTCTCAAGGCCATCGCGCGATACGATCCCATCGACTCGCTGAAGCAGCATCTCCAAGCCATCACCAGGGATCTCAGCAAGCTTTACAAGAGGATCTCTCATGTCCATTGATTCTCTCGATCAGGCCAGGACTTTTAAACTGCTGCTCCTAGTTGCAGAATACCCCAGACTCATGGACTGGCAGCTGAATTTTCTGAGTGTCACGTGGCTTCAAGACTTATAGGACGTCGACTTCCCGATGAAGTGAGAGTCACGGCCGTAGACTGACGAGGAGATCCGGCAGCGCCATTTCCAAGCTAAATATCAGCTCGACGGTCTAACAAAAGGCTTATTGGAAATCGTGGAAGTCAGCCCAGTGCCTCTGATTTACCAAAAGGAGATTCTATTCTTTCACCGCACCGTACGGGATTCGTGCGCCAGAGCAGCGTGCTCCAGGAGTTTGCTGCCAAGGTTCCAACTCTGACCCATATATCCACCTACGTTCGTCTCCTCCTTGCGGAGTTTCATTTGGCGAGGACCGACGGCATTCCAGATTGCCACGATTCAAGATGCTGTAGATTTTTATTGGGGACGTGGAGGCGGTCTTCTTGATGGACTGCTAGATGCTTTCGGGCGAGCCAAGGCGCACCACAACAACCAGTCGAGGGACTCACCTGTTTTCTGCGGCTTCGCAGCCAAGCTGCGGAACGACACTGCCGGTAATGATGATTATTGCGCCCTGTGCCATTTCCACTTCCTTGCGAAGGAGTGTTTTGTTGAATACGTCCAGAGAAAAGTGGCGACCGACCCACACTTGATGCGGCCTCGAGGCCGAGTGGCCCTCCTTCTGTCCGGCGCTCTTGGAGAGAGACGTGATCCGTCTGCTGTGGTCAAGGTTCTTCTCGATGCTGGTGCATTCCCACGATCTCGTGTTGATCTATACAAGTATCTCCCAGTTCACGGTCTGGTAACTCGTCTGTACTGCTTTTGTTTATCGGTTGATCAGTCCAAGAAGAAGAGGCTACCGCCTGCGCAGTGACTGCCAGATTTTACAATACTTCCTGGAGGCGGTGGCTGATGCCAACTGTTCATTCTCCTGGCGCCCAGAACCCAAGGGGATAGTGAATCGGGGAGCCAGACCGAGCGTCACGATGGCACTCAAGGCGACAGCCATGACGGCACTCAAGATGACAGTCAAGCGTACAATTATGAGAGCACTTATGACGAGGTAAGCGACTTGGGCAGTCCAGTGACCAGTCAGTGCAGTTCGGCGTGACCCGACACATGCCATCTGCCTGCCGACCTTGCTCCGGCAGTTTGATCCGCCGAACTTGGGTGAGCTACTAAAGTTGATGGAGGAGCCAAAACCTTCAGGAACATACTGGGAGATTTCCCTCGACATGGGACTATCTGATAGGGAAGAGGACTGTTACTCCCGCCGCGGCAATTGCCACGAATTTCGGTGTTGAGGACTACGCTCCTTTTGACCCTGCAATGGACGGACCCCTATCAGTCAGGTGGAGAATTCAGTGGCCGGAGTCTACACTTTGTCATCAGGTATGTCGTGTTTGGGGATACATGGGTTGATCCGGATATACAATTCAAATACTGTTGAGTTGAATTCTGTCGGTATGGCAGGTGGGAGCCTGGAAGGAGCGGAGGACAGGAGAAGGTGTTTTACATCTTTGTACATGGCTGGCCTCCAGGAATTCGCAGGGCATTTGCACACAAGAACAGCAATTCTCCGAGCGGATCATTTTCTGACGGGAAAGGAGCGGTAATATCCGCAAATCTAATAATCAAATACAATCCGGGGTATCGCAAGCTAAAGAGCCTATCCCAAAAGGCTGTCAGGTCAGAATGTGCAGCATGAGCGCCATGCCCAAGCTCGATACCAACCCCATGCTACTCCTGGAACGCCTCGAAGTCCCCGACGTAGGCCTCGCTCTGTTGTTCTCGGAACTTGTCCCTGGGGCCTGGGACCCGCCACTGCGGGTAGGCGCAGCACCTCCTCCATCAACGCTTTCAAGGCTTGAGCTGGGCGCCAGCGTGCCGCTCGTAGAATCCACGAGTTCTGACAGACCGCACGCGCCCGTCACGGACGACAAATCCTGCACGCTGTTCAAGGCCGCCGGCGAGGAGCCGCAGTCGGCAGCTTGCGTCATCCAGATCGAGTCTGTTTCGAGGTCAAAGACAGCTAGACAGGCTTGTTAATGCCGACAAATTGCCGTCGCGGAGGGAAAAAAAAGCATACTGTAAGCTGACCGTAGGAACGTATCCCCCAGCAACGTGAACTTCTCACTCGCCATGATGCCCAGAAAACAAGCCGGAGGGCTGCTCGAAACCTCCCGGGTGAGCTCTTTGTAAGGAACCTTGACGGTCACGCCGTCGAAAGCAAAGTCGAGGGTGCCGTTTAGTCTCGCCAAAGCACAGTCAATCGTGAAAAAACCGTTGTCATCCGACATCCGGGCTCCAAAGTCGTTCGCAATGGCCGCCGTCAGGTTTGGCGACAGAAGAGTCATGGTCGAACCGCTGTCCAGGAACACGGGCGTCTTGCTGGCATCGTACACACGGTTCACGCCATTCGGCGGCGTAATGGACAGTGACTGCATGTCGACCCAGAACCGAGGCACCCCATCGGGAGACCGGTCGGCCGGCAGGACGGGCAGCCTGGCCAGTTTGCCGGCAAACTTTGATGTGTCGACGCCGCCAAAGACTATCACGCCTTCCTGCGCATCCTTGCTGCCCAGCGCGAGCGTGTATGCCTTGACCCTGATGACCATCTGCGCCCGCAGCTGGTCGACGAAGTTGAGGTACCGAGTCGCGACGTCTTTCCCGTAGCCTATCCCCAAAATCCCCGAAAAGGCGTCTTCTGACGCCGTGGCCACGCCGAACTGGACGGCCTGAAGAGCTGTGGAGCTCCCGGCCAGCGTGATGGTGTCGGTAAAGTAGGAGATGTTGGCGGTCCCGATGCCGTACCGCAGCGTTTTGGTGGTGCCGAGGGAGGTTGCCGTCGACGACTTGGTCGTGTCGTATTGGCCGATCCGTTCGCAGAAGGCGGCATCGGCGCCTGATACTGCGGTGCAGTCTGGATTCACCCACAGCTCAAATGATCCTGTGTCCAACTGGACAAAGACTGGCTGTGGCGGCGTGCCGATGCTTACTGGGACGAGGGTTAGCAAAATCTCAGTCGGCAACAGAGGATATGTATGGAAGACCCAGCACGTTGAGCATAATAGGCAATATCTGATCGGTTTGCTAGCTGGAGCTGAACCCCCCGTTTGCTGGAGAAGTAGTCGACGTTTGTCGAATGGACGATGGGCAAATGCACACAGCCTTGGTCGTGTGTCGATGGCTGAAGAGCGGTGGCATAGCAGCAGAACAAGGCAACGAGCACGACCGATGCCGAGAAGAGGGAGGGGACTGCCATTGCTGGCGATGGCTGACCCGGACTACCTCGGTGACGTCTGCATCTGCAGCAGCATCGACAGCAACGGGCTAAGTAGAAGCAAAGGAAGAGAAGCGAGATAGATGGTAGACACCCGCCAGCCGAGCCCCGGCACCGAGCCGAGGGAAACTCAAGTCGAGAGATGAGGAGGCCCGGCTCCCTCAGATCGCGTACGGAATTTGCCTCCACCAGTCTTGCAACGAGTGGCAACAAGGAGCAAAGGGAAGGGAGAAGAGAAGGGAATGGACTAGAGGAGAGGGAAGCAACAAACAGTAACAGTGAAGGAAACGCCAAACCCAGCATAATAACAGAAGCAGGTTGAGAAAGGAGAAACGGACGGCATGTTCGGTTGTCCACTGTTTGAGAGGCAAGGAGATGGGTTGTACTTCCCGCGCCCGTGTGCTGTCGGCGTATCAGCCTGCGTTGAGCCAACTGCTTGCAAATTCGGCACGGCAGGCTATTTGCAAAATGGACGAAACAGCCGCGCGCTTGATGTTTCGCCACACTGTCAGTTTGAAAAGAAACAGCTGGACTGCGCTTTCTCCAATGGACCGACGACATTCAAAGGGGAGATCGGGACGAGGTCTGGGGCGCGGGGGAACGGCTTCGAAGCGCGGTGCATGCGCAGCGGCCTGAAGAAGCGCGCGGTCTATGGAATTGCATGCGTGCACCTACTGCACCCTTTTCTGACGCTCCCCGCCGCAATGCAAACCTGCGACGTCTAGAGCGATGTTGCCGGAAGATCAAACACACAAGGGGTTGTCGTTCAAGGGCGAGTCCCTGCATTGCAGGAAACGATTACCAGCGCTCGGGATCCCTGTTTCATGCTTTCAGCCTCCGCCGCCAAGTGCTCCCTGGAACCGATAACGTCAGATGTGGGAACGCTTCCCGGCACCTGCAGACGGCTGGTCCACATTTGTGCAGGTCTATCACAACACGCAACTGCGGATTGTCCACATCCTGAATCCCGTCCTGCATCATCACCAGTTCACCAGTATCGACACTTCGTTGATTTGCATCCTCTGCGCATTTTCGTGAGCATTCGCTTTTACTGCGAACCTTCTATCTCCTGCTACAGTAATATTGAGTTTTTTTGCGCCTTCAGTATCTTGCCATTTCAGCGTGGTTGTTTGCAACGATTTTCGCGTTTGGATCGCTCTGCAAGCGCAGCAGCGATCATCAACAGCAACCACTGCGCGTCATCACCACTGTTGATCACTTCGTTGCTCTGCATCAGGTAGGCTCGTGCCGGCGCGACCCGCAGGCCTTTGATCTCCTGCTCAGGAATTCATCCTGACTGGTATGATGGTACACTCTCATACGCACCACTAGGACGTGCCGTGTTGGAACTGACCGCCGTCCTATTCAGCCTCGCTCCGTAGCTGGAGTACATGTCCCGCAGGGCCTACAGTCCCAGTGCCCTTGTATACCTATATGTAGCACATAAAGTGAGAAATGCAGACCTGGCCAAACCATCCTGAGGATAAACCTTGGTAGGTTAAAGGTTGGCTTTTCCTGATGCTCACACCTTTTGCCCCTCGTTCACCTGGCATCCACTCAGACCTGAACATGTCATTCGAGTGGCTTGACGACGACATGTGGGCGGCCATTGCGGTACCCCCGCCCTCTCCCGACTTCTCTCGCGCCCTAACGGCAGCGCCCTGCTTGGGGACGGAGGATCTTGTCGCGATATCAGGAACCTCTGCTATTGCGGAAACCCACTGGCCTGTAAAAACACCAACAAGCCCCACGGTTCCTGCATCGGCATCGCCACCGGTATCTTGGGATCGATGCGCGGCAACTCGCATCGCCGCCTGATGGGAAGCCACGAGCGCTTTTCGTCATCATATTCATCGTCGTCATGGCCGTTAATCACGACAACCGCTACGCCTGTGGACTCGGTGCTATCGACGACGCGAGAGGCTGCGCAGCTTGTGCGCGACCTTCTCGACTGCCCGACGTGCCGCACCGGCTCCCAGCTGCAGCTGTTGCTGACCGTCGCCTTCGCCGTGGTTATCGCGGGTACCGGCGCATCATCAGCATATATCACCATTATACTAGGGAGGAACTCACGCAGCAGCAGCAGCAGCATCGCGTAGATAACGAGCTGAAATGCGGCCCCCTCAGTCTCGGCAACCACCAGATAGATGGCAACATGAGACCGTGCTCGTGGGCGCGTCGTTGGCAGCAGGCTGCAGAAGCTGGAAGCGGTCATGGGGGATATTCTGGAACCTGCTTCGGCGGCACAACCAGAGCCAAAAGTGGGGTGGCGCAAAGACTGGAGGCAGCGACAGCAGCAGCTCGGCTTTGTCGGCGCTACTCCACGGATTATATCTCGAGAGGGGCTCGTTCCTTGCCGAGCAGCGCAGCGCAGCCAGACATGAGCTCACAGGGTTGTGCGCCTCGAGACGGGGACAATTCACCTGGTCCGTGTAACTTTTTGATAGAGTAGCGCTGGGAGGTCCTTGGATAGGGTCATTGTGTGTGTATCTAATTTTGTGTGGATTCTGAACTATCTGCTGAGAATGTGCAACAGGACACATAAAAGACCCAGCCCCTTTTCATCCATGTTCCTCAGTCCTTGCGCTCGGCAAAGATGACGCAACCCCGTAGGCGGGCGCGTGCTGCTCGACCCTCACGGTTCTCAGGCCCGCGCGGTCCAAGAGGGTGTCCCACTGCGGCGCGGTGATCTCGCCGGCGCTGAAGAGCATCAACATATGCAGGTCGGGCCTCGCGCCCAGGCGCCCCCGTCTCCGGCACCGCGACCTCGTCGATCAGCACCTGCGAGCCGGCGGACAGAGCCGGCGTGATGGAAGAGAGAATATGCGCCGCCTTGTAGTCGTTCCAGTTGTGCAGAATCGCCCTCAGGTAGTAGTATCTGGCTCCGGTCCAAATCTCGGGTCTTGTTAGCAAGATATTGCGGAAACAGTGGGAATAATATCTGCTAATCAGTTTACTGTTGCGGTGATGTTTACGCACGGTTCACAGGCTGCGGCTGGAAAAAGTCGTGCGCCATCAGCTGCATTTCCCTTGATGGCCGGGGCGCTGTCAAAGGTCTCCTCGCGATTCTGCACCACCACCCGGCCGGCCAGTTCCGGATGTTATGCCACCAGCCGTGCGGGCTGATGCTGGGTGTTGCCGCCAATGTCTACGAGGACGGGGTCTCGATGGGCGGCACTGACGCACGCGTCCAACGGGACAACATCCAAGCCGTTGCCTTTTTTAGGGACCTGTCACGAGCAAGCAACGGTCAATCGGTTAACTCGGTTCGATGAAGCAATAAACATAAACAAATGGTTCATACCCCCATCAGGCTCTGGAAGTCGGCCGCCACGTCCGGGCGCTTCTTGAGCCAAGGGAAGAGGCCCTTGTCGGCAGCCAAACCCCTGTGCAGCACCGACGCGCCGGACGTCTCGTTGCGGTACCCGTTTTCGCCCAGGTGGTCGGGCAGTGCCTGGAATGACGGGCGTGCTGATGGAGCGCAGCGGCGCCGCGATGCGCGCGTCCGCTAGCGTGCGCATCGTCTTGCAGGCGGCGTAACGGTCTGGTCCAATTCGGCCACGAACGGGTTCGTCGCTAGGTAGCGCGTGATGCGGCCGACTAGCTCCGGCTCGGCAACCGTCGGCTCGGCGAGCTGTGCCGATGACAGCGGCGTCTTCGCTCGCCGCCAGCAATGCGAAGAAAGGGGAACGGCGGCGGCGCCCGTAATCTTCCACCCCACCCGTTCAGCTATCTGCAGGAGGCTACATTCCCAGCCCAAGAGCACCATCGCCCGTCGAAGTCACGCCCACCAACACCGCCGCCCGTGACCGGGACAGAGCCCATCATCACGCCTCCCTCTTCGACAGCGAGTGCTCGGTCCGAGTCGGTTACGACAGAAGCTGCTGGACAACAGCACCCGTACGTGGCCGCCTGTATGCGGCTTATCGTCTCTTAGGAGACGAGCCTGGAGGCCGAGGACCTTTGCCCCGAGACGGCGCTCGTAGATGCCGGCGTCTCCCCGCTCATGTCGCTTACGCTACTAGTAGCTGACAAGCTCCAAGCGGAGCTGAGCGTCCCTATCAAGTAGTCGCTGTTCCTCGGGTGCGCCACCGTCGGGAACCTGAAGGGGTGGCTGATGAAGCATGGCTCTCGATGATTTGAGAAGCCAAACAAGTCTGTGTGTCTGGGTTGTGGAAGTGCCGATGGTAGGGCGAGTGGGAACCATTGGAAGGGAAGAGGGGGTTCTGCCTCGTAGCTTGATTGGATTGCTTCTTGTATTTAGCTAGAACAAGAGTGTCTTCTTGGCAAACGGTCAATGTGATGGTGAGACCGTATGACATTCAAAGGGGGTTCTTGATTCTAGAACGCCAAGATTTTTTTTGGCATGTTTGTTTACTGAAAAGGGGGTACGCGGCAAAAGGAGGGGCGCAACCAGGGCAGGCTTTACAGGCGAACAATAGATGACGGGACAAGGTGACGAGATAATAATGGTAGAAAGATAAGGTATTTCAGCTTTGTTTTGATTGATTACACACACTAGATTCACATTCTAGAAAGCAGGAAGGTGAAGTGTCTATAGATAGGCGTACACTAATTACGATGGACTGCAAGAACCCCTGCCTGACTGGCACACTTAGAATACCATCAAACAACCAGGGACCCTCTTCTACGTGACGCGCTGGGGGTCGTACTTGCGGCTGGCGGCCTGGAGCTTGGCGAGGATGTCCTTGCCCCAGACTCTGGTAGATGCCCTTTGTGTTGTCGGCGTAGTCGGCGTGGACGAACTCGAGCAGACAGCACTCGCGATGGAGCAGCCTCCGCTCGGCGCGCACAATTCGGACGCCGCAGTCGGGCATGAAATTGTTGGTCGCCGGGGTTTTCAGCCCTCGATCGACACAATATTGACGGAGAGAAAGGCGGGACTGAAGAGGAGTGGGTAGGTGAGAATGGCTGCGTGCTGATAAGGTACCAGGTAGGCAACGCACGCTATTCAACCTAGTACCGTGCCGTTGGCATGAAAGACATGGTCAATAGTCAAGAATACTCCACAGTGACTTAGAAACAGTGACTTAGAAACAGTGACTTAGAAACAGTGACTTAGAAACAGGGACTTAGAAACTCTCCCGAGTTGTGGCAGGGCAGTTCATGGATTGGCTGGATACGGACAGCACTGCAATTGCCTGAGCACATGCATGACAGAAGCGGGAACCAACAAGTAGAGGTTGGGCAGCAAGCAAAAAAGTGGAGAACCAACAAAGACATGAAGAGGCAGCAAAACGGGCTTTCATTCCAGCAGGTCAAGCAAGTTCTCGTCTCGTACGTACATCTTTCCCTACCTACCTGAGGCCTCTTCCCGGTTCATTTTCCCGAGACACGGGGGCTTGTCCGCTCCAACCACGACTCGCTCACGGTCGCAACACACGCCGTAGATCTGCTGGACAGCGGCAAACTGCGCCGCGTCTTCGCCGACATCGCAACCGTCCGCGGTGGCGTCGGCACGCCATGGTGGCGCAGGCGCTGGTGCTGGGCAACCAAGACAAGAAAAAGGAGATGACGCTCGTCAACCTCACAACGGTCGGCATCTTCTTCCCGCCCTTCCCGGCATGGGCGCCTACGTCAGCTCCAAAATGGTCGCCGTCAAGCTGCTGCAGGCCTCTGGGCCCGAGAACCCGCACGTCCGGATCCACCATGTCCACCCGGGCTTTCTCGACACCGCCAAGTCCGCCCAGCTGGCCAAGACCACCAAGCTGCCCTTCAGCTTCGACGACAGTACGTTATCTCTTCGCCTCCTCTTGATGGCAAACCCATATCGATCAGATTTTACCCCTTACTTCTCCCCAGTCTCTCCCCGCCGACTTCCTCGTCTGGGTCGTGTCGCCCGAGGCCGAGTTCCTCAACGGCAAGGTGGTGTTCGCCGCCTGGGACGTCGACGAGCTCAAGAATCGCGACAAGGAGACTGTCGACATCAACCCCTTCAACGGCGAGTTGTGGGTGGGCTCTCGGGCTTCCCGTGCTATGTCGGCGGCCATGCTCTTGGAGGGCACTAGATGTAGATGTCCATGGATGTCGGGATGGTGATAGGAATTGTCAGTAACACGTCACCTGGCATACGTGGGACACAGCCCTGCACCAAGGAAACACATACAATCAACGGCGGGCTGAGAGAGAGAAGCTGAATTCATTCCTAACAATGGAGGGTGGTAGTATAGCAACCTGCCTGTTCAGGCCTCGTCGCTGACCTTGATGATGACCTTGCCCTTTGCGTGTCCCGAGTCGACCCGCTCAAACGCCTTTTTGAAATCGGCAAACTCCCACACGCTGTCGACGGTCGGGCGCACGCGGCCCGCCTCAATCAGCTCGCCAATCTCGGCCAGGTTGCTGCCGAGCGGCTCGACAATGAACCACAGGGCCTTGGACAGCTGCTTCGTCATGCCCTCGGGCTTGCCGTACTCGGGCGGCGTGTGGATGCTGATCAACGCACCGCCCTCCTTCACGGCCGCCCAGCTCCCGGCTAGCGTCTTGCCGCCGATCATTTCGACAACCAAGTCGACCTCGCGCCCGGCCGGGCCGGCCGCCACCCACTCCTCGATGGACGTCTGCGTGTAGTCGACCACCTCAGTCGCGCCCAGCGCGCGCACCGCCTCCCCCTTGTCCCGCCCGCACACGGCCACCACCGCCTTCGCCCCGGCCAGCGCCGCAAGCTGCACCGCCCAGCTGCCGACGCCGCCACCAGCGCCCGTCACCAACACCCGGATCTTGGCGTTTTCTTTCCTGGCAGCGGCATCCCCTTTGATGGCCCGCGCGTCCAGCGTGCCCTGCACAAAGAGCGCCTGCCACGCCGTCAGCGCGCTCAGCGGCGTGGCCGCGGCCTCGATCCATCCCAGGCTCGGCGGGATCTTGGCGAGTTCGCTGGCCCGCGGGAGCGCGTAGTCGCGCGCCGCGCCGGGCCGCGTCGCGTGGATCCGGCAGTACACGCGGTCGCCCGGCGCAAATCCGCCCGGGTTCGACGCCGGGGCCGTCACGACGGTGCCCGCCAGGTCCTGGCAGGGCACCAGCTCCTTGTCGGCGGGGATCGCGTCCGTGAAGCGCGCCCAGAGGAGCTCGCCTGCGCAGGGGGCCGCCGCGTGCACCCGCACGAGGACGTCCTCGGGGTGGGTGGGCACGGGTAGGGGCGCGGTGGTGCAGATGATCTCGGTGGAGTCCCGCGAGACTTGAAGGAGCCTCTTCATGGTTTGCGGGAGGGTGGTGGTTGAGGAGGCCATTCTGGCGATGGGTTTGAAGGTGGTGTGTAGGGAGGAAGGAAGCGAGTCTGCTGCTTTGATATTGGGGAGGAACTGGTGGTGGCGCAGAGGTGTGATGAGACGAGGTAAGTTTGTTGCGCGGAGCAGGCTGGACCGGATGAGGCGAGAAGGCATGGTTTGTGAGAAGCAAAATCATCGCTGTGAGGAGACTGCCACTGCCTCCTTATATCGGTAGGAGTCACACTGCATCGCCGGAAGCCGGGTCCGCCGACTGCGGCTCTGAGCGGAGCAGCATCACGCAATAATGACCGACAAAGGGACCTCGTTCGGGCCTCGCAACACGTTTCCGGAGTAGCGCGCGACCGAGGAGCAACGTGAAAGCGTCTCGCTGTATACAGCGCATCCGCCCCCGCGTCGCCAAGTATGTTGGTTGAGTCAGCGGTGTTACTTGCATGACCGTTTCTGGGTTCGCAAACTTCGCATACATATACCAGCCTATGAGGTTTGTTGCCAACGACGTAAGACGGGCTGGGCGTTCTCCGACGGCCGACATGTCGGCCCAAGAAATCGGTGGTTTTTCCCGTCACTGCGGCAGAATCAATGCTGAGTCGCAGATCAGGGCGCATCAGTAACCTTATCATGATTTCGGATGTCCATGGTGACAATGAATTCCCAAACATATAGGCTTGTATTTTGCCCTGAGCAAATGTGATGCTTTCCATGGGTACCTGCTTGGCAGTGTGTGAGTCGAATGCCGAGCGGGGCAGTTCGGCTGGGTCTGGGAAACGTTCCTCGGAAAAACACCCTCGGGACATGCAGTGAAGCCTCGGTCGAGCTTGTGGGTTCCAACTCGCAAAAGCAACCAGGTGTAACACTTTGAGTTGCTTCATCGCTTACGGCTGAACATCATCGTTGGATACAACACCACATCGCTTCCATCATGACTCCTCGCCCCGTCCCGGAAGGAGGCTTGAGTTTCAGCCACCATCCCTCGGTCGCTGCGCTCAACATACCAGCAATAGACTTTGCCTCAGCACGCAAGTTCATCTCAGCCGCGGCCACTGGCGCCCTCGTTTTCTCGAGAGCCACTGGGGAAGACCGGGTCCTACTCATCCAGCGGGCAGCGCACGACTCGATGCCCCTGCGCTGGGAGATACCCGGAGGTGCCGTTGACTTGGAGGACGAGACATTGCTCCACGGCCTGGCCAGGGAGCTATGGGAGGAGGCAGGGCTGCGGCTCAAGAATGTGGTGCGTCAGGTCGGGGAGGAGCATGTCTTTCTGACCAGGAGGGGGCTTGCTGTGGCCAAGGTCACTTTTGAGGTCGAAGTCGAAACCCCGACGGCAGCCGAGTCTGAGGAGGAGGCTCTGCCTGAGGTAGTCATTGACCCGAACGAGCATGCCCGGTTTCTTTGGGCGACAGAGGAGGAGTGCCGACTGGGCAGAGTCGCGATCCACGGAGACACTGGAGAGAACGAGGTGGTAGAGATCACCTTTACTACGAAGGCCCAAAGGGAAGTTATCTTCCTTGGTTTCAAGCTCAGAAGAGTGGCGGCAAACTTGCCAGAATGATGAGACGAGGCACCTTCCAGGGCAGCGGAGCGATCCTACATCCTACCCTAACCCTTGATTCTAAGTCTCATTGGCAGCCCGCTTGACGTGGCGCTCAGTAACGCCTGTTAGTAAGGCCCAAAATCATGTGTGCCAAAGTTAATCTTCTCGACTTACCGCTCTTAACAGACGGTACAAGGAGTGCTGCCTGTCCTTGTTGACTTAAAGAGTTGCTGCCCCACTGTCAGCTAACCATGCGACGCGACGAACCTGGTTTTTTGTTTGGACCGCAAGATGCAAACAACTCGGCTTGAGGACGCCGGTTGTTCTTGGTTGCGCCAGGCCAACGTTGCAACCTAACACCACCAGCGATCAATGGCCGCACCGCCGGCGCCCTTTGATGGCGACGAGTCGTTCTTTGACTCTGCCCATCCCTTCAGGGGCGTTGTCGTCTGCTGCACTAGTGTGCCCACCGAGTTGAGGGTCAGTCAATCGTTTTAAAAGCCATCCACGCAACATGCTTAATCTGCAAGTTCAATGCCTAACTAATATTCCCTCATTCAGGCAGACATCGCAGCCAAGACGATCGAGCTCGGCGGACAGCACAAGTACGACCTGACCCCCGACTGCACCCACCTGATTGTTGGCGACTACGACACCCCCAAATACCGCCATGTCGCCAAGGAACGCCCCGACGTCCGAGTCATGGCCGCCGGCTGGGTCGAGGCCGTGCGTAATCTTTGGGTCGAAGATGCCGACATCGACTTCCTCGCCCTCGAGAAGGAATGGCAGCTACGCCCATTCGAGAGCGGTGGAGAGCAGACACTTGACGGTTCCGAGCCTCAGCGCCGAAGATTGCTCTGCTGCATGACTGGCTTTGAGGACCCGGACGAGCGCCAGCGGATTATCGACACGATCGAAGCCAACGGCGGGCTCTACACCGGGGACCTCACCAAGCGCGTCACCCACCTGATCGTCCACAAGCCCGAAGGGAGGAAGTACCAGGCTGCCAAGGCTTGGGGAGTCGCGACCGTCTCCGTCGAATGGATTACCGACAGCGTTGAGCGCGGCCTAATTCTGGACGAGAAGCTCTACGATCCTGTCTTGCCCCAACAAGAGAGGGGAGTAGGCGCTTGGAACAAGCAGAAGTCCCGCGTCTCGACATTGGGCAAGAGACTGAGGGAGAACACGGTTGCGCAGGAGGAAGGTTCAAAGAGGAAGTTGCGCAAGACTGCCAGCATGAAGTTGAACAGCCAAAGGGATAATCTCTGGGGAGACATTCTGGGCAAGCCACAAGCGTCAGAGCCTGTGTCTCCTGCGGTCCCCCAGCAGGTCGCACCACAGCCCGCCGCTATCCCACCTCCGAGAACCACGCAGCCCACGCAGCCAGCCGGCCACAAGTCGCTGGATACTCAGGGGTCAAAGCTGTCGTCGTTTGGCGTCCCTGACGACAGCGCAGTCTTCGCCTCATGCTGTTTCTACGTTCACGGCTTTTCAGCGCAAAAGACAGAAATACTGGTGAACACCGTGGCCTCCCTCGGTGGGTTAATCTGCCATTCTCTGGACGAGGTTGTTTCCACCTCGGGAGCCCAGCTGGCTCACCGGTTCCTGATCGTGCCACAAACTTCGCCCCCGGAAACCCACCCTCAACTCCCCGACAATGTCCACATCATCACCGAGTTCTACATCGAGAGATGTCTACACAAAAAGTACTTCTTCGATCCCTCCCAGCATGTCATCGGCCGACCCTTCCCCTTGTTTCCGATCCCAGGCTTCGAGGGTCTGTCCATTTGCACCGCTGGCTTCACGGGGGTCGATCTCAACCAGGTAGACAAGTCCATCCGGCAGCTGGGCGCCAAGTATGAGGAACGATTTACCGCAAATGTTTCTCTCTTGGTGTGCTCATCGCTGTCCGGAGTTCGGAAGCAGAAACTTGAACTGGCAGTCGCATGGAAAGTACCCGTCGTCAGCGCCGACTGGTTATGGGAGTGCATCTTTACCGGCTTCAAGGCCCCGATCAAACGGTTCCTATTCCCGGAGTTGAAACAGAATTTGGACAGCCCAAAGGTGCTGACGCAAGCCAAGGAAAAGGGAAAGGCCAAGGATATCGCCAAAGGCAAGCAGGAGAGACCGCCGAGCAAAGACCGCATCGACCAGGATCTTCTACCAAAGCCGGCCACCAAACTGAAACAGCGCCGCCACTTTGACGGGTCGGCGTTTGTGACCGCCAGGGCAGATACGCAGGAACCAGCCCAGCGCCATCGCAAGGGACTTGCGACCGCCGAACACGACTCTAATCTCACAACCACCACGCACTTCGAGACTGCGCCCACCCACGCACACCCGACCAACGACGCCACCGTCAGTTTCGGCAACAATACACTTCCGTCCGGCGGCCCCCTCTCAGAGACGTCCTCCAACTCACTCAACAAAACCCCTACGTCTCCACGGCGGCCTGGCCCCACGGCAGCGCGAAAGCCGATGAGTAGGATAACAAGCGTGGCCGACTCCGAAGCGACCGAGGGCGGTATCGACCAGCCCGACAACGACATGCCAGTTCAAGAACACGAAGAGAACATAGAGAAGCCTACAGCAGACCAGGAAGCGGACCGCCCAGACCCAGAAGCCGAGAAGAAGCGTCTCGAAGCTGAAAAGGCGGCAGCAGCAGCAGCCGCCGCCGCGGAACAGGAGCGCCTTGCCATCTCCACCAAGCTCGTCACCTCCCTCCTGGACTCGACCTCCGCCAAGCTAGGCATGACCACCACGGCGGCCTCCGCCCCGGCTAATTTTACCACACTTGCAGCCGGCTCCCTGCCGGACGGTCCATCCGACGCCGTCAGCGAAGAGAACCCACCCGCAGCGGCGGAGTCGGGCCCGTGGACAGGGACGGCAGCACCAAAACCACCCATGCCCAAGCGTCGCAAGCGAAACATACTCGGTCGCGCCGTCAGCAACGTGTCCGCCGCTAGCAGCACAAGCGAGTCGTCGTCCGTCCCGTCTGCCGCTGTCGGTACTAGCGCTACCGCCGCTGATGTTGCTAGAGGAGCGGATCCTGCGACTGGTGGTGACGGTAGTGGTGGTGATGACGCCGCGCCCGCGGCGACACAGCTTGAGTATGAAGACCCGGAAGCGAGGCGGTACAAGGAGCAGTTGATGTGCAAGATGCTGGGCAACACGGCCGCTGGCGATAGTAGGGATTCCTTTTTTGCAACTGCAACCAGGCAGCAACAGCAGGAGAAGCTGACGCTGGCTGAGATGGGCGGCTATGCGAATGACTTGCTGCAGCGGTTTGATGCTGTTTCGAAGGGGGGGGGAAGGAAGACAAGACGGAGGTGAGTATCGCTATGATGCTGGAAGTGTCCCGGTGAGTGGAACCATGGCAAGCTCGGAGTTTGGACGGGATGGGAGATGGGGAAGTTTCCTTAAGGTATTTGTTGGTGGGCGTGGCAAGGGAAAGCGAGCGAACATTGAGCAAGGCAGCATCTTAGGCATCTGAGGCATCTTAGGCTTCTGTTAGGGTATGGTTAGGCTAGAGTCACGGCAGGATTATGACCGCAATGTGGTTTAGGTTATCTTTATTCCACTTCCCACTTGAGTGTTCAGGGTGGAATGTGTCAGGCGTTTAGGGAAGGTGACGAGCCAAATGAATGAAGAGAGGGTCGTCCGTCATGACAGACTGACTGTTTGGCAGAGTAAGCAGATACAAGAATGATCGTATCAATCCCGATTGACGCGTCCGCTCTCTCTCTCCTTGGGTAACTCCCAACCTCAGCTGATGCTCGTAGTTCATTACATGTACACATGTTTTCCGTGAGAATGAAATACAGTGTGTCAAGACACCTGGAAGAAAACAGTCTCTAAGCGGCCCCAACTCTGACCCTTGTCCTTTAAAGTATACAGAACGAAGACATGCAGCAGCTGATCAGAGGTGAGCCGCAGCCCCTGTAAGGACGCTCAGCAGTGTCGCTGCAGCACCGCTAACGCCAATGGCACCAGCGGCCTCCTTCAGGGCACTTCTCCTGGGCTGTCGTCCTTCTTCGGCGCGGCCTCGCGGGTCACGGTCGCGATCCTTGTCTCGATCCCTCTCCCTGTCCCTTTCTCTCTCCCGGTGCCGATCCCGGTCACGGTCAGGGTGTCGCTTCGAGGAAACGCGATGGTCCGGATCCCGAATCCGATCCCGGTCCCGGTCTCTCTCGCAATCCTCATCCCTGTCCTTGGTCGTCCTCTCGCGATCCCCGTCCCTGACCCTCGATCGGTTTCTGGATCTCTCTTTGGACCTGTCCCGCCTCGTTTTGTTGTCCCTGTCTCGCTCCTTTGGCCAATCCCGCTCGCGGTCCCTGTGCTCACGACGCCTGTCCTGCTCTCGAGGGTCTCGAGGGTCCCGCCGGGCCCTATCCGGGTGGTGCCCGGGAGGAGAGATCTCCCTCGGTCCGCTTCGGTCGAAGCGCACATGGTTCGGGTTCTTGTTTTTGAGGATCGGCTTGGGCGCCACCGTGCTGGAAGGGGAGAGACTCTCTCCGTTGACGCTCCCTGGCGGGGAGACAATGACGGGACGGCCCTGGGTCCCTCTCTCGTCATCCTCGCTGTCCGGGTGCTTGCTACTCCGGTTCGAGCTGCGGTCCTCTGGTGTGTAACGGTGACGATTGGTGCTGTGTCCTGCTTTTCGGCTGGCGTCGTCCACATCACGGGATGATTCGCTATCGCTCGGATCGACGGTGGTTTCTGAGCCGTCGTCTCTTGCCGAGTCCCGCGGTCGTCTCTGTCTATATCGATCAGCGTATGTTTCCTGACGAGGTCGGTTCCGTTCGGTTCTGTCGCGGCCCCCGGCCCCTCTCGCCGTTGGAGACAGGTTTCTCGCGTTGCGCACTTCCAAACTCCTCATCGCGTACTCCTCGATTTTCTCGCGTGTCAAGACGCCAAGCACGGCAACGAAATTGGGCCGAGCTTCGTAGCGTACACCAGCCTTCTCCAGCACTTCGGGAGACACCAGCTTGCGGTCGATCTTTGTCCACGTGGCGTCTAGAGGAATGGTTTGTCCCTTGCTGTCGGGCGCCAAGTGGCTGGGCTGTCGCGGCAAAGACGGGTACTTGGGCATGTCATTGCCGGCTGCGGGGGCCGAGGCTGGCAGCGTTGCGAGATCCCAACCAGTATCCGAGGAGGAGATGGCCAAGCTGGTGCCATAATTGGGTGGTGATAAGCCTGGAGAAAGAGCGCCCGGGTATGCGAGCCCGGGCGGTTGAGCGTCGTGCGAAGGGATAGAGATTGGCTGGGTTCCTGGTGGTAGATATCTGGTATTTGGTGATGTGCCGGGGGAGATGACGTGAAAAGCGGGCCGGATGGGCAACAAAAGCGAGGTGCCAGACAGAGCGGTAACTCTCTCAGCTGAATAACGATCAAGAATCATGAGGTCTTTCGTCGAAATGAGCGCCGTGTGGGATGAAGAGCTTGCTTCAGCACTAGATGAATCTGACGAGGTTTCCTGCTCGAAACTCAACTGGGGCGGAAGCCTGAGAGCGTCCGGGGAGCGAGGCCGGGGGAAGAGCGGCAGGACATCACGCTTTTCTGGCGTGGGCACCCGCCTCCGACATTCGTTGCTGAGAGGGCCGGTGGCCGAATTAGGCCGCGATCCCCTATCGTGGATTGGGTACGACCCAGATGCAACAGGCATTGGCGGTCGGGCATCCCACTCCAGCAGCCCCCGGACTGAGGGCGGTGTCCCGCCACCGAGGGGTTGGTGAGACTCAAGCTCACGAATGTATGCACGTAGGACCTCCTGTGAAAAATGAATTAGCTCATGTGGTGGAGAATGTCTGGAGCGGTATGCCTGGAGAAAGGGGGCACCGTGAGGCATACCTTGTTTCTGCGCAGCACCTCAGGCGCGAAGCCCTCCTGCTCCAACTCGGACTTGAAGCTCCGCCATAGTTCGTCTTCGTCCACCTCTAGCGGTGACTGGTCCTTCCTTTCACGATACAAGCGTCTGGCAATGGTATCAACCTTGTCTTTGATCATGTCCATCTGTTGAGCGTCGATGTTGTTGAGCACGCGCTGTGTCTGGGCGGTGTTGTGCAATTGGATGGTGTCGAGGAAGATATCGATCTTCAGGGTCTGGGAAATCATATCGGCCCGGGTGAGATCAATCTTGCGAGCCCTCTCTGCCAGATCCGAGTCCCTTCTCGCAACGCCTGACTCAAGATCGAAGTTGCTAGCCCCGTACCTCTCGAGAATGGTGCTGGCCTTCTTGAGAGCGAAGTCACTGTCCTCGACGAGCGACCTCAACTGCCGAGTATAAACCGAATTCTTGGTCCCGACGTCGGCAGGGTCACACTGGTGGAGGGGCGAGTCTCGATCGTGTGCCTCAGAAACCAGGTGCTGAAGCGCAGTACGCAAATTGCGGACGGCTATAGCCAGGTCGACGAAATCGGGGCCAGCATCACGGACGTGTCGATACAGTTGTCGTGCGAAAGCATCGATGGACTCGATGCTGGGCATTTCATGGGTTGTGGCTGTCATGGAGTGATTCCACCCTCCGTCTGAGTCGAAATCTGCCTCCCAATGAGCCCCGGGCCAACTGGCCTCAGTAACACTGTGGAAGATGCGCAAGCCAGGAGCCAATCTGGTAAACTCGGGGGCAGAGTCCCGACGGACGCCAGTCAAAGAGGCTTAGGTGAGTAAGAAGATGATGCTGATGTGGGGGGCGCAGCAACAGATGGGCGCAGCAAGACCAGGCAAGAGAAGGGGAGCAGAAGACTACGGGAACAAGCACCAAAGGAGGCTCTGAGAAGTCAAGGAGTCAATCATGCTGCCTAAGGAGAAGGATGGCACTAATCATTGATCACCTGGCGTCGTTCGGGCTGGAAGCCGCTGACGAATCGCGAGAGAGATCGACACCATCGTTTTGTGTGGGGCGCCGGTCGGCTTCCAAGCAGCGACCTAAGGTACTGTATGTATGTCATCCAAGAACATGCATGTGGCACTAGCGGCCCCGAGTCTCTTCCCACGAGGCTCAACGTGGGGCTCTTCCGTGATCGTCTGTGGCAACGAAGCAGTTTCCGATGAAATTTCGACGAATGATGGACCAAAACACGAAGCAGCGGGCGTACTTGGGGGCTCTTGGCAATCTTGCGCAGGCCCCGTACTACGAAGAGCCCCCAAGTATCCGTATGCTTGGCAACAACCATCAGAAGACATCAGGTGGGAGAGTCAGGGAAATTGAGAAATTGCCAAGCTCAACCCATTCTTTTCAGATATCCATGATTGATGGTGGAAAATATGAAGCCTTACGCAAACCGACACGATGAATAAAGTGCGTGTGTGCAACAAGGAAACTTCAGGGTGCAGGAAACGAATGGCGACTGACGTCTGATGGTTGCAAGCGCAAATCCGCGAACAGTTCGTGTAGGGCTCTAGGATAGGGCTAGCCAATGGTAGTCTCGCTCCCTGTCGGGCCCGCAATGACGTCCCCGCCAACACCAACGAGCCCTGGCAAGCGGGGCAACCGAGACCCTGGAGCGGCTTAGAGCTGCGCCACCCGCTTACAGCCGAACCGCTTTACAAGTCATGTTCATCCAAACTGATCGTTTCTGCAATTATCAGAGACAAGCGCGGAAAGTTACTGTGGTAGAGGCTGCCCTCAGCTCTGTTCGTTGTGTCAAGTGGCAGCTTTCATGCTGCCAACGTAATTGTCCTGCGAACTCTTACCGCCGATCCAGTTTGCTAGGTGACTCGGCTGTATCCATTTGCCCTCCCGAGCCTCCTTATTCGTACAGCCCTGAGATGTGCTCCAGTCAGGCCCTTATGTCACAGGCAAAAAGAGCCGAAGCTCCGAGCCCTGGGCGGAAACATTTCCCATTATCTCTGACAGCCGGCAAGGAAGGCTGTAAGGTGCGGGGACGTTACGCTCCAGTGATGGGCTTCAGGATGCTGTTTCTGATACGTCTTGAGGTCATTGAGGATCGTCGCTCTCCTGCTTCGTTTGGGGTAGCACGGGGATGCTCAGGTGCTGGTCAGTGAGTTCGGGCGGAGTCACCTCGGTATCGCAAATCGGGCCAAGGTGGAAGCTTCGCATTCAGTTGCATCATTTCGCCATCGGCTGCTCTACGCACCTAGTCGAGCAAGCCACCTCACCGCTTCATATCAAGGAACTGGGCGTCACCCCTGCAGATGTGTTGTTTTGTCCGTAGCAAATACAGGATAACATGCGGGATGCATGTTGCTATGTCCGCGGATCTCGAGGCGCCTCCAGCCTTATTTTACTGTCCACAAACAGAGCCTAGATATGCTAGCCTGAGGTCAAACAAGGCCTCATGGGGACTCGCCCAAGACGTCCTCTAATACATTCCTCTCAAGTACACAGGCTATCTGTCGCTCCGGCGACGTTCCAAGAGATGGAGGGATCACAGCATTGCGGCTAAATGGTACCCTAGCAAACGGCTTATGTACGCCCATCATGACATTAGCCCCGTGGTCTCGGGAAGTTGCAAGCCCTCTTTTGCAGGCTCAGCGGCCCGCCTCCTGAACGACAAGTGCACAAGCTCCACCAAGAAGAGTCTCCTCTGATATCCGATGCACCGAATAGACACCCCGCTTCTTGCTGATAAAGTGGCCAATCTGCCGGCTGCTCCGAGGGACCACCTCGCCGCCCGACCTAATCCTTTCGGTAGAGATCTTGGTATCCGTCTTGAGCCCCAGCGGCAGTTCCTTCGTTGCGTGTAACGACACGGCCTTGCCTCCCTTCGCCGAATCGGACCCAAGCGCCTTCCTGGCCCTCTTCGCATAGCTGACGGCCTCTGCTAAAGCGCCCTGGAGACGCACGGCCTCCATGATGCCCTCCAGCGCAACGCTAACCTCGGCTTGAAACTGGCTGAAGAAATCGGCAGAGTCCTCCTGACTGCGTGAGCTTGCCAGCACGGAATCCGACGCCATCCAGCCAGCCAAGCCTACTGAGTCGATACATCTAGACATGAGATCTGCAATAAGCTGAATGCTCCCGTCAGGCGGTGCCTCGATCTCGTCCTGGTCGGCGCGGGTCCTGTCAAGGTATCGAGTTGTCCAACCATCTTTGATGAGTTCAGCCCGCAACACGTTCATCAGACCAATAATTTCCTGGGGCGTGAAGAGGCGCCGCAAGCTTTGGACAGTCGAGACTGGTGGACATGCCGCCAGTTTGCTGAAAGCGACCCCCAAGCCCCGGGCGCGATGTCCGCCAAGATAATGTTCCGTGATCTGCAACTCTTCGGCTGCCCGGTCAAGCTCCATGCTGATAACCTCGTTCTCTTGATCATAGATTTGATCGCCGTTCTCCGTAAGCCGCATCTGCAGAGTTCTGGACGAGTCTTCGAACAAGCCTAGGCTGCGCAGCAAGAGCTTGATAGAAGACACCAACTCGGTCGACCCAAGCTGCGTTCCAGAGAGGTAGCCCAACAACAGCTCCATTGTTGGATCGATCTCAGCCAAGAGCACAGGAATCTCCTCCCCGATCATGTCTTCAACCTGATCCACCTCTCGGACTTCACCCTTAAATGCCGACTTGATGTTGGAGGTCAACAGGTGCCCAGAATCAACAAGGTAGTTGAGGACGTTGCTTTCAGGGAGGCGACAGGCCAACCGCGGAGTCTTTGAATCCTGAGCTTGAGCGTCCCAGGTAAAGATTCGGTTAATAGCATAGAAGACCCATCTCCTATCGACACGAGCATAGTCAGCTCTGGACGACGGCCATACCCACTCTGGAAGCTGAGTTGGTTCAGTTGTTCCATTGACAATGCCCCTCTCGGCATCACCCTCACTCTCTTTGACTGATATCCTAAAAATCTCTGCCAAGAGCGCCTCCCAAGAACGGAGATCGTTGTTGCGGAGGAGCTTGTCGGCTTGTGCTGATTTCGTCCGCCATTCGAGCGAAGCATCAGACGATCCCGGAAAAGGGTCTGCGACGAGGGCGGAGGCGGTATGATCGGCTGGCGCTCGCTTCCGCACAGTCTGTTCCCGGGGGATGCCCCGTCGGATGGCGTCCGCCAACAGGCCTTCTGCACGGCGCTTCATTGTCCGATTTTTGGGCGCTTCTATTTGGATGGCAGTGAGATTTGCCCCGCGAAGGCCAACAGCAATCTCCCGGCTTGCAAAGTAAGTGACGAAATTGAAAGGAATGCTCTTATCCCCGGAGGTCACAGTGTCCAAAGGGGCAGTTGCCTGGAGTGACCGGTAGATTGGGTTGTAGACCGAGAACCCATCGGCTGCTGAAGCGAGGACCGATGTCTTCGACAACCGGAGAAACGAGGTAAGGCCCACAACTTGCAGCTTGTTCTCGAGTCGGGGAATGCCATTGCTGAAGGTAAATGTGCTGATTGTGCCGTCAGAGCGCGCCTGTAAGGTCCCAAACCTGACATCCAGCTGGAAGCCGGTGCAATTTGCTTCGGCGGACAGAGGCGCGACAAACACGGAAATGAGACGCTTGTTGTTCGCCTGCCGTGCTTCCCTCTCTGACGGCAGAGCGAGGACATGCAAGTGTCGTCTTCGGGACGCCCTGTCTGAGGTAATCAGGATGAGGAAGTCGGGATTGAAACCGTCGCGGTGAATCTTCTCTTGGAAGACGCCAAAGAGCTCGGGTCTGCCGCCGAACATTCCATCAATTACATCTGCGGCCAATGTGGGCTGAGCAAAGTCGACTTGAAGACTCGGCTTACGCCCGGAAAAAGTTTCCTCGGAAAGAAGAGACGGCGACGTCCGCCAACGCTCCTCTAGCGTCTCTCCATTCAGACCCAAAACCGTTCCGTCAGCGGCCACGACGACTAGGTCATGGTAGCCAAACTCTTCGGTTATAAGCTTGGTAATTGGACTCCGCGGGGAACTGGCGAAAATGTTGACGATAGACGCATCACAGCGGAGGGTATGGGCCACTTGTGACGTGGTGGTCGTCCCAGCCTCAGAGATCTCCTCCTTGAACAGCTTGATTTCTCGCTTCCCAGAGGCAGAGGAGGCATCGATGGTTGAAAGCGAAACATAGGTATACCGTGTTGCTGTCTTGGACGAGGCCGGTCTCCAGCGGAGCGAGTACGGTGCGCAGGTGAAGACGGAATGGGGCGAGACCAAGTAGGATGTGACAGCCTGGGAGGAGAGGATCTAAAGAAGAGTCAGCTTGTAAAAAGTATACGGCAAAAGACGATGTATCTGACGTCGTAGAGGTAAACCGCGACACCGTCAATGGCTACAGCAAGCTCGCTCCTCTTCCGCCGCTTGTCATGTTGTTTCTGGCCGAAAACCTCTCCAGCGAGATAGCGACCAGGGCCGTCGGGGCGGTCGAGCGGGCGCGGAAGTGCCTGCAGCACATATGGCGTGTGTATTTGGAGTTTAGCTGCCATGTCTAATCCCCGCGAGATTGCGAACTGACTGATCAGAAAATTATTACGGCGAACGCCATGCCATGGCTGGGACCTCAGAAAGCTTCGCTTGCAGAAAATGCGGCCGCTAAGGCCCACTGGAAAAAAAAGTGGATCTGCAAAGAGCAAGGTCGGTCGGTAGATTATTAATCCAAGTTCCATGCCCCACAACGGTCCACTTGAGACTGCAGCACGGTGATGGCATGTGCAAGTGGGGCCAATGTCCCGGAATTCAATCCCAGCACGCGACGCGGGTTCTGGAACGCGTCCCGAGAACAGAGCCGCGAGCGAGCGAAGGCAGCAGCTGTGAAACCAACACTGAACAATGACAAGTCATTCACTTTCTTCTCCGATCAATAACTTGTTGTAACCTTATTTTCGGTTTTTCATATCAATTTCAAACCTTTCTTCGACCATTCAATGCTTCCCTCACCAAGCATGAAACCTCACGCTCGCATTCCCTAAGCCCAGCATATCAACGCCGTACGCCGTAGGTTATTTTCCCCCATTGTTACCATCTGGGCCTGTCTTCGTGGTCTCGATAGTGCAGCACGGAGAATTAATTATTATCGCTTGTAGTCTGGGCACCTCACCCATGGGTGCTCTTGCCGTGCTCAACATGGCTGATAATGCCCCGTCAACGGACCCCGCAACTCGCCGACCAGTGCATCCGTTCTTCGCACAGAAGCGCACAACTATTCCTATAGCAGATGAGCACCTCGAACATAACGCATCGACTTCAAGCGGCAAGCCACCGGATGGCAACACTGACCCGAACCCTGCGGCTCGGCGCGGCAGACGGCGCAAGGCCGATCAACAAACAAAAAAGGAACAGACAGACATGAATTCACGGCCCAGGAAGCGTACGAGAAATTCGGCAGGCGAAGACATCCAAAACCATTTCGTGAACTTGGCTAAAGGGAGAGAAAGTAAAATGCCAAACGACACTGAGAGCGAAGATGCTGATATTGTATCGCCCACCACCCTGTCGCCATCGCACACCGTGAATGGAAATGATCATAGCAACAATGACCCTTCTACCGATATCCCGGGGGGTGAGTCCCCATCAGGCGAACAAGACGCACCCCAGGCAAATGGCTGCATTTCCAAGACGACCCCAGCAGCGCCGGCAGCAGAGGCCAGCCCGGTCAAGCCGAAGAAACTCTTGCACTTCAACCCAAAAACTGGCACGATTGGCTCACCTCCGAAACCCAAAACGTCTAGGGTTGCTGCGGAGGAACCTGGCGATATTGGAACAAAGCCAGCTGGCCGAAGTGGCAGGAGACCAGCATCGAAGATTGTGCTCATCCCATACGGGTCAGACCCAGAGAGTCGCGCCAGGCTCGGTGGCTTAATCAACACCATCCTCAACCGCCAAGCACAGCAATCCGATTTCGATCCAAAACAGCGGTCAAAGGGAGGCAAGACATATTCGGCAAAGGGCCGCAAAACAACTTCACCAAAGGCTTCCAAGGTCACTCATCCTTTTTTCCTGGGTCAGGCCAAGAAAAGTGGTCCTGCTCCTGCAGATACTCAGCCCAACAAGCTCACTTCCGATCAGCCCAAGGCTCAAACGAAGCATTTCAGTTCGACACCATGCTCGCCCAGAAAAGCCCGAACTGGACCGGCACCAAAGATCCCAATGCCCCATATCGGCGTCAAAAGCTTGGGCTTGAGATTTCCTGGTGCCAAATTGCCAGCTTGGCCATGGAAGGGCATGGTACACGCGCGAGGAGACGATGCTGAGATATTCAACCATGACATTGGCATGATGTCTCTGCGTTCACGGAGGTCCAAAGGGAATGCCGTAAAGATCCCCCTGAATGAGTCGGTCATCAGTCTCGTCACCCGGTCAATTGACGTCCCTGGGATGGAAGTGGCGGCGCGCAACATCAACACAGATGAGGCCATTCCTCCTCCCCCTGAACTTCGCCTCCCTCAAAAGCACTTCGAGAGTGGAAGCAAGCTCCAGTCTCGAATCTTTCCTGAGCTCAAGACTTTCCGGTTATCTCCTCCAACAAGAAATTTGACGCCGCACCAAAGGTCCTCCCAGGAGAATGATGGAGCCATACGAGTGCCACCCCAACTCTCCCGTCTCTTCAATTCCATTCCGTCTTCACTGTCGGCATTTGACATGTCACAGTGTGAGACAGCTACTTGGGCCCAAAAGTATGCTCCGACAAGCGCTGTCGAAATTCTTCAACCGGGACGTGAGGCATTGCTCCTGAGGGACTGGCTTCAGGCATTGATGGTACAGTCAGTAGACACAGGCTCGGTGGAGTCTGAGAAATCAATGGCTGGGTCAAAGGCAAAGGGTCCAGGTGCTGGTAAGAAGAAGCGGAGGAAAAAGCAGGATGGCTTCATTGTCTCTAGTGAAGACGAGGACGACGAGCTGCATGATTTGTCAGATGAGGATGATGCTTGGGCTCCTAGTGGGAGTCGAGGCATCCTCCGCAAGACAGTCGTCCGGTCGGCAAACCAGGCCAGGGGCACCGCAAACACGCTGGTCATAAGTGGGCCCCACGGCTGCGGCAAGACTGCTGCAGTGTATGCAGTTGCCAAAGAGCTCGGTTTTGAGATTTTCGAGATCAATGCAAGCAGTCGAAGGGGCGGCAAAGATGTGTTGGAGAGGATTGGCGATATGACCAGGAATCACCACGTTCAGCAGCACCAGTCCATCACCGTGCCCGACGAGGAGAGCCCTGCAGCCGAGGATAACACTGCAAAGGACATCAAAACAGGCAAGCAGTCCACCATGCAGGCATTCTTCAAGACCAAAACTACAGGAAACAAAGCCAAGCAGTCAGCGGGGGTCGCGGCCAAGGGCACCCAAAGCGAAGCCAAGAAAGAAACCCCCAAGACTCAGCGTCAGTCATTGATCCTTTTGGAGGAGGTCGACATTCTCTACGACGAGGATAAGCAGTTTTGGACCACAGTCGTTGGCCTCATTGCACAGGCCAAGCGACCGTTCATCATGACCTGCAACGATGAGACACTTGTGCCCCTGCACACCTTGAGACTTCACGGCATATTTCGATTCAGCACCCCACCGAGGGATCTTTCAGTTGACCGTCTGCTGCTCATCGCGGCGAACGAAGGCCACGCCCTATCGCGGCAGTCTGTGGAGCAACTCTACGACTCTCGTCACCAAGACCTCCGGGCTGCCACAATGGACTTGCAGTACTGGTGTCAGATCGGGGTGGGTGATCGCAGGGGCGGCTTTGACTGGTTCTACCCCCGCTGGCCAAGGGGAGTCGACCTGGATGAGAACAAAGAGGTCGTCAGGGTCGTCAGCCAGGACGCATATCGGCCGGGAATGAACCTTCTGGGACGGGACAGCATTGTGGACCCTACACAGTCTCCGAGGAGGATGGAAGAGGAGGTCCTCCACCAAACCTGGCACCTGTGGGGCCTTGACGTTGGGGACTGGCAGGACTCGGTGGGATTGGAGTCTTGGGCAGAGGGTCTAGGGTCCGGTCTTGTGACCCCCTCGGCTGATCGGCTGTGTATTCTAGAAGGCTATGGCTACCTAGCAGATGCCATGAGTGCGGCAGATATATGCTCTTTTAAGGCATTTGCCGCATTCACGGAGGTGAGTCGCCCATGCTTGGTGTCGCATTTGTGCTGAGCTAACTCAGAATATCACAGGAAGCAATGGACACCACTCAACCGGAGCTGCTAGCCAAGGCTCGGGAGGACTTTGTACTGGGTATCACACATCTCGAAACGCCAATTATGACTCATCACGACACCCTTACGACGTCCATCGCTTTCGCAGTCAAGTCTCTCGCCAAATCCTCACTTCAGCTTCACACTGAGAGACTTTCACGCCAGCCAGCCCAGGCACTCTCTGCTCTCGATGAAGGCCGGGCCATTCAGTGCCTCCAAGCCAGCTTCACAACGACTCTGCCTGGGACTCCAGCGATCAATCGCATGGACTTTGCGTTTGCTTTCGACCCAATTGCGACTGCCGACACGTCTCTGCTGCAACCAATGTCCTACCTCGAACCCTCGGTTTTCGACCGGACCCTGAAGATCATCGCCCTTGATGTTGCACCGTTCGTTCGGGGCATCGTCGCCCACGACTCGCGCCTCCAGCGACAGCGGCTCAAGATGAGCAACCTTGTGTGCGAGGGCGGCAAACCTTCCCAGGGGACCAAGCGGATGCGTACTACGAGATCGGCGTTCTCGGCCCTCGAGGGCGGGTCAAGGAGCACCACACGAGGGGAGAGATGGTTTAAGGCGGACATGAACCAGTACTTGGTTGCAAAGACGGCTGGTGAGAGGTGGAACAGCTTTCGACCTGGTGGCCTGGAGACACCAGAGAAATCGGTGAGGGGCTCGGCGAAAGGCTCTCCCAATACTTCTTCCCCAGATGTCACTCCCACCAAAACAATGAAGAAGGCTGTGCTGAAAAGCGGGAAGCGGAAGATGGCCCTTGGGGATGATGACGAGGCCGACGAGCTTGGTTGCTGATGATAATTTTTGGGCCTGGTCTCCTGGTGAGCTATGGAAAACAAAGCGAGCTACATACGAGTTAGCATCTAAGGACAATGAAGATGAGCTGATGAACCTAATGGCCGCTTGCGGTGCTGCAGTGGCTTTCCCCGGTCGTCCTGTTGTTGTGCTGATGTAATTCGTCCATACCACGGCCTCTTGTTGCGAGGGTTTGACACCCTTTTCCAGATGAGATGTGTCAATGACCGAGAAGACGCTCTCGTTGCAATCAAGCCTCTCTATTGTCACCAACTGTTAACGTTAAAACTACACAATCAGGTCGCTGAGAGAGGTCCTGTACCCACAAAAGCTCCCGATCCCTGTCTAGCCAAGTGCATGACATGAGCGCTCAGTGATGTAACCAGCCATGTCCATCCTCATATCGTTTCGCCCCGCCCATATTGAATGGTGCCCGCCTCAACTTCGCCTCAACTTTGAGGGCGACTCTCGGTAGACGTACACAACCTCCCCAGGACGATCTTCGTCGTAGTATCTAGGCTGTGAAAAACTCGAGACGCTCGACTCAGCTGCAGATCCCGCATTGGACGAAGACCTCTCGAGGAGGTATTGGGCCCTGAAAGACGGCACCAGCTTGGTGGTAGCGACAGGGCTGCTTGGTAGCAGCAGGGCTGCTTGGTTTCAGCATGTACCTTTTCGGAGCAAGGCGGCAGTACTGCTCGGTTGTCGGACGGCGTCCAGAACGTTCGCGGCTGCCGGCTCGCCCGTATGACGGCTCGACGTATCGGCCTACTCCAAAGTCACGATGGTCGCCGCTCCTGCTGCGGTCATGGCTGGCAATAGATCCGCGCCGGCTTCTCTTGTCTCTTTCTGTATCCCATGCCCGGTCATCTCGGCAGCGCAAGTACCTGCCATCTGACCCCTCTCCCTCATCTCCATGATAGTAGTCCCCCTCTCCTCCCCTCGGTCTCCTTCCATCAGGCCGACATCTCCGACAAGGTACAAGTTCCTGATTGTTCCAGCAGCCATGGCCCGCGCCGGCAACCACTCCATCACCAGCTTCCCACCGAGCAGACTTCTTCTCGGCCTTCTCTGCCAGCCGCCTCTGCTTGGCGCGCAACCCCAGCTCCGACAGCTGCCAGTCCTCCCTTTCGCCCTGTGGGAAGCCCTTGGGCCAGTACTTGTGTGCAACCAGCGTGACGGCGGCGATGGAGCTGAGGAAAAGGTAGGGAATTCTTCTGTTGGCCTTGGCCTCGGCATCTGCCTCGGCATCTTCTTCGTTGCCAAGTCCGAGTGTGGATGGCCTGCTGCTGCGGCTGCGGCTGGTAATGTACGAATTTGAGCGGGAGAGGAAGGGCGAGGAAGCGGTGGAGGGAGTCTGCGGAGGGGTGGAGAGGGCTGGCATTCTGTGTTATGGAGGTGGGATGTGTGGTATGCGTGCTGTCAGACAAACAAGAACAAGTGCCCGCCTTCAATCTTTGGACTCGCCCTGCCATAAGGTTGTGTCTTTCTTTCATGCCAGACTCGGTCTCGATCACAGAACTGCCAAGGGTAAGTCGGAGCGGGTGAGAAGGAAAAGAAGAGGTCCGGGAATACGTTGCGTAGCCTGATCGTAGGTGGGCCGCAAAGATGGGCGCCGTCTGCGACAAGTCGAGATGACAAGGCAAAGTCGGCCGGGGTGTTTGATGCTGTGCCGTGCGTAATGAAACGGGGGCGAGGGCTCACTCGAGCTCTCCTCCAAGATAGCAGCAGGCCGGGCCAATGGGCCGGGCCAACGACTGTAACTGGGAAGGCAACCGCGCATTACCGGAGTTCACATCACTCGTGTAGGTACACAGTAGTTCCGGATCATTGGAAGGGCTATGACCGCCGGGACATACAAGGTCCTCAGCGCCTGGAATGAGAATGGAGATTTGGATCGCCAATGTGATGGCGTGGAGTCCCACTTCAAAGTGCTCATGTGGTCGTTCTCGAGGTGACGGGCCATCGGAGTCAAGCGAAACAAATATGGCCGACCCTTGCCACGGAAAAGTGAACGAAACAGAGCTGACGACACACCTACAGTACCTTATCTTCAATACGGTACCGGGGGAAGGTCGACATGTTTGGGGCAACGGTCAAGCGCTGTGGGTATGTACTGAAGAACTTGTTACTGGCCGCCATGCAGCCAGGAAACTTGGCTTCGGGCCCGTCAAACAGTGGGTCGATAGCCGAGGGTGGCCGTAACCTCATTCCAATCTTTTTCCGGCAACTGCGTCCTGTCCTCCAACCAGTACATCGACTGGGCGATCTATTATAAGGAGCAGTCGAGGAGGATATGGGCTGCATAACAGATCAGATGAAGCGGTCCTTGCCACAAGAATGCTGCAGTGAAGGAATGGACGACCGTTCCACCTGCCGTCTTAAACGATTGCCGAAAGAAACTGTTAACAGACAAGTTGAACCTGAATCTAGCACTGAATTTGACTTGGACAACATAAGAGCATTGGGCCCCGTCCCACCCATCAGGCCCGCGCCCAGAGATTTCCAGTCGTTACTCTGCTATATATTCCAGTAGTTTTGGCCTCCCTCCGCCCTCACCCCATCATTGATCCATGGATCTCGTCTCAGAGCTCCGTCTTTTTGACGTCTGAGCGTGGCATGTGTTTGGAACAGAGCTAGCCCAATTCCCTCTCCATTTGTCCCTTCAGTTGCGATCCGATCATCCGCCCGATCTGGCAATCTTCGAGTTTCCAGTGCCCCACCGATTCGAGACACAAAAACGCGTCGCTGCAAACTCGGAACAACGCACTCCCAAGTCAGTTCTTCGCGAAAGACACTGCTCAGCCTTGGACTCGGCCGCGGCGTCAGCGACGAGAGTATCAGGAGAGTTTCTCCTTTTTCGTGCTTTCGGCTCCTCAGCATGTCTCGAGGCTCGAGCATGTCGAAGCCACTGTTATGCCCGACTCCGCAGTGCATCGGCGCCGCCCCGCTCTCGGCATCCCCAGCTGCTGACTCGCTGCGACCAACCCACAGTCCATGACGAATGACGCAGTCGCTTGTCCAGAGCCGAGCAAAAGTCGGCCTTCCTGATATCGGCATCGAACGTATCCATCATGCCTCTCCCAATCAAAGGTCTGCTGGGCACGTGCGATGTATCGAACGGTTCATTCTGGCCTGCTGCTCTCTCGTTCCGGTCTGGGGATTGTGGTTGCTTACTCACGAGTGATACCTTTGCACATTCATGACAAGCACAAGGCGCAACGTATTCCCTTCCCCTCAGCGCCACCGCCCGCATAATCCGAGTCTTGTGTCGGACACCGGCCGCAGTGAAGAAGCCATGGCTCGTCAGGGAGACGTAGCCGAAGCAAGTGAGGCCACAACTCCGATCACACTGAAGGACAAACGAAGGGTGAGCGCAAATGGAGGCTCGGATGTTGAAGAGAAGACGAAGCCAAGCCAGTTGGCAGCCCTCATGTCCAAGCTGGGCCTGGACGTGGGCACTGTCAAAACCATGCTCAAGTAGGACTGCTCCTGGTTGTTCGACCTCTCATGGTAACTTCAGCTGACAAAGCCATGCCTGTCAGGGGGTCGCTTCCCCCGACAATCGGCATCGCCATGCTGCAGGCGCCGCCCGTCGCAGCATACTTCACCACTTTTGGCTACCTCGTGCCCATCATCAGTGTGCTTGCTATGGCCGTCATGCCCAGGGGCAAGTTCATGATGAACCTCCTTCTGAACGCCCTCGCCGTCTGTGTTGGCTCGGCCGTCTCCATGCTCGCCCTCTGGTCCGCAATTCAAGCGCGAAACAACACCACGCCGCCGGGATCCCCCCCAAGGGCATACAGCTCGAGCCAGTCGGCAGTCTGCGCCGTCTGGCTCTTCGCCAACATCTGGTTTGGCAACGTCGTGCGCGCCAAGTTACCCGCCTTCAACCTGCCAGTTATCACCTACAGCATCCTGGTTAACATCTCGGCAACATTCGGCCCCCTCATGACGACCACCGCCGCCGCTCACGTCTTTGTCCAGCAGTTGCTGACAGCCATGTTGACCGCGCTCGCCCTGGCCTTGGGCGTGAACCTGCTAGTGTTCCCCGTGAGCAGCCGCTTGGTAGTCTTCAAAGAGCTCGCTGGGGCCATCGGACTGATGAGGCAGCTGGTCTCTCTGCAAAAGGCGTACCTTGCAAGTCTGGAACCGGACGCCGCATTCGATGCCGCGATGGACACGGAAACGTTTCTGACAATGGCTGAAGGAGGGACGCCCCAGGACCATAACGAACCCAGGCCCACCAAAGATGCTGAGGCAGCGAAGGCGCTGGAGGAAACGGCAGCCAAGATGAGAGAGCTCTCGGGCAAGCTGCATGCCGACCTGCCGTTCGCTAAGCGTGACCTTGCATGGGGCAAGCTGGATGCCAAAGACCTGAGCGAGATGTACAAGCTGTTTCGCAATGTCTACATCCCAGTGTACGCCCATGCCCTGTCTTTCCCATCTCTTTTTCTATCCTAAGTATCCTTATCATGTTGCTAACTTGGTACATCAGGCTTGGAATGAACACCATCATTGACATTTTTCAGCGTTTCTCTGAGCGTCCGGATTGGGACAGCACGGACGAAACGCCCAATGGAAAGGACGTCGAGAGGCACGTGTGGAACGAGGTCATGAGACAGCTGCAAGAGCCATTCGAGATCCTTTCTGTGGCGATTGATCAAGGCCTCGAGCACGCGGCAATGTGCCTGGAGCTCATCCCAAGGCCCAAGAAGGTAACCGGCAAAGCAGGCAAGCCAGGCCCGAACACTTCCGACATCGATATCGAGGCACAGCAACAACCCGAACCCGGTAACCCTGGCTTTGCAGGAGTCCTTGACAACAGAATACAGGCCTTCTACTCGAGGAAGGGAGAGCTGCTCAAGAAGTGGGTTCAAGAGAGGGGCATCAGCCTGGACGAAAACATCTCAGACCATCCATATTTTCGGAGCGAGCGAGATCAGGTACAGCTCTACATTATTCTCTACATGGAGAACTTGATGCACGCATCAGGCGAGGCAGTCCAGGATCTGGTTGACTTTGCCGACGAGAAGATCGAGGATGGGACCATGTCCAAGAAGCGGCTCATTGCGCCCACGCTCCACCGCTTGCGCAAGTGGTTTATAGCTGTCTTGAGCGATGAGGACGCGTCGGCCGAACAGACACCCGACGCCATGGAGGCCGGTGCAAACTTTGTCTCGTTTGGAGGTAACTACAATCGGAAGAAAAACCCTGAACATCTGCCTCCCGAGACAGCGTGGCAGCGTTTTGGGAACGGCCTACGAAAGATCAGCAAGTTCTTCGGGTCCCAGGAGTCCGCCTTTGGATTCAGGGTGGCGTGTGCGACCATGACAATCGGGATTGTGGCGTTCTTGGAGAACACCCAGAGGTTCTTTATGGAGCAGAGACTGGTTTGGGCGCTCATCATAATAACCATTGGGTGAGTTTCTTCGACCTCTCAACATATATTTCACACGGTACTGACCCTTATCTTGGTAGGATGACCATGAGTGAGTCATTCTATCCTTTCCTACTTGCCATTCCTCCTCAACTTCCTCTCGGTCGTCTGCATGTTCTTTTCCTTGTTACCCTACCCCCTTTCCTTCGCTTGACCAGTGTGCTAACGTTCACTCTAGCATCTGGTCAATCCTTTTTTGGCTTCCTCTGCAGAGTTGGCGGCACGATCGTTGCCATGTGCCTCTCACTAATCATCTGGTACATTGTTGGTGGCCGGATCCCTGGAGTCATCGTCTTCTTGTGGCTCTCCCTGTTCATCAGCTACTACTTCTTCGTCAAGTTGCCGCGCTTCCTCCCAGCCATCTTGATAATTATTATCACGCAGGTTCTTATCATTGGCTACGAGCTCCAAGTGCTCGCCATCGGCAAAGCCGCCGCAGAGCGGACCGGCCAGCCGTTCTACCAGTTAAGTTGCTCCCTTTTGGTTGGCAGCTTGAAGGCTAGATATCTGACCCTGAAATCACAGGACGTACCTGCTGGCGCCATACCGCGTTGCCTGTGTCGCTGGCGGCAGCCTAGTTGCTTTCTTCTGGACCATTTTCCCATCGCCTCTCACAGATCGCACTTGGGTGCGTCGCGACCTGTCCGCAACCCTGTACCTCATGGCCAATTATTTTGGCGTCATCAGTTCCATGCTCAAGTCAAACGTCCATGGCACAGCGGGCGATGTCAACGTGCCTGGAACACCGGCCCACCAGCTATTCAAGGCCGGCCGCAAGATATTCGGCAAGGTCATGATGTTGATACCATCCATGTCCCAACACTCGGAGTGGCAGAAGTGGGAGCCCACAGTTGGCGGCAAATTCCCGCGTGACGCCTACAAAGACATCCTCAAACGCAGTACCCGCATCATGGCATATCTGACTCTGGCGAGTTACACTATGATGCACCCCACGCGTGTGCGCTTCAATTACGGCGAGCATATCGACGAGAGGCATGCGTGCCGCCCGCATCCGCGAGGCGCTTCTCAATCCCTACATTCCCGCTCTCGCGATCCCTCAGTGTCTACCACGAACCGCGAGTGGATGAGCGCGTTGGCCGAATTCATCGACGTTCTCAAGCCCACCCACCACACCATTCTATCCACCCTCACCCTCCTTTCCAACTCGCTTCTCTCGGGCCAGAGCCTGCCCCCATTCCTGCCGCTCCCACGGCCATACGAGATGACCCGCCAACTGATGCGCCTGCGCCGTTCCGCCCTTCCCGTCACTAACATGGATGAGGACGACGACGGCGACGACGACATGAGCGACGGCGCGCCCATCAGGATGGTCGATACCCGCACCGGACTTGACGACTACGCCACCACCAAGCGACACGGCCGCGCGCGGCGGAACGCTGCCGTGGCGAATATCCTGGATCCCCGGAACATTGAGCAGCCGGGCTATGCCGAGTTCGCGGTGCTTCAGATCTGTACCGTCCTGGTGTGTGGTGATTTGGAGGCGTTGCTGACGGCTGTGAGCGGGCTTGTGGGGGTGGTGGATTTCTGTTTTAGTTTTATTGAGAGTGATTCGAGTTTGGATATAGGGAGGACGGAGGGGAAGAGCAAGCGTCATTAGTTTTTGAGGTGGAACGGCCGTTTCGGATTCAAGTGCGGGGGTAACCGAGCGCTCAGCGACAGGGCCGAGTCGAACGGGCGCCCCAAACCGGGAACGACATCGAGCAGAGAGGTCACCAGAACTTATTCGTGTTGAACGCCGACCCCTGTGCAGCCGCCAAGTCCCAGTCCCAGTCCCAGTCTATGGTCTATCTCTATCTCATCATCTATAACCGTCTCCAATATCTTGCAGATTATCTACACGACAAACATCAGACACGTCAAGGGATCCGGATTACTTGTTCTCGGCCCACTTCAGCGCGCCAGGCACTGCGGGGTCCGCCTCGACATACTTGCACTGGGTAAAGGTCGACCAGAGCTGGCCGATGAAGGAGCGCTCCTCGCGGTGGTAGAGGTCGCCGAGGAGCGGTTTGATGGCCTCAGTGGCCTCCTCGGCCTTGTAGAACGGGATTCTCCTGTTTTTCCGGGTCAGCAACTCAACGCTTGCTGCAAAGACACCGCGGTGGAACTCACGGGAAGAGATGGTGCACGACATGGGTGTCAATGATACCGTGGAAGAGGTGGCGGCCGACGAACCCAAAGTCGCGGTCGACAGTGGCCAGTGCGCCCTTGACGAAGGTCCAGCTGTCGGCGTCGAAGTGGTGGACATTGGGATGGGTGTGGTGGAGGTAGGTGATGGCAACTGTCGCGCGCCCGATTTATTAGCCGTCTACCATGGCGGGAAAGGGATGGTGCCGGGGAGTAGACTTACCCAACCAGTGATGGACCCAGAAGTACGGCACACCATACAACAGAAATACCATCTTCCAGCCGACGACGGTCGAGGCGAGGTACAGGAGACCTCCGACAATGGCAAGACCGAGATCCGAGATGGCGATGTAGATGGCCTCGCTCGAGCGGAACACAGCGCTGGTGGGCTCAAAGTGGCTGACGCGCCACCAGCCGGCTTCCTTGCGCTGCTGGCTCTCGGACCCCGCCGAGACGTTGAACAGCAGGTACATCTGCCAGCCGCCCAGCTGGTGGGCCAGCAGCTTGCCAAGCTGCACAACGGGCACGTCCTCGAACAGCTCCCGGTCAAAGTAGAGATCGACCAGCCTCTTCTTCTCGCGGTCCGCCTTGGTGTGCGGCACGAAGGCCATGTCCTTCTCCATGTTGCCCGTGAAGCGGTGGTGGCGGTGGTGCGAGAACTTCCAGCTGAAGTAGGGCACCAGCAGCGCGGAGTGCAGCGTCCAGCCGACGACGTCGTTTAACCGGCGGTGCACCGAGAAGGCGCCGTGGCCGGCTTCATGCGCCAGGATCCAGATGCCCGTGCAGACTAGGCCCTGGACGTAACCGTACAGGATCCAGGCGGCGGTGCGACATGCCGAATTGCCTATCTGTGGGATGTAGGTCAGCGCGGCCCAGCCGAGGGCCGTCGCCATGGCCACGTCGCGGACCACATAGCCCAGTGAGCGCAAGGTTGAGGGGATGAAGCAATGCGCGGGGATGGCGTCGCGGATGGTTTGGATGTCGGGATACTGGGACGCTTCGGCCAGCTTGAGGGGCGCCAATTTTGCTTCGCTCTGAGCCCTACGGCTTCTCGTCGTTATTGTGGTCGTGGTCGCCATTTTGTTTTGGGGGAGGGGAGTTGGAGGGAGGGGAGTTGGAGGGATATGGCAACGGGAGAGGCTCGGCGGGAAAAGCGAGGGCGTGTCAGGAGGAAGAGATGAAAAAGGAAGAGAGGGACCGCAACAACCCAACACAGATGGGGACCAGGCCGTCCTTTTTCTTCACGTTGTCTGACCTTTTTTTTTCTCCTCCATCCCTTTTTCATTACACCCCTGATTCTGCCAGGCCACGTTCCACTCTGACGGGTCGAGCCAGCGGTCGAGAACACCACTGCGTAACAAGCGAGCCGTATCCATGCTTGCTTGGCTGGGGAGTTTTTTAAGATTGCATCCAGATTCCAACAATTCGGGACTCCAATGGGGAATTTTTTTCTGGACATACACACTATTGCTTCACCAGATTAAAGAGGGTTAGGACAGCATAGAAGCCTTAAAATCTTATGGCAATACTCCGTACGCGGCAGTAATGGTCCAAGGCCTGTCTCTTTTACATGCAACTCGGTTGACATGGTCTTCATCTGAAAGGTTCAGGGTCCTGTGGCGTCGATATGGGGTAATAGGCTAGCCAGGGCACCCTGACGAGCAAGGATCATCACCACAGAGATTGGATTCAGCGGAAAAATGGACAGACCTAAGAAGAATTCCAATGAAAAGGAGCCCCAACTGCCCATCGACCCCAATGATCCATCAAGTACAACTTGATGTTCACCAAATTGTGATCAATATTTCCCGCATTCCGTCTCTTCTTCTTTTCTTTCCGCCAGTTGCTGTGAATGGTGCTTTAGAATAGGGATCACAGGAAGCTCTGTGACGGCAACGTGAAACACGGAGAAACCGAGATAAAATCCTTGCGGGGCCAATTGGTTGAAGGGGCCGATGTCCCAAGCCCTGCAGCAAGAGTCCAGCTGCAAGTGATTTGTGCAGCAGCCCGTCAATTTAGGGGCCTCGTCGGAAGGCTGTTCTCAAAGCAAAATAAACTGAGAGAAGCACAACCAGCACATAACATGAACTGCCCGGAGCATGCTTCCTTCAATGTCCATCGTACGGGGAGGGTAAGATAATCATAGGTGTCAGTCAGCCTCCCCAAGGAGCACCACGGTTTCCCAGTCCTTGCTGGCCAGGATGGACTCTCGCGATTCTCTAACGCCTTCTTGGATCACCTGCACGTCCCAATGCTTCTTTCCCTTTCCGCTATGTATGGCCCGCGGTACAAATACAACGCTCTTTTTGCCATCCGCAGAACCTTTGCCTTCCGGCCAGCTTTTCCCCCTTGAGCGTAGGCACCTTCATTGGCCATAGCTGAACACCAACTCCAAACCGCAGCAGGAGACAAACCCGCTCCCCGAATCAAGACCATAAAAAGAGTATGACATTGCGTCAAATCGACAACCATGTACTCGTAAACTTGGCGCATTGCCGCGCAAAGCAGCCAACCCAGCATTTTGCTGAAAAACTTCCTCAGGACAGGACACGCTTTTCGTTCCACGGCCTCTCCCCCTTTTTTTCCCTTGTCCCGATCTGCCAAGGACCCACCCTGGTGGCCAAATAGCCAACAATGCCCGTACCAAATCTCATGAAAAAGAAAAGGGCAGCCGTCTCGCCATGCCGCCGTCGGGAAAACACAGCTGGCCGAGAGTGATGCTTTCCGGAACCAGGTAAAATGTGAGAGGGCGTTGACAGCTGAGGAGGAAGAGCGAACGACAGCAATGGGGTATCACGCTGCGGCAGAGAATTGACGGGCTGAAAACATGAACTCCGTAAATGCAGACGTTTGATCCGATGCCGTAAACCCAATTCGTTGTGGCAGACGCGAGTTCAAGGCCACTTGTGCCCAAGTATCCGGCGACTTCACTTCTGCGCCATGATCGACCTCTCGGCGCGGGCCCTCATATGGTTGGCATGCGTCTCGAGACACGATGTGATCAGTCGGGTCACTACGAGCCTGGTCAGCGTATTGCGGAGGGAATACGAGATGCGGATGGAATACGAGATACAAATCGTTCGGGGTTCAACGACGTACCGGGCCATACAGTGGCTTTGTCGAACATGTACGCCGTGACCCTGAGCAGCTTGGTAGCATATCCGGCACCGTTGACCCCGTCATCACCACTTCCCACACTGCCAGGTTGAGCCACGTCCAGGTTCATTTTCAACTCGGCACCGCGAATGATTTCGTCAATCTTCCCCAGAAGTTTCACATCTTCTTCCTCCAGCAGCATGATCGCCGGCACTTGGGAGAGATCAACGTTGTCCCGGCCCAGAATACCCAGATAGCGACCGACGCGGTCCTGTAAGGTGGCGACCCACTCCGCAAGAACTTGAGCACAGTCGAAGGTGCAGAGGGCCGCCTGCAGCGGTAAATCGCGACTCGTCAAATGGGCAAAAGTCACGCCGAGCGTATCTGAAGCGGAGAGCGACTTGGCCGCGAAGAAGGCGGCTTTGCGCAGATGCTTCTCTCTCCTAAATGTCGACCTGCTGTTCCCCGTTTGGGCCTGAAGTTGCACGGGGAGCGGCTGCTGAGCCGGGACCGGGTTAATCGTGCGGGAGAGCAATACATTTGGGGTGCCAAAGTCCGGAGAAGAGGATTGTGTTGAGGGGGTGTCGACAGTAAGAGAATTCGTCCCGGTCGTGCTGGAGGGATCGGTAGCGATAGAATCGGTATTTGACACGGGCGAGTGTCCGGCGTGCTGGATAATCTCCGAACCACTTGCCAACTCCTCGGCCATGGCGTCCCAGTCGCGCTGCCAGAACTGCTCCTTGGACCGCGAGAGATTGACAAAGAGGCGGACGTAGGCGAGATCCAGCAGCGGAGTGCAGTCGGCCGAGAGCGGTCCCGCGCCGTGGGGATTCGGACGTTCCGGGCTATGCTGAGGATTGCTTGCCCATGCAGCGTGCCATGCGCGGAGCGCCGGTTCAATGTGCCGGTGCATCTTCTCGGTTTCCTCGTTGGTCCAAACCTTGTTGTGGTGCCGCTGGCGAGTCTCCCAGATGTAATTGTGCAGCGCATTGATCAAGACTAAACAGCCAAAGCTGCTCGGTTTCGGTTCGCTCTTGGAGGGGTCGCCGGCTTGAACGGCCAAACCGGAAGGTTGGTGGGCGGCGCTGGTGAACGGGTGATTATGCTGTTTCTCGGCGGCACGCAGTAGCCCGGCCAGGGCATCGTGGAAGGTCATCCGATTGTGATTAGCCGCGGCAACTCCGCCCTTGGCTTGAAAAGCGGCAGCGCTCTCCGCGGCGAAGAATTCTTCGTCACTGGGGAGGTCGAGCAAAATTTCGGAGTTCGTCAGTGCCGGCGTGTGGTTATACGCCAACACTAGGAGGCTGCACAAGGTGAAGAGGGCATAGAGGGTCCGCTTCCGTTCCTCCATGGTTTTCCAGCGCAGCCACTCGGCGTGCTCGTCAGCATGCTCCCTCTTTGTGCCGGTCCAGTCGCAGGCGCCGTCGGCACCCGCCATCTCGACATCCTTGGCCGAGGGCTCAACTCGCAGTGGCCGGTTGAGCTCTGCCCCGTGTGCGAGACTTACGAGTGCGGCGGTGTGGGTCGACGCTATATCTCCGGTCCGCTTGTCCCCGCAGTTATGACCATACACGACGTTCAGGAGCATCGCCTGAACCAACCACACGGGAGTCTCGGCGGAGGATTCCTGCTGCTGTGAATTGTGGTCCGACAGGGGAGTGAGCCGAATGGATTCTGCCTTTCTTACGTTCGCCTTCCTCCTCTCGTCGAGATACAGCTGAATCATCTTTTTGGCCATCCCAAACAACTCCGCGGACGCCTGGTGTTCCAACTCAAACAGGGCGCCAATGGCCGCCATAGAAAGAAGTAAGCACCCTCTTCCCCCAATGCCGCTATTTCGCTTGTTAGCCAATGATTGCGCATGAATTTCGAACGACAGTGTCGGTACGTGGACAAACGGCAGGTGAGGGTGAAAGTATCGCAGGTAGGCGGCGACGTATCGTTGGAAGTCTGGCGTGCTCGGGAGGGAGACGGTCTGATCGGGGCTGCTGGCGCCGGCGAGGTTGCTGACGAGAGACGGAGATGGGTGGGTGGCGGCGGCGGGGAAAGTCGGTATGGCGAACGAGTACCTGCGTGTACCAAACTGGGACGCCTGGGAGGTCGACAGGGCACCTAGGATGGCATGTCTTGTTGAATCAGTGATTGTCGAGACGGGTAAGGTGCCATGATTACTACCATTCATCGAGGACGGCGTCTCCGGACCGGCACCGAAATTGAGCGCTTGGTTCAAATTCTGCGTGTTCAGGCCCGACATGACGGCTGGGCTCAGAGAGCTGAGCGAGGGCGGTGGAGTAGAGAAGTAGTTATCTCCCATAGTCTTGGAAGACGAGGGTTGCGGAGACAATGGCGCGCCGTTGAGGAGATCAGGGAATACGGAGCCGCCCATGTCGAGAGAAAAGGGGTTGGTCATTTGTGGGGGCCCCATGATGGAGGGCTGCCACATGGAGCTGGTTCCTGTTGCGGCCGTGTGGTGGTTTGAGCCATCCACCATGACGTCGCTGATGCCGCTCTGGCTGGTGGTGCTAAGAGCAGACGGCGAGGAGCCGTCTACGGCGGTCTCGGTCGGGGCGTTTGTAAATGACATGGTGTGGTCGAAGCCAGTCACCCAGTCGAAGCCATCCTCCAGCGACTGGCCAGTCGTCGACATGTCGGACAGGCCGTGTGTGAATGGTGAGAGAGGATCCATGGCCATAGAAGGCGGCGAGTCATTGTAGTGAAGAGCATTGGGATTGATGGTGGAGCCCGGTGAGCCGCCGAAGAACAGATTGTCCAGCTCGAACTCGGAGCCAAAGGCCAAGGCGGGGGCCGTCCTCAGGCCGCTGGAGAAGTCCATGCCGTTGATGCCGTGCGTCTCCAGCTTTGGCAGGCCGAGCGGCGCTCCGCGATGGGCCAGGGCCGAAGCCATGCCAAAGGCCTCGAGACCATGGTGCGTGGAAAGCCCGATCAGGCTCGGATGGCGGCTGTGGGTGGGAGGCATCCTCGAAACCTGGGCATTCGCCGAAGCAATCATCTGCATGGTCGCGCCGTCAACATGGCTGATGGTATTAGCCCTCGGCCTCATTGAGGCGGCCGTGCTGTTGGTGTTGCCAGCACTGGGGCCCACGACGCTATTCTTCCGAGCCCGGCCGCCAGCCGGCGTCGCCCCACTAGCGCTCTCGCGGCGGTTACGCGGGCGGGACGACGGCGTCGTTGTCTGGTGCAATTTTTGCTGGTGCCGCAAGAGCAGATCACGGCGCGCAAAGCAGCGTGAGCACTCGGGGCACTCGAACGGCTTTTCCTTGGTGTGGGACCGCTCGTGGCGCTTCAGATGCTCCAGCCGGGCAAAGGAGCGCTGGCAAGTACTGCAAATGTGCGGGCGAGGTTTATCAGTCTTTGGTGGAGGGAATGTAGCCGGGGTCTTGGTGTTGACCATGATGGTCGAAGCTTTCAATTCAGGGACGTAGCTCGTCAGTCAAAGCTCTTCCAGCTTAGCATCCTGGGAGGGAAGGGAATGACTAGGCCCCGACTTGAAATGCAAATGTCTCGGTGCTTTCTGTTTGGCAGACCTACCAGCTTCGTCGCCCGGGGGAGCGCCGCCGCCCGCGGCCGAGGGCGACGACGAGTCGGACATGGTAGCGACAGCCTCGAGCTTGCTGGCAGCGTCGCTTGACACAGTCATCGTCCTGGAGGCGGGGTGGTTGCGAGGTTTCGAGCGGCCGCGTGAGTTTGTGCGGTGGAACTGAGGGCCAGGAGTCGTTGCGAGCAAGTGAGCGGAACAGGAGCACGGCGGGATCGGTGAGAGTGGGGAGCAGCAGGCAAGCAGGAGAAGGCGGTAGCGACAGCGGCGGGTAACGTTAGCGGAGCGGTGGGGGGAACCAGGAGCTCTCTATTGGAGAGGGAGAGATAGGGAGGGGCTCGGAAACGAGGTCGACTGTCGCATGCTCTTTGCCGCAATTGCTATGGTTCGGTGCTCTGCTGATGTCTTTGCAATGAAGCGCTCTCTTGCTCTTGTTGAATCGAGAATTGCTCAAGGTCTCGGGTCGTAATCCTGGCAAGAGAACTCGAGGTTGCAAGATCAAAGGGCAATGATCGAAGATGGGCCGCTGTAACTGGAGGGCACAACAGCTCGAGCGAGCGGTCCCCTGGAACTGTCCCTGGGCCAGGCTTGCTTGGCTGGATTGCCAAAACCGGTGCGCTGCTGCGGATGGCGAAATTACACAGCAGGTGCGGGCCTCGAAAGCAGGCAAGAAACACCAACGCAAGCGACCATGGGAGCCCAAACAGCAGGACCGTGTGGGCAAAATGAGGCTAACAGTGAGCACTAGCAGTGTGGGTCATGGGTACGTACCAGCGCATGACATGCCACGCCGGAAGAAGCCCGGGCTTGCAACACACCATTGATGCAAGCGCAGTCTCGTGGCACCGGGCTATCACACTCGATTTCGAAGGCAGAACGGGCGATCATTGCCCGACAAGTATCCAACGCGCACGTTCAACTAATCGGAGTCCGCAAAGTAGAGTGCCGTTAATGCCCCGAAGTTCAGCCTTGAGGTACCGCTACAATACACCCATCTTGTTGCTCTCGATTGTACTTGTATCTATGGGGAGGTTGAGCGGCCAGTGTGGAGCCCGACTCATTGCTGGGCCGTGAGTCAGAGGACCAGGGAGCGCCGATTTAATTGCCTGTATCCATACGGAGGTTTCCTCTGAGGAGTCTACGCCAGTTTCAACGGTGAGCAGCTGTGACCAAAAGTCGCCTGTGTGTGACACGGGATGCGGGAAGCGGGACGGAGGGAACGCCTCAGCCCTCATCTGTTATCCGCTAATCAACCTGACGACATCCAAATGATGGACATCAAAAGGCATTCCAGTAGCAGGGCCGAGAGATTGAGATGGCCTTTATTATCGTACTGTGGTGACATGGTTCCTACCTTACCTACCCTAAGATATGCATTGACCAACTTCCCTTCTACAATCAAGTTATCCGCACATCGAGCAGTGCTCTCTATGCCGCACACAGTGTACTGCACGCTCGTCCTCGACGTCCAGAGTGCTCTGCCGTACCTGACCCGTCCCACCCACATTCTGAACCCATGTATGGAAATCGTCAGGGTCTTCATGCAACTTGCCCGTTTCGCTCATGAACGCTGGTTTCAACCTGGCGCTCAAAGGCCAGCCGATCGTTCTTTTGGAAGCCTGGTCTCCATTGCGCTGTGCACCATGCTTGCAGAGGAGGCTTCACATGGCGGTGCCAGTTCTCAATTTCATTGCTCGGCTTCATATCACGCTATCACCGTTACGGTCTAAGGTCATGGCATTCTCTGCACTGTCCTTGCCCCCACAGTGCGCATCACTCAGGTCATACGCAGCAGGTGATGGCTCCGATTTTCTTACCTCTGTATCCGTGTATATCCCGCGGCTGGACAAGTTCAAGCGGGCTGCTGAGCCATACAAGACCGGTCTACAAGACCGGTACCTACTTGTGACGCTTTAAGCGATCCGGTGAATTGATTTAAACCAATGCTCCCTCACAACCGGATGTACTTGTGGGCGATGTTTGACCTACCTGTAGGTAAGCGCAGTCTTTTGCGCCGCAAAGGTCGACCAACTTCAGGTACGGAACCCTTGAGTTGCGAACCCAAGCATCTTCGGCAACCTGCGGCATCCGATGGCCCAGGCTCCCAGCCTGCCCAAGCGCCCGGTCAGCAGATGACCCCTGCCTGTTCATCCACCCCGGCCCAGTTTCGCCCAATGTCTCCGGAATCTCGGTTGGGTGACGAGCAAAGTGAATGGATCTGTAGCCTGATCTCACCTGCCGTGGCGAAGGTAGAATACAGGCAGATTCTGCTCTAATGCTTAGGTGGTGGCGATCTCGGGGCCTCATCACAGGACTTCAGAGAGCAACTGTCCAAGATTGCGTTCCTTGATTGACAATGGGGCAAATCTATTAATATACCCACCGTTCATGCTCCCCTGCTCGCTGCTCGCCTATCGGCCTTAGGGCCAACTTCTAGTGCTGCCGGGGCCGGTCAAACACCGTCCCTCCCGGCGTCGCTAGATGCCAGCCACCGCCTTGCGTAGCCTACGGAGGTACTCGTAGCTTCACCGGACCTGCCAGGCTTCATATTGTTCAGAGGGAAAAAGGTGAGGAGTGTCCACTCGAAAAAAACGGTGATCACTCTCGTCTTCTGACCACGACTCGAGTAGAGTTTTCCGATCGGCCGCTCCAGACCCTGCTGCCTCGTCTGAAGATCTCCAAGTGTTACTGTGCGGCAGAGTGGTCGGGCATTGCTACATTTCGCCGCTAAGAGCGCGCTTTACCGCTCTGCCATACCCACATCGACGCTCAAATCATGGATACGATATCTCTTGGAAGCCCGCTTCCGTTGAGCAGGAAACTTGGCGGCTGCGGCTTGTTTGATGGAGGTTAGTAAAACCACCGCAGCGATATTGCAGTAAGCCAATGAAGAATCGCATGCCGTGGAGGTTCCTTTACCGCTCTCTGGCTCGCAGACCGACCTCGGCATGCTACTGTGACCTCAATCACAAAAGCTTCGTCATTGTTGTGTCATTTGCTGCGCTATTTTCAACGTCAACATCGAGCCAACAAACGTGAAGGGCGGTGCCCTCGAGGTCATGGTCAAGGCCAAATCAGCTGAATGCCCGGCTGCCCGGATATGCATCTCGGGCTTTTGGACTTTGCGGGCCCGTGTCTGAGACTCACAGCTGCATGCACTTGGCGGCAACATCGAAGACTCGCAGAAGCGAAGATGTGTTCTCGGCGTAATTGAGCGCATGATTTTATCACACTACTAACACAGTACTACCTTGGAAAAGCAGTGCCAGCTCCCGTGTCATGGACGGTTCCATTGCTTGCATCCATCTCGACTGACTGAAAGGCTGTTACCCCGCCATCCTGATGATATGATAGGGATGGAGGGGCAAGCTCGGATAAGGGTCTCGCGGGGCACGATGGTCAAAGCTCCTTGAGCTCAGGGGTTCAATACTACGGATTACAGGTAGGCTTCTGACGCCAACCTGACGCGCAGCTATCTTTACCTTATTCCATCATGCCAAAAGTATTTCCTCCGGTGGCCATCTAGGAGCCAAGAATTGCTCTCACGAGACAGTTGCATTGTTAACGAAGGCGCCTGGCTTCTTTCTTCTCGAAGGTCAAAAGCACACAGTATGGGGAAGGTGCGGGCGATCGTCATCTGCCCTGCATCAACCCGCACTGAAATCGCCCGCGCCGCACTCACCTGGCCCATGGCTCGGTACCTTTCCAGGTTAGGTACCAAGAGACGGAGGTTTCGGCACGCTTGAAGCAAGGTCGCGCCCCAAGTTGAGTTCCACGGTGGGGGGTTGATTTCGTCATATTTTTCTTGGGATGTCTGACACGCAAAGATCATACAGGTAAGGTGAACTGAAGGAACTCATAAACTGTGTCCGATACCTGTGTTGTACAATACATGGGCTAGCTGAGGTCAAGATGTCAGATCAGGCTTAAGGTAGCATATAAAATGCTTTCCATTCACATCATTGGCAAGGAATGTCTATCGTCTATCTCTTCAAACCGGGGCGGAACAGGCGATTCTGAACTGTTGATACTGAGTCACCCACCAAGGAGCGACAAGGGATCATGACACGGGTGGCTGACAAAACATCCAGCAAGCTTCCGTTCCGGATCTGCAAGGATGGAAACGGCGCGTGTTTCCTTGCTTTGTTGTCGAGCATGAAGATCCAACGTCCCCTGTCCAAGAATAGGAACGCTGTCCACAGTTACTCGGAAACCCTGCCACATGGCTCTCAAACAGCAGCAACAACGGGCGGGAAGAGCAACGGGTCTCAAGCGCACCGTCAGCCACCGTGTGCATGGCGCGGAGAAGGCCTGCAGATGTTGTGGCATGCAGGCATGCAAACCTGCATCTCTGTGCTTCGGGATTCGCCAATTTCGTCCCGCTAACGGGATCTGGCCTTCGCGTGTCTGCACCTCAGAACCCCCCAAATGCTGCGTCCCCAATTCGCTCACTTCGGCCTCACAGGACTCGTCGGATTTTTGCCCACGCCAAACGCGAGTGCTCGCTTTCTCGATGTCTTGGGGCGGCAAAAGAGCGTTGCCGGCTGGCGCTTTACACCAGGTCGACGACAATGCCCAGCTCCTGGACAGGATCAACCAGTCTCTCCTCGAATATGACGGGGAATTACCTTACACTTGAGAGGGATTCCCCATGCCTCCCTCTCGTACACAACACTGCCCACCGACCCCACCATCAGAACTGCGGGCCGGACGGAGTAACTAAGGAGGACTCGGACTGCGATCGCAGAGCCGCTCCAGGGGGCCAGCTCCCACGAAGCATGCCAGACAATCGGCAGTAAAGCAGTCCCGTGATCCGTGGTGTTGCATCCAATTTCAGGCCGCTGCACTCAATCATGGAGGGAGAGTTACGAGCGGGTCGCGCTGCACAGGGACGTCTCGCATTTGTAACAAAGAGGTCCTTTACTGACGGCTTGAGAGCCTCAGACCCTTGAAGAGCCCAGACTCTGCGTGCCGGTTTGCTCATCTCCCAGATCCGCACTGCAATGTCTTACGTTAACAGCATTGATCAACGACGCCACTTCTATGGCTGACGTCTTTATCCTCTCGAGTTCGTACCATTCGCATTGGCATTGGCTCGGTTCAGCATGTTAGCGCAGCAAACTTCAAGTCCAACCGGCAAGCTAGTGTGTGCACAAACCTGATAAAGGGGCGGCAGATCTCACAACACATTGGACCCTGGCGATCGCGGCAAGCTTCAGCGACTGGCCAGGGAAAAAGAGCTGGTACAATGAAAGTACTGCACCGAGGTACCGTTTAGGTACGTACTCCAATGTCTTGTCTTCGCTGACCGGCGACAACAACCCTCATGTGCATAGGGATCTGATGTCTTGAATAAGGAATATGGGCTTGTGACTCTTGGAGATTGTCACACAACCCGAAGGAGGTGGGGTGTTTGTGCCGCTGCGATTGAGTCCGGACTCGGTGTGCGCGGACTCGGACCAGGTACCCGGTTTCCGGACCCGGGAATTACCAAGTCAATCCCCGACGCTCGGACGAACGGGCCCACAGCTCCATCGGCTGCCTCCGGCAGACCGGCGCCGGCACACCACGGACCTTATAATAACACACACAAAAGGTACGGTGGGTGGGCTCCTGGGCAGCAACACACATCCGACTCAGAGTAGCGCCCGTGTTTGCCTCACGTATCCGCCGATTCTTCGGACACTGTGTGGTGTCGGCGTGATGGAGGGCTTAGGCGGCAGGTCGACACATCAAGGCTCTCCGATGGTTGATGTTTATAAACATGACGCCCGATGTGCCATGGTACATACGACCATACCTGGCAGAAAACTCGGGATCCCGTCCGCTCTCCCCTAGATAAGCTGCCAAGGGCCGGATCAGTAGTTGGGTCGGTGACGACCAGCGAATCCCCGGTGTTGTATGTTACTTTTTCACTCCCATCATTTTACTTGCACTAAGTAGTAGCAAACCTAATTAATAGGACAGTCCTCCTCTTTCTTTTGACCTCCACCTATGTGTGATCCCCTGTGTCATAACTGGCTTCCATTAGGTTGGCATGGACTTAGGCCGGCTCGACATCATGTTATTGACAGCATTCATCGAGCACCCGGCAGTCGTACTACACGTAGTAATACTTGGGTAATGTCTCGAGAAACTTGGAAGGGCACTTTTTGGCTTTCGATCACGGGGGAACCTTTCGAGAGCATCAAAGAAGAACTGAAGCCACTCTAGCCAATGTTGGAGACTTTGTTGAGACCATAGTCCATGTGATACTGTCAATGGGTACATTGTCTGTTTTGCGGTACATTCTTGCCCTTCCACCCTTGACTGAGCACTGAATCTGTCATGGTGTCGTCAAAGAAACCTCGAGTTCGCATGGGGTCCCTCCATGAGAAAGACAGGAAAGGAATGGGATGTTTGAGGCGACCCCTTGAGTAGGATATGGGCTCACGATGTATATGCAAAGAGTAAAAGTCTTTTGTGCCACGGTCCCAGGCTACTGTAGCTCGGTTGGACCATCATCGTGTTGCTCGGTTCGCAATGAATACGGCTCAGGCTACACACCTGGGCAAGTACCCTGATCTTCCCTGCGTCCAACCTCTCATCCAGAAGATACGCTAAATTTGAAGAAGAAAAGGTCTCCAGTTCCAAGTCTACTGAAATGGCATTAGTCAAGATAGTTGATCCCCTCAGTCTGCATGTGCTATGGGGGGGTAATTCACTGTTGTACTTAGGACATCTTCTAATGTTCAAGCACACATTGAATCCAGGAACATCACACCTCGACGTCTCCATTAGAATTGCGCTTTGGGCCTAGGCACAGCCACAAGTGAAGGCCAACCACAGAGGAGCGGGAACACAAGAGCCTTGTTTTCATCGGATGCTGCAAGCTGTGTGCGGCGCAAACCTGCTTTGCATTTGAACAGACGAACCCTGTGTCCTGGAGATGCATATCCTCGTCACCCTCCCTCACCGTCTCAACCCATCACTGCCCGCGCCACCCCAGCAAGTGAGTACGGTGCCGCCATACGACTCTCGCGACCACCACGCCCTGCCCGTGTTCCGGCATCTGATGACCCAAGTTCTCCCCCAGCTGCTGGGCAGCAGCAGCTCGAACTCAGACAAGCATGCCGCCGCCGTGCCAGACCTCCAGTTTGAAGTCACCACCGACTCGACCGAGGTCTCCTCGATTGCTTGCTATTTGGGACGCCGATGGGTCTCTGACAAGGCCAAGGGCTTTGACTTGGAGACCGGAGACTGGAGGGGATAAGCACGGCGTGGAATATCGTGGGCCAATCCATGCCTTTGAAGAGGTCTTCGATCGCATCACATTTACCATGCCTATGTGCTACGGCTGGCCTATTGGGTTGGCGAGCGGTGGCCTGGAGGGAGGCAAACCCCAGGGTTATTCAGCTAGATGTGATGGGACAGGATACTGGGCAGGACTAGGCCCGGGAAGAGGTTGCGTTTCAGTCAAAGAGTATGCAGAGTCTGGGAGACGTCGGGTCAACACCGAGATTGCGATGAACATGGCTGCTTGGGATGCCCATCTGGTTCAAGTTGAATTTATAGTAAGACGGGTATATAACTGTCCTCGTGTACAAAGTATTGTTGAACGCGTTGGTATGAGAACGGTTGAGACGCAGAAAAGATGAGTAGGAGAAAAGCGTCACAATTTGAGGTTACAGCCCTGGCCAATCCCAAACCGACCGCTCAGTGTTGCGTCGTGTTACCTCGGCGTGGTCGCCCACAGACACGGTACAGCCGTCGGTGTGACAGCAGTCCGGGAAAGCGTACCGGCCAAAAACAGGAGACCACTTTGACCCGGCATCAACTCTCCGGTCCTTCATGAGTCTCTTCAGGACCTCTCCCAGCTCGCCAGCCGCCGGTTTGCCTGTCTCGTAATCCACGTTGAGGCTGATGCATCTCACGCAATTTCCCGTCAGCTGCAGGACGTGCTTCTCGGCGCCGTCTCCATTCGCGGGAGATACGGCGAGCTCGGCCCAGAAATCCTCTGCCCATGCATCTTCTCCTTCGCCATCCACGACAATATTGGGCCTAAACCTGTACATTTCGATGAGATCCCCCTCAGAGAAACGACTCCGCACGTCCCGCAGCGACGACTCGGATGCCACAAGTAAGGGCGCCACGTCAGAGAAGGTCAACCACGAGGCTGATTTCGCGTCTGACGCCCCTTGCAAAGAACCGGTGATGTAAGAGGTCAGGGATGAGACCCAGCCCTCCTGTTGCTGCTTGGGCTTTGGCAGCAGGGTCTTGCCCAACACGGCTCGTCGTCCGTCGCCAAGGTACACGAGAATGGTCGGGACGCCGAGGCGCTGGCTGAACCAAGCATCGTACGAGTCTCCCATGCGGTAGGCCGAGGCCGGACTGTCGTGCAGCACCACCTCGACCCTCGAAAGGGAGCCCGTATCCGGTTCTAGTGACACTTTGAGCGAGTTTTCTTCGTCATTGGTCGCTGAGCCTTGAGCTGGACAGATGCCGAGGAAGCGCACGATGATGCTGGACTCCCCATCCCCAGGGAAGTGGACGATTTGCTGGTCGAACAGGGCGCAGAGTGGATGTGAATCGAGCTGGATTTTCTTCAGCTCCCCAGTTGATGGGCGCACCTCGTACAGCATAAATCGCCGGTCATAGTCGATCCCCTGCGGCCCGATTTGGGCTGACTTTAATTCAATCCCGCGGAGGGCCTTGATTGGGTAGACATAGAGCTATCTGAAGGGTCAGTGGTATTCTGCAAATCAGGCGGGTGGGAGACTCACGGCTGTCACTTTCATGGTCATCTTGTGGTTCTCAATTTCATATATGCCTTCCAAGAGCAGCTCGAGATGGGTCGATGGCAAGGCGATTTATGTTATCGAGTTGCGGCTGACAAAGTACAAAAAGGGTCAGCTGACCCTGAGGATACGAAGAAATCGAATCGGTGAGTCAACCTGAAATAAACGGGTCGACCCATTAGGCAACTCCGTCCAGATTGCTTTTAGAAATCAAAGCCCCACTAATGGGTTCCAGCCACAAAATATACTTGGGACATGTTTGAACCAGTCTTTGGGTTGGTAGAGTGTAGTATACTGAATCGCTATCTTCAGTCAAGTAGGAAGTAGGGATCTCTCACCTATTCCCCTCCACCGCTTCCTTTCTTTCTACGCCCTCTTCGGGAATGTCAAGAGCTTAAGCTCTGCACTCCAGCTGCCCGAATGATTGCAGAAGCCATTTTCCAGCAGGGCAACTTGAATGATAAAAAACTTAGAGAGGCTGGGGAGCCTCCTAGAGCCACAGCTTGAGTCAATCAGGTTATTGATCGAGGTAGTATGATTGGGGCATATGCGCGGCTATTGTACGCTTCAGCCTGGTTTGTTCGTTACCGTCGCATTGGGCACTAGTTATAAAGAAATCGGGATCTAAGGAGAGCAAGGAAAAAAGGAAACAAGGAAGATAAAAAGAAATAAAGATAAACTAATAAAGATAAAAATGAGAAGACTAGAAGGGGAGAGGAGGGCGGAGATAGAGACGGTGGCCTATGCAAAGAGAGAGAGAACATAACAAAGTAACGTACATTATAAGCGAACGGCGCATATAGGCGAGTGGCGCACTGATAAGGGCTAGTATGGAAATCTGGGCACAACACTAACA